AAAGAGAAAGCTTAAAAGAGAACTAAAAGAAGAGACAACGGCTTGAGTGATTAAGATCAAGGTCTTTAAAGAAAAGTAGTAAGACTAATGAATCTCTAGAACAAGATAGTTACGTGATTTCATCATTAGTCATTCAATAAAAGATAGAAACCACAAAAAGAAGAAACAATTAGATATACATACACGGCAATTTTTTGTCATAATCAATGAGAGTTGTCTGCAGATTTCATCATAAGTTATTTTGCAGTATAATGTGTATGCTTTTCAGGCTTGCGGCTGTGTAGATATCTGACGATTATCTAAAATGACAACAACAACAACAACAACAATAACAACAACGATGAACAGGAGTAAAGAAGTCGATAATAATAAAAAAAAAAGAGAAGCAGGAAAAAAAGAAGACAAAAATGAATGAACATCTAGCTTGATTGAACAAAATGCATAATATAAAGACAAACAAATCAATGATTTGCTGATGAATAGTAACTTAAATGCAAAGTGATCATCTTCACAGGCGGTGTTCAACGACTGGAAGAAGCTTTCTTTTTTTTCCCTTAATAAGACTACTCAAAATATAAGAAAATTTATGACAACTCAATGAATCTTCCAAATGATGTAACATGTATCAATCTATATTGCGCTTTCGTTTTCTCCTTCTTCTCCTCTATAATAATAAACTATCATGTTAACTAAAAGCGAGAAAAACTATAGTCTGATATCTATCAAGGAACAATGATGTAACAAGAACAATAATAGGAGAAAAGCAAGTGAAGTATTGTTAGATTGTTGAAGCTAATAATTTAGAGAACAGCACAATGTTTCTTGCCTATCCTACAAGAATGAAACAAAACAGAAGAGTAAACTTAAATGAAAAGTATATTTACTCACATTTTTACTATCAATGCCATTTTTTTCAACTACATCGATGATTATAAGTAATAACTAAAAATCTAGCGTTTTCTCTTTTACGCTTGCTCAAGTGGTTTGTATATAAATTGCTCATACACATACATAAGCAGACAGATAAATGTATATATCTATATACTGAGAAGGTTGTTATGATTAGCACTCCACTCTCTTCTTACAGTAGTTGAATGCACACCAACGAGACTATGAGTAGCAATATTAATAGACGTTGTTGCTACCATAGACGAAAAAGAAAAGTAATTCCATTCTTTCTTTTCATAAAGATTTCTTCTTTTCTTACACAAATTCCAGCAATAGCAAAAGCAGGAAGAGAACGCTCCGTTGTCATCTCTCTACATGTCATTTGAATTGCATACTTGCAGTTTTGCGTGATGCTATTGCGATTGTATGTGTGAGAGAAACCTTTTCTATGCATAGAATTGTAGAAACAAGTGCTCGATCATCACATCGACGAGAAAGATAGTCGAGGCAAGAAAGACACGCGCATTGGTCCTCAAACAGATCCGCCTCTTGCTTGTTTCTAATTGAGAAAAGGGGAAAAAAAGAAGAAGAAGAGCGAAACGTCGAGCGAGAATAGATAACAACGACATGAGCGTTTCATGTTGATTGTATTATTTGCACCATCACCATCAGCCAATACCAGTAAATTTAGTGTTGAAACAGCAGCAAAAACTTCATATTATTAAATGACGACAAGCATCCCCAATACATTATATACAATGAAATCCACCGAGAATTGCTGCCATCATGTGTATGTGTATATGTGTCTGTTTTTTCTGTTAGAGAGCAAGAGAACGAATGTAACAAGAACTGCAACAAACAATCATCATCATTGAATCAGTAAAGAATAAAAGATGAAGAAAACCTATTGCCAATAGTAGCACGAGAAAAAAATTCGATCTATCTAATCATTCAAACATCTAAATATATAAACAAGCACTAAAATCCTAGTTATATCTCAAGAATGTTATCAAGCCCAGCAGCCAAATAAAAACGAGAAAAAAAGTCGATATGATCGATTCCATTGAGGCGAAAAAGGTTCATCAAACACTCGATTCTAGCACTGATGAGAAAGATTTCTTTTTTTTTTCTTATTCATTTCTCAAAAAACAGAAAGTAATTTCAACGATGACAGTAATGACATTGTTACAAAAAGAAAAAGATCATTTTCAAGAAGAATATTAAGATCAAAAACTAAACGCATTATACAGAAAAATGAACTTTATGATAGAAAATAGAAATGAATTTTCTATTTAAAGAATATACAAACTATAAAAATGACTGACATTTTATAATAAACCCAAATGATGATAAAAGAGAGAAAGTAAACGATATTTGATATTCCCAAATGGACAACTATCATTATCAAGGCAAACGGACGATAAATACCGAGTTATATTGACACAGCATGCTTATTAGATATCATTTCTCTTTGACTTATCAATTCCAGATGTCGCTTGTGGGTAAGAAAAAACTTTTTCAGCTATAATCAAAACAAGAGATATCTATGAAATGAAGCAAAACCCTTGATCATAATATTATGAAATAGAGAAAATTCTACGTGTACATGCATCATTTTGCGTGATAAAGATAAAAAACAGTATGATTACTATTGTATTAGCTAATTTAGTTTTACTTCAACAATTTGATTAATGCAATGTGTATTCATTTCATTTATAACACGAACATTAATAATCCATCAATTTTGTATCGAATTCTTGGATTGAAATCATTCTTGATAAAAATTTGCATCGAGTATCAATCCAACTTGTTCATTCATACATATATATATATATATATAAGCAAAGGTGCATACTATGTTAAAGAAACCGCAACACGACATTCACTTTTTAAGTTTGGTAGCGATCTCAATTGTTCTAGTTCATCATCGAGAAAAAAAACGATAAAGGGAAAGAAAAACGTGAATAAGAGAAAATCAAATATTTATTGGGAACAAATACGGACACATGGAAGAGAAGAGAATCCTTCTTTCAGTGGATTTATCATGCATATTTACTAGAACATGTATAGTATTTGTGCTAGTGAGTAAATTGCAATCAAGCGAGCATCATTGACCGGCGTCTTACGCAAACGTGTGATGAAGGAAGGAAACATGACAGTTGTAGCACGCGGTAGGTTAAAAGTGACATATGGTTTGTTGTCTTCATCACTTCACAGTAAAATTGACAGATAATAAGTACATATATACATATAGTGAGGAATAAGCAGTAAAGCAAAAACAGAATTAAAGGTCAATCGATCCTATTTTCTAATATAAAACTGTACAAGAAAAGAAAAAGAAAAAGAAGAAGAAAAGTATTTGTTTTTGTTTTTTATTTGATTTTAGATTAGCGTGTCATCAGTTGATGATAAGAATAAAATTATATTTTGGAATAAATTTTTTTCTTATAATTTTTCTTCATCATCATATATTGCTGATGGTTTGGCCTCCATGACAGGAAATGACGAATTCCCCATTGGTTTATATGCTTGTACTTTCTTGGTAGACACTCATAATCGAGCATGCATGCGACGAAAAAAGTCGATTATGAATCACAAATAGGTTCAAGTGATCATCACGATAGAAGACACAGAAAATTAGCAACTGAAAAGGGCATACATGCTAGCAAAGAAACCTACCTGAAGGAATAAATGTTAAATATAGAAATTTGTCTCATAATGACTAAGCGCACAATGCAATAATCGAAATTATCGTAGTAGAAGAAGAAAATACGTTTAGATTCTTTTATTGATAGCATAATGAAATGAGACTGTAACAAGAGAAAGAACAGAAGTATAAAACTAACAAGAAAGAAAAAAAAGAACATCGTTGATAGTCAGATGATGATCATGATCATGATGATCATCATCAGAAATCATTTTTCCGCTTCTTCTTGCCAACAAAGTTCATCTCTACCAACCGCAGTTAGTACAGCATGAAGTTAATAGGAAAAAAAAGAAAAGAAAGGAGAATGAGTCAGAAACAGATAGGGAGATGACAAGGTGTTTCCTTTCGATCTTTACATGAGCACATTCTTATGCCGCCCTTTTATTCTAGAAAACACACATCAACAACAACAACAACGACACCAATAAACAGCATTCCGATCTGTGCATATGGCAATAATGACAAAGCAAGGAAAACTACAGTATGATGCGTGAATGGCAGCATCAACATTACGTTATACTTTCTCGTTCTTTTTTTCTTTATGTTAAACAATCAAGCTTTTACTAATATAAAGCATAGATAACTACTATTACGTCGCTACTGTGGATATTGTCTCTTCATTATCGTTTTTCTTTTTATCATACACATAAATATATACTGTAGGATACTACAGTATATGCACATTACTCACTTGGCATGTATATTAAAAAAAGCGCAAGAATAAGTGTTAGACTGAGAGAAAGTAAAATAGTTATTGTCTTCTCGCTTTCTCCCCCCTCTCTTTCGCTCTATTTCCTTTTTTATTGTTGTCCCGGTATCTACTTAAAGCAAGCAGCGACCCTTCTTCTTTTTTCCTTCGTCTCAAAATGCATTCTCATCACTAATGCTTTAGGCTAATAATTTGTATCTAGCGTGTCAATATATAACGCAACTAATCGAAAGGCATTAGTAAAAGACGAGAGAAAAAAGAGGAAGCATTGTCAGTATAGAAAAAGCGAGAAACAAAATCGAAACAAATTGATCAAGCAATATAGAGCGAGAGAAAGAAGAATCTTGTTCTTGCTCGTCGTTCTCGTTCTTGTATATTACTAGAAATCAATGGAAATGATTGTTTCCAAAAGAGAGAGAGAGAGAGAGAGAAACGAGGCAAACCACACACTATAAGTGGCTGAAAACGAAGGAACGATGAGAATTCGATAGATGGTCTGCATATTTGATTGAGGTCCACTGCTTTGTTAAATAGTTTCTTTTCATTCGTATGTCTTTTAAACGATCAGTAAATGAAAGCAATTGATACTAATGCAGTGCAAAAAACACGCTATTTTTGTAAATAATATTCAAAATATGAGATAATATAAAAAAATAAGAAGAGAAAATCTGTTCAATATTTATAATTGATGGTCGATTATTCAGGGTCATTGTTATTGCGTGTTTGAGGATAGATGAATTCTCCCATACTCAAATTGAATGTTTCACCATTGAGAAATCTACAGATACAAAAAATAAAATACTAATATGATACATGTCTATCAACTAATCAAATCACTTACGCTTCATCTTGATTGATAATCGGCATGTTAGCTGATTGTCGTGTAAGACGAGATTTAATTCGATCTTCTTTCAATCTTGGCATGATACTACAACTAGGCGACCATGAAATATAATTCATAGTTTTATAATAATCAAGAAATGTTCGGGCAAGATTTCGTCCAAGCTGTTGATCTAGAAAGACATGAAAAAAAAAGTTAAAACAAATAAGAAAAAGAAAAAGAAAAAGAAAAAGAGTTGCAATCCGATTAAAACTTCATTTGCAATGTTATTAACTTTTTCTAATAGTATTACCTTAGCATTCATCTTATTAGAAGTGTTCTACACAAATTCAATTAAGCATTGAACACTTTTCTCTTATAAAAAGTAATAAAAAATATCTAATATAAGATCGTCATTCTGTTTAGATTTTATGAATTTGTTCAAGTATCATTGAAGAAAACATTATTCTTACATAAATCTTCTGTATAAGATATTGCTTGTGAATTAGCTGATGTTTGGTATGAAAAAAATGAAACTTCCAATGTGTAACAGTGAGTACTTTCTTGTAAACAACCACCAAGTGTTCTAAACCAAAAGAAAATAAATTAGTTAATAGGAACTGAAAGCATATTAACTACCGTCTTCCTGTTCCAGCTTTAAATGCATCTCGATTGAATGATGTATTGTTAATTGAAAAATCTTCTGCATTACGAGATAACAATCGTGGAAAAACACCATGCTTTTCTAAACGACTTGCATCGTCATAAGTATTTCCATACATAAAGCCATTCATCATAGTTGAATGCGCATGAATATCAATAAAAAAATCAACTTCAAAATCCTGAAAAACATACAACAATGCAAATAGATCTTTCTTGTGCTATTTTTATTTTTTACAAACCGGATCTTCATTCAAGTTCATTATATGTGTTTTAATTCCAAATATTTCTGGATGAGCCCAATGAGATGGTTCATTCCAGACACGATTAAGGTCAAAGCCAAGTAATGAACATCTTTATATCGATAACAAATTCTTGGTACTTTTTTTAACTATAAAATTTTTTTATAAATAAACTAACCTTTGGTTGCCTAGAAAAACTCCATCTGGATTAAGCATCGGCACAATTTGAAAAACAATATGATCCCGAAGTAATCGTGCTATAGGATGATCACTAATTATAAATTCAATAAAACCTTGACAAACATAGGACGATGGAGTTTCACCAGGATGCACACGAGCAGTTACAATAACAACTTTTTTTCTTTTCCCCTTAACTAATAATGATGGATTAGTAACAGTAATGAGATCGAGTCGTCGTTTTTGCTATTAAAAAAAAAGCAATAATGAAGATAAAAATGTTTAGCTTAGTAGTTAAATTATATTTTACCACACTATAAACTAATGGTCGACGTTGAACAAAATCTAATTGGCGTTGCTCAATATTATCAAGATAATTTTGAAGTTTTGTATAAGTATACGGAAATGAGTAAGCAAATTGGTAAATATCATCTTCGCGATCAAAACAAAACGTAAATGACATCACATAATTTTTTCGATGATCAGGACAACGATAGTAAAAGACATTTCTTGTTGGTAAACGTTGCCTTTAGAAATAAGATTATTTGTTTTTTATTCTATTAGTTTTGAACAAGTACATTTACCATTTTTTACGACTAGTTGATTTAACTAATGGTGTCATACCATCGCGATATAATGATTTAACTTTAGAAAAATTAACTATATGGAAAATGACCCTCTAAGAAACAGAAAGAAAAGAAACATTTTTCGGTATTTAGAAGTTTATTTCAATGCTTAAACCAATTTAATTCATGTAATTATGAAACTCGAGCTGATACCAAGAAATCTACATCAAAATAAAAATGTCGTAGTCTATTTTTGACTTAGTTATTTATTTATTATTTTTGTTTCGTATGTATAACTACATATAGCTAGTTTCGCTGTTCTAAGTAGACACATTTTTGAACATGCATGTTTTGCGGTTTTAGATTAATCGAATTCAAGAGAATGATACTCCCAATGATATGAAACGATGACAAACTAATAGACTAGAAACAATGACTGTTTGTTGAGAAATGATCGATCATGAGACAGGTTGAAGGATATAAAACGTTAGACAATTCGATACTATTACCGTCAGACATGATGATCTTCTTCAATAGTTCTCGCTTAGTAATTGTTCGAGAACATAATATGATATTGAGTTATCCTAGAGAATGAACTCTCTTCAAATGTACCTGTTGAGGATAAATGAAATCTCAAGTCTGCCAGATTTTGAGCACTGACAGTCATCAATACTATGAATGATGACTATGTGTTCAATCTTTCGCAAGTAACAAAATTTGAGAGTAGTTTTTCGGACAGAAATTGATTGATAAAAAAGCTACCGTATAAAATTTATTAGACCATGTTCCACCAATGTTTGACGTTTTTTCGAGATATGACATAAACATCGGAAGGATGAAACATAGAGTTTCAATTACTTTGTATTATATTCAAACTTAATTCAGTATCTTTCGCTAAAACATAATGCTTACGATAACTTAAGACATCTGTCAAAGAGTTTATTACATGGACAGATAATAATTCTACAATTTCTATTAATTATAAAGCATACTGGTTGACTACATCAGCTTTGAACAGATCGACATATTTTGTTTCACTTAATTACTTAAAATCATACTTTATTTTATTATTCATAACAATTTCGATCACATTTTTATCAATCTCTTACTTTTCTCAATCCACGATTTAATCAATTTCGCAAATTAGAAAACAACAATTTTACTGAACTACTAACCATAGTTGGGTTCAATATTTAGAGATCATTAAAATTCAGATTTACGGCTTTCATCTACTCGATTAGTACGAATGATTTCATGAAATAAAATCAATAAAATGGACACTACTAATTTTAATTCACTAATTAATATTCTATGCAACCGTGTTTTAGATATTTTTCGCGGGCTCAACTAAAATATACCTGCGCTACTAATTAGAATTTGTTTATTCGAAATTCTTTATTGTCTAATGCTATTTCTAAATTTCTTATCGGTATTCGCGTTCATATTTTAGTAAAATATAAATCCACTAAAATTGTAATTCTATCGATTTTGTTGTGTTGTAATAGTCTAGCTAATCATATTTAAAAGAGACTATAGTTCGATTCAACTGATCGTTTTCGTTTCAGTGGTATCTTCGTGAAATGCATCGCTAAATTTTTTCTTGCAAGAACTAATCAAAAAAATGCGGCATATATTTTCGGTTATAAAACGTTTTTTTTCTCGATATGCTTAAATAAAAATAAATAGAAAATTTTTAATTAAGATCTTCTAGCAAAAAACACTTTGTTTGAACTAATTTGAGAGAGTTAAAAATTTAATTTAAAAACGAATATTTTGCTACTCAATTCTATATACGAACTTGATTAGCCTTAACGTTTTCAACTGTGAATAAAAACCAACACCGAAATCGAGGTGAACATGTATCCGGCCTAATAAATAAATCATATTCACAGTCATTGACATAATCAATTCGACCCAAATTTCCTTTTAAATAAAACGAGCACACTATATTTATAACATTCAATATCGATAACGAGCATACCACATTCAAATGAAGCATCAAATATTAAATGTCCTTTCTTTGGTTTTCCTTCATAATTTGGAGGAATAATCACAACACGTTGTACATTACCAATTAAGTGATCATTATTAACATCGGATTCACTATCTAAAATCATAAAAGTATACATTTCCAATATATAAATCTATACCATAGAATCTTTACCGGAATTATTATTATTATTACGTTTTTGTGGCAATGGTTGACTTGGTTCATCATTGTTCTCAGACGACATTTCAAAAAAAAAGAATTCTTTTTTTTTTCTAAAATACTGAATGAAACTAATGTGTTTTTAAATATTTGAACATAAAAAAAAATTTTAGTTTATTGTCTTTTCTTAAATTGATCTAGGGCTAGCCATTTAGAAATTTCTCGTTCTAGATGTTGCTTAGCAATTCTATGACGTTCTTTTTACATATGTATGTCTATAGTTGCCCCATCTAGCCTAGGAGAAGAACATATATATATATGTTATTGTTGCTTTGAAAGAATTGAATAATTTACTTTTTATTTTTATTTTTATTTCAATTAAAAAACACAAATTAAAAAAAACACCGAATTTCTCATTCGATGTTTATAACCTAAGATAATTGTACCCTGGTAATATCTTATTTATCTGCCGCATTCATTCATACATACTTTTTTTTTCATTCCTACTTCTTCTCACATTCATCAATCACTAATTCATAGAAAGAATGAGTGATCAAGAAACGCACAAGTTATTCGAACGTTTACCACAAACCGTTGTACCAACAAATTATGATTTAACAATTCAAACATTTCTTGATACATTTAAATTTAATGGGCATGTGATTATTCATTTAAAGGTTTGCATTCCTATTGAAAAAGAAACTCAATATCAATCAAGCGTAAAAATATTGTTTTATTTTAGGTTAACGAACCGGTTAATTCTGTGATATTGTATTCAGCTGACTTACAAATTGATAATGCAACAGTAACATCAAATTCGAAGGGTAGGTTTAGTTTTTATTCTCTTTCGATGGGAAGCCGTCGTATATTTCATTGGGATGTCAATAAATATATGAAGCCATATCTTGTGAACTCAAATGTAGAAAAAAAAATAGCTGCTGAAACTATATCGATGAAAAGTTTGAAGTCGAAATACTTTTTTAAGGAAGACTCTGAGAAGAGCCACATGTGAATTTTTCGACTAATAGTGTGGGTTGTAGCTGTAAGATACTTATTCTTTTGAGCACTAAAACAGCTGAAAGTAAATTGCCGTGTTTTTCATACACGGTAATGAATGTCATGTTCTTATTTCGCATATTTCACTATGAAAATCATAACAGAACTGGAAGTAAAATTTGAATCGTATAACTGCCTTTTTTATCAGTTAGTAACGTGGACCTTGGTCCCAATCACAACTATCGAAAGAAGATTTACAAAATTGTTAATGATTTTACAAAAGCAATAGAAAAGTTCTTTCTCAAATGCTAAAATTTAACTTTCATTTCGAAGCGTTGAATGGCTTTTGCTACTTTTTGTTCTCATTCTCACGGAAAAGATGCATAAATGAATAAACGAAATAATTAGATCTAAGAATCAGTATGAAGAATGTTTCTTATATCCCATTTAGTCCTCAAAAAATGACACCAAATGTATACTCGTTCATCTTATGTAGAAGATTGTTTTTGTTGTCATCTGTTGGCAGCTATATGAACTGATAGCTAACTCAGAGGGTTATTCATTTAGATGTGGCTAATTAATCGAGTCGCTAATAAATTTGTTAGTTAGGATAAAATTCAACATCAAGAATGAGTCGTATTTTATTCGTTCTTTTCTGTGAACAATATATTCAGTGAGAGTAATCGTCAGCGAAAATCGACTATTTAGTATTGTCATACTAAATAGAATTCGCCTTAAGATAAAAATAAGCGTTCTGCACATTTTCAAAAACAATTATTGTCATTGAGTAAATAGTAAAATGACTAACAACTGTATGTAGTCATAGAAGGAGATTTTGCTGCTACTAACTGATTGTAGATTAAGAAATGCAGTTCCAACTAGCCATAGCTAATAGAAATATAACTACTGATTTCTTTACAATTTCCTAGAAGATTATTTTTACGGCATGATATTGTATATTTTTGATTAATATTAATTCAATTTCTCTAAGAAAAAAATTATGAGAGTATATTTGAAATCAGTACTGAAAACTAATTCAACTTGTAATTATTTAAAATGTTTGTTGTGAACTTTTATCTCAGTCGAAAAATATATAAACTTCAAATTTTTTTTTATTGGAACTGTTTCAATCTCTAATGAGAAACAGTTGGACGCGGTCCTTCTTTAGTCTTGCATTCGAAAAAAATATTTGAATTCATTTTTTCTATATAGATGAATTACCAGGTACAATCAAAATGGATCAAGAAAATGAACGTGTTAATATTAGTTTTGATAAAAAACTTGAAGTATACAAAATTAATTTTTTCCGCTCACATAAAAGCATGTCGACTGATTCGTTTTGTTAATAGAAAGGTGAACATGAATTATCTTTGAAATTCACTGGCGATATCAGTAATCGTATGCAAGGTTTCTATCGAAATAAATATACGACACCAGATGGAACCGAAGTTCGTTATGGAGCTAGTACACAATTCGAAGTAAGATGTTCTGTATGTCTTACTGATTTATCTTCTATTTCGAATCTTTAGCCAGCTGATTGTCGACGAGCATTTCCATGTTGGGATGAGCCAAATTTTAAAGCAACATTTGATATTACATTGATTACACCAAAAAATCTTCGAGCTATATCAAACATGGTAAATATATGGAGTTAAATTAATTATTAAAGATACTGATTTATATATATCCAACGTCTTATTGATAGAATTAATTGAGATGCAATGTTCTTAAAAGTTCATTCAAGAAATGCATGAAAATATCTCTTATAAGATTCAAGTGATTGAATTCTCATTTAGTGTTTTATTTAGAATGTTTTTTCTAAAGCATACATGCATCGAAACAAATTCAAATAAGAGGATTAAGTAAGGTTGCACTAGTCGTATTTACACTGGTGAAGACTAAGTGTAGAGTACTGCGAAATATCTATATGATTGTTAAAGAAATTTTATAGGTTCACATCGATGGATTTGATATGTTCCAAAATAAGTGAACTTTCTCTTTGATTAGCAAAATAGTAACTAGATTTTGTTTCACATTTCAATTTCGCAATGATTGCAATGAAAGACTCGGCCATTGCTATCTTAGACATAGACTTGTAGACTAATCTTAGATTAAACGAATAAAATTAGAAAACTGTTTTCCTTTTATTTTAGCCAATAAAATCTGAAAGCGAATATCCTGAAGATAAGGAATGGAAAATAACAAAATTTGATCGAACACCGATAATGAGTACATATTTAGTTGCTTATGTTGTTGGTGAATACGATTATGTTGAAACAAAAGATTCAAATGGTGTTAGTATGAGAGTTTATACACCAGTTGGTAAAAAAGAACATGGCAATTTTGCATTGGATATTGCTTCAAAAGTTTTACCATTTTATGCTGAATATTTTAATATTAAATATCCAATAGCTAAAGCCGACCAAATCGCTATATCAGATTTTGCTATGGGGTACGAAGAGAATTTTTAAATTTATATAAATAACTTGAAATTGATTCATTATTTTTTGTAGAGCTATGGAAAACTGGGGTGTAAGTTAATACTGATATAAATGTTCATTTCTACGTTTTAGTCATTTAGTTAGTTACTTATCGTGAAACAGCTCTTTTAATTGATCCAAAATTTTCATCTATGGATTCACGTCAACGTGTTGCTATTGTTGTTGCACATGAACTTGCACATCAATGGTTCGGAAATCTAGTGGTATGTTATCTTGTGTGAGAAAATAAAAAGATAAGTAATATTCAATCTTTTGTTCTTACTATGTATAGACTATGGATTGGTGGACTGATCTATGTAAGAAGAAAATTCAAAACTAGTTCTGCTTTCATAATTGAGTTTTCTTTTTTAATTTTAGGGCTCAATGAAGGATTCGCTTCATGGATCGAATATTTAGCTGTTGATAAATGCTATCCTGAATTCGATATTTGGACACAATTTGTTGCTGATACATTTGCTCGATTTCTTATACCTGATGGATTAAAATCATCCCATCCTATTGAAGTGCCTATTGGTAAATTTCCATGATATGTGTATTGTTTCTTATCATATATCATGTTTTTTTTCAGGACATCCTGCTGAAATCGATGAAATATTTGATGATATTTCATATTTAAAAGGTTCTTCTGTGATTCGTATGTTACATGATTATATTGGTGATGATGCTTTTCGAGAAGGGCTTCATAACTATTTAAAAGAATATAGTTATAAAAATACAACTACCGTCAATCTTTGGTCACATTTATCTAAAGCATCGAATAAACCAGTTAATGAAGTTATGTCATCATGGACACTTCAAATGGTACGTTCTCAATTCTTAATATTTCACTAGAACAAATGAACTGAGGAGAAATATATTTCTGTCTATAGCAAATATTTTCATAATGAAATAGATTTTTATAGATTACGATAATAGTGATTCTAATATAAACTATCATTGCATAGCTTTGAGTGATTCAACGATTAACACTTATGTACATCTTCTTTTGAAAAAATGATCGAACAATATAAAAATACTAACAATAGAATGTTTACAAGTTAAAATAGCTGATCATGCTTAGATTTTTCTTGTAAATCCAACTACATACGACTCATAGAAATCTAAAATGGTTCGTAACAGTACTCTATTGGCATAGAGTCGTAGTTACTTGACTGGCTTCTCTTATTTAATAGAATATCGTATTCTAACCTATGAAACTGAAATTCTATCCAACGATAGGTTTCGATGGTATGACAATATTGTAAGAGTCTTCAGGCGAAACAGAACTCGTAAGTACTCTAGTCTTAAGATGTAGATGCAATAAATTGATTATGCAAAACACTGACATGAGCTATTTTAGCACTATCAATCGCATGAAATACCATTATTCATAAACAAAAAACTAATTTTTCTTCCATCATCTAGGGTTTTCCACTTGTAACTATCATCGAAGAGCAACAACCAAATAACATTCGTGTTCTCAAATTAAAACAACAACGTTTCATTGCTGATGGTAGTGTTGACGGTGAAAATCTTCAATGGAAAATTCCAATAACTATTTTTACTAAATCAAACCCAAAAGCGATTGCTCAACAAATCTTGATGGAGAAACCTGAAATAACAATAACATTAAATAATGTTAGCGAACATGATTGGATTAAATTAAACTATAATTCTATTGGTCTTTATCGTGTTAAATATGAATCCAAAACATTAGCACGCTTAAACGAACCAATTGCTAATAAAACAATTAGTCCACAAGATCGTCTTATGATTCAAGATGATGTTGCTGCTTTATGTAATGCTGGTCATCAATCGTTTGTTGATTATCTTAAATTGTTATTATCATATGCAGATGAAGATAATTTTACTGTTTGGAAATCAATCGGTAAAACAAATTAAGAAAAGTTGTTTCTTTTTTTCTTTAAATTTTCTTCTTACTTTCAGCATCAACAATGGGTGATTTATCATCGTTACTTGAATACACAGATTATTTTGATCAATTTAAAAGATACCGTTTAAAACTATTTTCATCAATACAACAAAAAGTTGGTTGGGATCCAAAACAAGATGAAAATCCACTTGTAGCTATGTTACGTCCCATGATTTTAAGTATTATGGGCAAATCAGGCGATCAAGCCATTATAGATGAAGCTAAAAAACGTTTTCAACAACATATTAATGGAGATTTAATTGATCCAAATATTCGCGGTGCTGTTTATGTTATTGTTTCACGCTATGGAGATGAAACGACTCAACAAGAACTTCAAAAATTATACAAAGCTGCTGAAATGACGGAGGAAAAAGTTCGAATACTTCGTTCAATGGGTCAATCATCAAATCCAACCATAATCGAAAAAACTTTACAATTCATATTTGAAAGTGTATGTTAAAATTTCGAAAAATGATCACTCATTAAGTTATTTAGATCTCATTTGTTTTACCACAGATGATGTTTGATATGTTTTGTGTTAAGTATGGTATAAAAGAAAGTGTTTAAGCATAAGGAAAAAAGTTGAAATGACCATCACCACTCACCAATCGTAAGAAAATGATCGTCTTCTCATTGTACTTTAGATTAAATGTTAATAAAGTCTTGTTATAGGATATTAGCTAATTTTTAGTTGCATTTCTTAAAGATGAAGTAAACGCATGTTGAAGGCATATGTTTCAACATATATACAAGATAAATCAATCTCCTTTTGATTAGCAATTTTAACAGTATTGCTAATGAACGCAATCCTTTAACACCCATACAACTAATTCTGTGATATTTCTAGCTACGTCGCTTTGCACATTTTGAATCGGCAAGAATTCTATTAACAATTGTTTTTATCTCATTTCTATATAGGAAGATGTTCGCATGCAAGATACAGCTTCAGGTCTTGTTGGTTGTACATCAAGTAGTATGGGTCGTGATTTAGTTTGGAAATTTTTACAAAATAATTGGGTAAAACTTGTTGACCGTTTTGGTGACAAGAGCAGCTTTCTTATTGCGTTTGTCGAGGTAATTTTCAACGGTTTCTTTTGCTAATTTACTTCAGTTGATTATTAATTTTATTTAGTATTGCTTAACGGATTATGCTGATGGAAAAATAGCGAGTGAAATCAAATCATTTTTTGATTCAGCTAATACACCAATTGTAACACGTGCAGTAAAACAAGTTATCGAAACAATTCATATGCGTGCTAAAGTGCTTCAACGTGATTCAAAAGCAATTCAAGAATACTTAACACAATAATAACTTAAACGTTCCTACATAGACAATATTGTATCTTTTTTTTCTAATGAGTATCTTAACATTTTTCAGTTGTTTTTTCTTTTCTTGTCAAGTTTTAGGTTTATGTTTGACAAACGCTAAAGTTAAGGGAAGTTTTTCAAGAGTGATTAAAAACATATTTAAATAATGAAGTTCTTATAAACAAGAAATATCCAAGGAATTTCTCAGCACATTAAGTGTCTCCTTAGTGATGCAAGCAATGTGTATATTAGTTTTTAAAATAATATAATCCTATGATCTTGGAAGTTTTCTCTTTTACAATCTATCTTTGATTAAACCTTCAAAATGATGATTACGAATGAAATCATCAATAACAGTTGTTTTGGAAATATCAGGACAAACATCTTATATTATCATCTTTGTGTCAATTTATTTTTGTTATTCACATTTTCTTGAAATTAAGCTTGACCTTCGATCGCTGTAACAGTCAACAGCGACTAAATAATCCTCATTATTTGTCTTCGTTGTAAACATATTTCGATTACTTTTAAATGCAGTAATGTCAAAAATGCTTTGAACAAAATGTTTTGGATTTTTTCCACAATACTGCCAAGGATTTTAACCCTAAACTAAGAGGGCTGCACAAGTACAGGTATAACTTGTACTATGCAATTTACATAGAGACTGAAAGCTCCGCTAGTGACACCGAGGATATACTTGTACTAGCATGCACTCGGTTGTACTACCCCCTCTCCTCCCGCAAAACCTAGAATTCTAGAATTCATATACCGGGCGGTACAACCTAGTACATGCGAGTACAAGTGTATTCTCTGTGTCACTAGCGGAGCTTTCAGTCTCTATGTAAATTACATAGTACAAGTTGTACCCGTACTTGCGCAGCTATGCAAACCAATTATTGCTTTTAAATGTAACAAAACTCTCTGACAACATGATACCACACAGAAAAAATGATGAATCAACTGTAAAAGAAAGGTTTCTAAAAAAAGCTACATAAGAATGATTTTAAGATTCCAGAAGATTCCATCAGCACTATTGTATGATAGTATGATCTTGGAGAACATACAATTTTGAATTGAAACGAGGCGATTTATTAAACAGCTAATTAAAATCTATTGTAACAAGTTACTTCTCATTTTGTTAGCATGTAACTGTTTTAGATTAACTCCCACAGTTTTTCGAAAAAAGTTTACTAATCAATTATATTAATATCATATTATTTCGTAATATTCTAACTGTTACAGACTAATTATGAAAATCTAAAGAATATCTCCAAAAGATCACCTTGAATCGGAAGGAAATCAGCTGCAGAAAAAACTGTGCCAAGTAAAAAGGAATGATCATTTCATTTCACAGAGTGTGTGATCACAAGTGAATCATATCAGAGACAATATATACAGTTATAATTAGAACCATTCATAAGATGCATGAAATCTATCGAAGTTATACATTGTTTCTGATGTACAATGCTGATCTATTTTATTAACAAGCATTGCAAGATTGCTATTCAGCATAACAAGAAGCCTTTAATTGCTTTTCGAGATACACATCCGTCTGAGAAGGCTTATCTGTAAGTCATCTTATGAATTTATTCTTCGTTCAGACTAAGCTCATGCATCTACATAAAGCATCTCAATATTGATAGAAACTAATTTGAACATTGAAACAGACAAAAACAGTAGAAGAAACCGAAGCAATTCTATTGCGTACATGAACACAAATGAAAAAGAAGCATACAACAGTTCAAAAGTAGACCTTTTCCGGTTTCTCATAGATAATTGAGATTTTTGTCGTGCTTTATTTTATCTATTGAAATTGTAGATACATTCTTTAAATAACTATTTATTGTGAACAAATGCGTACTTTTTTAAAGACAAATGAAAGAATATATGTATGTTAAAAAAGGAAGAACAAGATGACTTTTGTTTTCTGATGCAAATTGATTCTTTCAACTTTATTTACTGTTCAACTTTTTCTTATATATTTTTTTCATTATGTATAATATGGTTAAAAATTAAACATAGCATGACATTAAAAGCACACATGAAGAAAACTAATTCCTATGTTAGTAACAACTCCGTAATTCTCTTGTTGATTACTGCCCTCTACGTCATTAGTATCAAATTTGACCGTTTTTTAATATGATCTTGTATATTATTTTCACGAGTCTTTTTTTTCCAAATTGTATATCCTAAGGCTTTAATGAAACATTTCAAAAGCACACTTGTTCATGAATAATATCTCGATGTTGCCATGTACTGATTATTTGATTTTGACACATTTCATCAAGCATTACCTTGTTCGTTTACTTTTTGTTTTTAAGTTTTCAAGTTTTTTTGGCCACATTGTTGACTGTTGACGACACAAATTTCATAAAAGTGTTGTAAGTATGTTTAATGTAATTTATTTCTAATGATATTTTCCTCAATCTGCTGAACACAGTTTAAATTCTATGAACATAATTTATGTGACTTTAGTCATTAGAAAAAATCATTTTCATTTAAATTTTTACAAACACGTACATCTGTCGAAAAATATATTCAGCCAAACAGATAAGAATCTTTTTTACTTTTTGGCATGAATTTTCTTTAAATTATTTCTTAGTCAGAGTGTCGACGAGGATAGAATGAGTGAACTGAAACTAAAATGAATGAGAAGTATCAAACGAATTTTTGATCGCACACACTTTATGGATAACACTTTATAAGGAAAACATGCATGTATCGATCAAACTCTCTTTAAGATATTAGTTAAATTTACTTTTTTTAAAAAGATATTAGCGAAAATCTGTATGGACCTCCTTGACAACTTATAATTTCGTAGAAAGTATTAGAAATCGTGTCTTCATTATATTATATTTCAAGTTTGATAATGCAATGTGTTTTTTTTAGTGTAAATAATATACAAGATACTAGCCAATCGTAGGGGAAAAAAAGCATAGATAAAATCATGTTGTCAAGGACTCGCTTGTCAATAATATCCGATACTATATTATAACCCAGTTATTGAGTCCCTCATTGCTTAAGTTTTTGGCTCGAATAACAAAAACTGTAATATTATCTATACTGGATAAATATAATAAGTATCATTTATTGCCTAGGATATATTTTGATCTCATTAAATATGGGCCCAATCGATGAATGATGTTTATACAGAAATAAACAAAAATAGAAATATCACTATTGATGCATTAAAAGTTTATTTAGCTGGGAACAATCAAAAAATTTTCCTCATTAGTATAAAAACTCATGTCATCTAATTAGAGAATTTTATTTCAGATAATTTATAGAATCCTAAATCAAATATATAATTTACTTCAGTGCCATTGCTTAGTTATGCAAACAGAATATAGCAAAATAAATTTTATGTTATTCAGAAGTTCTCTGGAGACAAATAAGTTACAATACATTTGACTTTGAAAAGATATCAAAATGATGGTTTGAATCAAAAACATATTCTTCAATAAGAATAGGATGAAATAAAAATAATCTATTCACTAGCCAGACACACCGTATCTAGCAATAAATTTCAGTCATATATTGTCAATATTCATCATACAAAACAATTGAATTTTCCGTACAGCAAATGATAGAGCATAGAATTGTCTGTATCTTAAATAAAAAGCATTACAGACGACTCAGAATCAGAAACGTCTTATTTTGTAACATACTTTTGTTGCTCTACGATTCCATTGTGTCGAAACAAAATACTTTCTAATAGTGATCGATTCAGAAAAAAATAGAGTTTAGCTTTTCTATAGACTGTCTTCCAGAGTCAAATACCTATTTTTATATTTTTTCTTTTATTCTTGTTGGAATTAAATTTTTCTAATCAAATCATTTATTTATTGATCCGTTTTTATTTCTAAAACAAGGTAAAAAAATAATTGGAACTACAATTTGATGCAATAGCTTTAGCATCTATAGTATGTAAAAGAGTGGATCAAAATCATTTTTAAGACTTACCATTTGCTAAGCTCCTATATGGTCATGTTAAATATTTGATGTCTAATCAAAATTTCAGAAACACACATACAAAGGATCATCCATTGTAACATAGTGATACTTTCAAAATCATGATAACGATGATCGTTGGTATTTGAATTCAATACGTCATCCCAATATAAATAACGAATATAGATACAATATTTTGAGATACTAGTTTATATGCAATATGTCATCGACTCTAAGTCAATCTTTACTAATCCTCGTATATGACACATCGATCGAGGTAGACCAAACTGTTTTCTTTGATCATATATACTTTCATTTTATGGTATAGTTTATCGATGAATCGTTCCGATAGGAGTTCTTTTCTTCGAAGTAAAGAACAAAACTTGTTTTGACAATCTTAATATTTATTTATAAATAATTGCATTCTTATAATTATTTTATTATTGACTGTCGATGACATCTATTGTCAAGCGTTCCCATTATTCAAATGTATCCAATACAAATTGATCTTGTTCTTTACTCAGTCTTTCTGCGCTATGTTTCAATACCATAGACACTATTATAAAATAGATGTAAATGCGTTTGAGTTTCAATTCATGATTTCATTGGCTTACATACAGAAAAGAAAAAATTAATATTAAAAATAAAATGTCATATTTTCTCTGTTGAACTTCATAAGCAAAATATTCATATGAAAATAATGTTTTCATTTAATTTTTACATATTTATTTTATGATGTTTAGATGAATAGTATTGATGGCATCATCTAGTGATAATGATGATAGCAGCTCAAGTGAAAGTGACGAGGACTGTGTGTTTTATGATGCTAATAGTAGCCTATCGAACAATGAAATAGAAATGTAAGTCTTGATTAGTCATCTATGAATTTTATACTTGCTCTATTTTTCATTTCTACAAGTAATCCACTTCAAAGAGAACCTCGATGGCGAGTATCATCGAAAGATGAACTATTGAAAAAACCTGTATGTTTCGCAATAAAGAAATATGTTTATTTTTCAATGATTTTTTGTTTTATGACTAGGAACATTTTTGTACCATTTCATTCACTGACAAACAATTGAAAGACATTGAGAGACGTGATAAACTTCAACGATTGCGTGCTCAAGACAATTTTAATAGTCGAAATAATCAAAATTTTAAAGTGAACTATACACCAGAATCGCCTTCAGTTGTATCGTCATCAAAAGTAGAAGAATTAACAACGAATGAAAATTTATCATCCAAACTTGATCTACTTAGAGAACATATTGATAGTGAAGAAATAATATGTGAAAGAAAGGTTTGAAAATTGTTGCATGATGAATGAATCATAAAGAACTAGACACTTTAAAATGTTGTTTGTTTTGGCCAATGGGCTTGAACATACTACAGAAATTTCATTTCTATAATATTCCAAGAGGAATCTTTTTCGTATTTACAAAAATCTATATATCTTATGTTATTCAAAGAAGTTCTTGTACATGAGAATAGCATAAATTTAATTATATGACATTTTCTGTACAATTCAAAAAATTGAGAAAACATTACAAAAATAGCATCATTACTGTGAATGATACTGAATTCTATAGTTACTAATGTCGACGATAAAGCCTTTATACAACACGTTTCCATATCGAAAAAGTGTAGGAAGAAATATCGAGACGTATTAGTTCTGAACATTTTAATACTTAACAAATGTATAAAATAATTTTGAATACATGATAAAAATATTTATACACAGATATCCGCAGAAAATAGGAAATCATAGTCTGTCAGTTGAATAGCACTTTTTTCTTCAATTGTTAGTCGAAAAAACATAAATCTATCGAATGGTAATACTTCTATTGAATAGTATAACAGCAATATCTGCAGAGACGTTCACAATCTATGCACAGCAGAGAATTAATTGATTACATGCAATGATTTTAATGACAAACATTAAGAAAACAACTTTATGTTTACTGTGATTTTGACGTAAAATGTGTTTAAAACCACATGATTCATAATCCACTAGAAAATAGTTTAACTGATTTTACCATTAACGACTTGAGTCTTTCGACATTTCAATTGACTTAGTTATGTCTTACTTGATATACAGGATACTAACGTATTTCACTTGTTTTGTGTCACTGGTTAGAATAACCTTTATTCTGTTTTTATTTCTAATATAAATAACCACGGTATTTTTCATCCACCATACTAAGAAAACGTCAAGCTTATAGCAGCACAAATTCATTCATGTTGTTAGCTTGATCATTTCAACTTCAATCATACCACAACGACTAGAAACCAATCATATTTTTTCTCTTAACAAGGAAATTTAATAGTAGCGAACATGCATCGTTTCTAAAATGAACTATAGCAAGGCAACGGGAATTATTCTATGATCCATGAAAATAATTTATTCTTTATAAACTGTTATTTTGAACGTATATGAGACTTATTTTTCTTTTGGTTTTACAATATATATATCAGATTAGGTTAAACGAAAATAATCCTCTTATTTTGACAGTAGGAAATTGTTTTTTCTTTTTACTGATCGATTTTGCGTTGCTCAAAAGAAATCAACATGCCTCATTTTTTATGAGCCAGCCGTTATTTAATCATCGAGAAGCCTAGCATCTAACTCCTTAGAATATATATATATATGCATGGACTATTGTTTATAAGTAAAAATATGCTTTTACTATTATAAATTTTTTATTGTCTAGTTTATATATATATATATATATATTCTTCTATCAATTTATTTTGAAAATACTTCCAGTCAATATTTATTTTGAATCATAAAACAACAAAATCTTCGATTTCAATATCAATACTAAATTTTCGTGGAATAAAACCGAAGGACATTCTTTCTTTTCTTAAACACCTACGATGCAATGTTATTTATGAAATATTTTATACTAACTCAACTAAATTTTTCAATCGACGATAAAAGGAATTTTCTTACTTTCACCATTTACAGACTAATGAATGATGAGAAAACAAGGTATAGTTATTTACATTAATTCGAATCTCTGCACGATTATCCTTTCCTCTTGTTGTACGAATCCTAGGAGATCTGAATAGTTGTTATAAGCAGCTGCTATAATTGCAAACTTTCACTGTTTATATAAAGGTCACAAATATTCTATTAGCTTAGTTGTTTATGCACTCATTGAGAACTGAGATTGCCAAACAAAACATATAAGAATAAATTATCCTTGATGAGACATTCGCTTACTGCATGCTAACTTCAAAGTATTTTGCTGCATAAGAATTTTAAAGCTCGCATGAAGATGATGATGCTAGATTGTGTTCCTGTGTGATTGACACTTGCGAATTGTTGATTTTGTTTATGTATGAAAGAAATCAACTACTAGACATATCGATTTGTCTTAGGAGAAAACGTGTTTTCGATACGATGCATCCTTTTAGGAATAGGAAACCATTTATAATAAAAAAATTGCATAAACCGTAATAGAAAGTCTTTGAACACTGAAAAATACTTTGATAAAAATTATTATGTTTAGTAATCAAAAAAGATGTACTTTCCTTTAGTTCGTAGTTAGTTTTTTAGAGCTTCTAATTTTCTAGATAAAAATTGGAATAAAAATAACTCACTAACAATCAAAGAGCAATAGCTATTTTGTTGACAGACATAAAAGTGAAGAAAACTTGAATTTTTGTATATGATTATAACATATTCAGCTAATTTTCTGAGGTCTACTATTAAAAATATAGTAACAATCGATAAAAATAGCAGGATGCCAAAAAATCGATAGTAATTAATTGATAATTATATATAATTTACATCTTCCGCTGTCAAAGCATAAATATAAATTGTTGAAAACAGGCGATGAGTCTCGACTACAATAGGAATCATTAAACAAAATAAGAAAATAACAATAAAGCATTTTAGACACATCTTGCAACAGGTTCTTTTTGTCTTCTATAGAACTCAGTATCTGCAATTTCCAAAGAAATTTTAACAAATTATTCAACCAAACCCTGTGAATTTTACCAACAGTATTCATTACCTGCAACATCAGTACGTGGCACTGGCGGATATTATTCAAACAAAAAATCTATAGCTGCAAGTAGTGAGCCATGTATAGTTGATCTGAACAAAATTGATCACATAACAAAATTCGGTGAATTATATCCAAATAGTCAAAAATTAAATGATGATGAAATCCTTCGACAACCAATTGTACTCGATCTTGATAGTGGAAAATATATTCCTTTAAGTGATGCAAATCCAATGACGCAAAAAATAATAGAACGCACCAATAGAGCTGGAAGTATTATAACATTACGCCATAATTCAATATTAAATAGTCGTAATAATTTAAGAAAGTCTTCATTAGAGAATAATAATACTTTAAGTAAATCAGATATGAATCTTACAAATCAAAAACATGCAACAGTTCAGGATGATGAAATTGAATCAACATCATCAGAATCTTCAAGTACAAAATCAAGTCGAACAACAGGTATGTCATTATCGTCTGTTACTGATAAGTCTTCGGTATCTACTATACAATCACCAATGTCTATAAAAAAACAACTAAAAAATATAGTTATAAAAAGATTTTTACGCAAGAAAAAAATTAAAAAAGACTTCGATCCTAATAATTTACCTGAGATTGACGATGAAGACGATGATACTGAAAGATTATTGATTAATGATGGTTCAAATGGAGATCTAAAATATAAATCATCAAGATATTTAAAAGAACAAACACAATTTGATAAAACACAATTATTACAAACTATTGTTAATGCTCATATTGGACCGATTTGGTGTATGAAGTAAGATTTTTTTATTATAAGAAAGCAACCTATTTAGTTAAAAAAACTTAAGTATAGATTTTCACCTGATGGTTATCTACTAGCAACCGGTGGTCAAGATAGTTTACTTAAAATTTGGCTGTTAAAATCAGCTCAACCTCAATTTCATGATTTTTCTCATCTAACGTCAAATCTATCTAAACAGCAAAATGATATGTTAAGAAATCGATTTAATGAATTTCATAAAAATATCTCATCCGAAACGATAACACCAACAACCAATGCAAAACTTGGTCTTAATGAAATGCAAGTTCCACTATATGCAAAGCCATTTTCTGAACTTATTGGTCATCAAGCACCAGTGCTTGATGTTGCTTGGTCAAAATCTTTGTTTCTTCTTTCATCATCAATGGATAAAACTGTTCGACTATGGCATATCACTCGATTAGAATGCTTATGCTATTTTCTTCATGTGGATTTTGTTTCAGCGATTGCATTTCACCCACGTGACGATCGATATTTCGTATCAGCAAGTTTAGATGGGTAAGAAATCATATTTAATAATCAAATTTTTTTACGACTTGTAACATATATACGCTTACTGAAATGAAATATGAATCGGTACTTCATGATTTTTCTATTGAGATACTATTGTGATGCAATCTATGTATACCTTTCATATATTGGGCTTGTGAAAGAAAATATATGTAGATTAAGGTGTATGACTTGGTTTATTTTTTGTAATGTTGCTGAAAAAGATCATTCAAACTTTGTAAAGTCCAGCATTCTAATCGAAAATCTTCCATGAATATGAGTTACAAAGATGATATTTCCAAGATTTCTACACAAGAATATACGCATCCTTATTATTCATAAATCACAGTAGAAGAAATTTTCATTCTAATTGTATCAATTTTTTGCGTCACAAATAGTTATGATTCGTTGCGTGGACATAGTTAAAATTCTTTTTTTTTTCATACAAAGAAGGATTATAGAAATGATAATATTGTTGCGCTAAAGTGTTCTAGTTTTTCAAAGCTTTTGACCTTTACAATAGTATATTAATTGTTGACATGTCAATCAGAAAAAAAACAAATGGAAAATCTGGAGATATGTAGAATTGTAAAAAGGTTGAAATTAATAGGCTACATGAAGTAAACGATTAGAACGTCAAGTATAAAAATTTCCGAATCACTAATTAACTGATTGAAGGCAAAATAATATGTTAGCTAAATTGAAACAGATTAAATTGTAGCCTTCATTGAAATTTGATAAGAAAAAAGAAAACATAACAGTAATATTAATCACTTGTGCTATTAATTTTTCTCAAGGTTTCTTATTTCTTGTATTCTAAGTCTAAGATAATTGAATAATTGCTCTGAAATACAGATTATAGGTATATGGTGTTCTTTTTTCAGACTTTCTATCGTTCTGTATTGCTTGATCCAACGAGAAAAAATAAGTGCAAACTTTTTTCTACAAAAATGCAAGCAATATTGAAGAGTTCTCCCTCTCTCTAGAGCGGATATTTTTAGATTTTTTTTTGTTTTCTCCTGTGCTTTTTATAAGCTTCAAAGTATTTTTTTTATCGACTGGGCATTTGTAATAACTATAAAAGTCGAAGGATAAAACATTTTGTATTATTTTACTACTATGGAAAAACAAAAGTTTTGATCAGAACACTTGTGAATCAGACGCATGTCTTCACTACAAAGCATGTAATAGAGCTCAAAATTGCTTCTATTTATATTTGAAAGTGTCTTAAGTACCTACTTCTTTCTATTGCAACATGTGGTGATTCATTGATTTTTTTCTAAGGATCCTTGAGAAGAATTCCAATTAGAAAAGGAAATTCATAAATATGTCGTCAGAATTTTTGACGTTCTTTTTCAAAGAGAAGCAGACAGAAAAAAAATAGCAATTTCATATATCGCACTCCAAATCTATGGTGAAGTTTGCAGCTCCCATGTATGCATTGTAACACGTCAAGGATGATGACTGATATTTTTCTATCTTCCGACATTCATATCTACTAAAAAGTGGTCTTGTGAAATTCTAAATCTACAACAATTTTTGTTGTATTTATTTGAAGACTATATTGCCTAAAACTCGTCGAATTTTCTGAAAAACTATTGTCTAATATTACACAGAATGAATGTTCGATAATGAAAATTTAATCTTTAAATAAATATTTTTAGACATATACGTCTATGGAATATACCTGATAAGCGTGTGGTTCATTGGACATTAATACCATCTCAAGCATCATCTCAAATAACTCCAGCTGAAGCTAATTTAATAACAGCTGTTCATTTTTGTGATGATGGTCGTAAAGTAACTGCTGGAACATTTGATGGTCGATTTTTATTTTATACTGATTCATTACAATATGATGTATGAATATTTCAATGCTATTTAAACATTCCATCTTTAATGGAAACGATGTTTGCTTATTTTTTTTCCCATTTAGACTGTAATAAATATTAGTGATAAAGATGGTAGTCGAAGTAATCGATCGAGAAAACGACGAAAACCATCGAAAATAACAGGCATTGAATCGATGAATTCACACAATTCAAAAGTATGAATAACTAAATAAAATGAATTCATACAAGTATTCTATCTAATTATGTTTATCTATATATTAAGGTATTGATTACATCAAATGATTCTCGGATACGTCTATATAATATTCGCACGAAAGAAATTGAACGTAAGTATCGTGGTTACTCAAATACATCAAGTCAAATACGAGCATCGTTTAGTTATGATGATCGATATATTATCAGGTATAATTTCAGTATAATCTTTCTACCCTTATTAATATTTTTATTTAGTGGTAGTGAAGATTCTTGGTTTTATATATGGAGAACAGAACCAAATAATAATGGTAGCGATTCACCATTAAATGCTAAATTAACACGAAAACAACGACGTTATTTCGATCGTGCATATGAACGTATTCGAGGTAACAATGAATATAAAGAAAAAACTTTTACGAAGTCGATATTTTGTTTTCTAGTTCATAATACAATGGTCACATCTGCAATCTTTGCCCCGAATCCACATGTAATAATGAATTATCTATATTCATCTTCTCCGTCATCCCCTTTAATCAACCGTTCTGTAAGTTCAACACCAACAACACCATATTTAGATCATAATCGAGCCCGAGTAACTGGTGCATGTGCTTCATCGAATTCATCCGAAGCATCATTCGCAATGAATAATACAGGATCAATTTATATGATGGTTACAGCAGATTCGAAAGGTCAATTGAAACTGCTTGTTAATCGTTATCATCGTTAAATATCCAAGTTACTGTTATGATATATATATATAATGTGATAATTTCATAATCAATAATCTCTTCCGCTTTATTTTCTTTATTGCGAAGAAATAATAATTCAGCTGTATAAGTATCCGAACAGTGATATACGTAGAATTTGTTTTCTTTTATAGCCTATAACAAATAGTTCGTACATATGACAGTATCGGCTGTATAACATGTCTTTCAGATTAATTCCTCGCTTTTTTGTTTTTGTTTTGTGTTAATTTTTACTTAATTTCATCTTTTTTTTTACATATATATACATATATGCATATAATCGATAAATCTTTACGAATGAAATGGAAAAAGAAAGCAAAATAATCAATCATTTTATTTATATTTTTTTGTTGTAGAACAGAAAAAGATGAAGATTAAATTTCAGCGTATGATTATCATTTTTCATGTAAATAGGTAAGTGACTTTTTGAAAAAAAAAATATTAGTAAAAGACATTTATCTTTTCTATCGATGACCTTTGTTTTCTATATGTTTGGCCTTCTTAATCTATAGTCGCCGATGGGCAAGTGCATGCGCGTTCATTGATTGCATGCGTTCTTTTGCCTGCAACTACGACCGTTTTTAATTGTAATACATGCGTTCGTGTGCTCGTATTTGATAGGTTCGATAAAAAGCATTACTTGGACAGCTGGTGGTAAATAAGAAAAATGGTATATTGTGTGTGTGTGTGTGTGTGTGTGTGTACGCGCATTAGAAAACAGCATGCAAACTGTAGTTTGGCTGTTGTATCGCGCCGATGGCAGCTAGCCACATAAGTAAATCTACATCTTTATTTTATATCACCAGACACATATAGTTTAAAAGGAAAGAGAACTAACATCCCCATGGGTTTTTTGCGCATAAAGTAATAAAATAAAGTGATAAATGTCTCAACATTTTGGTGTCATAGTATGTGTATAGTTAAAAATTAACTATAAGCGAACGAATTCTAGATTTGTAATTGAAAAAATTGTTGATCTTTCTAATTCAATTTCTTTCTGTTACTTCTAGACGTGTTATTAATTTTTTTTCTTTTCCATAACCTATGGCTTTTTAGTTGTTTTTTTACGCTATATTCCAATAAGTCAATATTTTCCATGATGACAACAGGTGGTTTCAGTTAATGATTTACTTTACATAGTTTCTCTTTGATCCATTCGATATTATTATTATCATCAGAAATGATAATCGTTTTTCTTTTCATGTTTTATCTACGTATACATCAATATCTATTAGTAGAAGAACGTTAGATATAGATTTTATTTTCTTAAAGTATTATTACCCACAATTATGAGTATCATTTCCGTACGTTTTGCAATGATATTTCAATACCACACATTGAGTATACTTGAATATAAGATAGACGAAATGTAGACGTAGTCATGTGTGAATTGATTCAAATGATAGCCGAAGGCAGAAGTTGACTTTCATTGCGTTGCATAAACATGCGCATCCTGTGTACTGACAAGACAAGATCCAAGAGAAAAAAATAGAAGAAAAAAAGAAGAAAATGGTTGATTGCAATACCGTGTTGTTATGTGTCAAAGGAGCAGGAGGGCTATGTGTGTTACCATCAACAATGTCTATTCTCTTCTTTTTTTTCTTTCCTCCATATTTACTCGCTTGTTTTCCATCTTACTATGGGAATGAGGTAGAGCAAAGAAGAAAAGAGCAATAACAACGGAGTCAACCCAAGCTAAATATCTATCATCAAATTATCATCACTACTATTTTCTCGTAAACTAGCAATCGAGCAGAAGTTATTTTTCTTCATCGTCAGCTTCGGTCGCTACAAACAATTTATTAAAGCAATCTACATAAACTTATATCTCTTCTCTTCTCTTCTCTTCTCTTCTTATATATAATCTACTAATTATCTGCACCTGCCTTGTACTCTGTTAGTTAATCTCTATAGTTCCATAACCCAGCTTCTCGAGATAGGGACCATATAATGCAGCTGTCTTATATATGCACACGAAGTAGAAGAATTTGTAATTTGGATGATGTCTTTAGATAAACAAGAATAATCATAGCAACACCAGCACCACCATGTAAAAAGATTTATTTTTCGTGGATAAACGATAATGAGTATTGAACATACATTATTATTAAATCAAGCAAATGTTCGATTATTGCTGATTACAGCTAATACGGGTTCTATATTTGAAAAGGTATATATCTATTTCATTTTTATTTGTTTTTATAATTCTTATTTTGGTTTCTAGCCTGATCTATTAACAGCATGGCTGATCGAATTCGCAAACGTAAGTAAAATAGAGATAAATGATATAAATGGAAAAAAGAATGGTATTGTCATCAGACAAAATGACAAGAATATGATAAATTATGTAGTTCGTTTTTGCTGTCCAGACGAGTAATTAAATGAAAACGAACGCTGTTGTTTGTCTCCACAATTGCAATTACAAGAAACATTATAATTATTCGATTGAAAATTTTTCAATAGCTTTTCAAATATAACTAAATCAGTTGTGGGCGTAACTCTGCCTTGTACGACTTTTTTAGCCTATAATATAATTTTGATAAATAAGCAAGCAAGCAAGCAATTTCTAAAAATACCTACCATACAATCACAAGAACAATCAATAAAACATACGCGAAATTTATCTTCTTCATATAAATCAGGTTCTTTTTTAAATAATTCATCTGAATTTTTCTTAAACATACAATCATTTGTGTCATCCATGCTTGATGGTTTATCATAAATAATACATTCATTTGTTTTAGTTTTTTTATTATCATCATTGGATAAAATATTTTTGATTTGTGTTGTCGTAGTTTCAAACAGATTAAAACTCTTAGTATTCGTTGACATAATTTGATGAAATGATAAGATAAAATATGTGTATATATATAGATATATATATTATAAAAATTATAGCGCGAATAAATATTTTCTATTATTATTTTTCTATGTTTAGCTTGTACGTCAACATCCATCAGATTTCATAGCATTGCATTGTCAGGAAGTCGGTGGAAAAGACTATGAAAAATTTATGCATACTCTAGATCAATTTCTCAAGTAATTGAATCTGATTTGACGCAAAAACAAAACCATGTCTATTCCATGTATTTATTCATATTTAAATAGAGATTTTCTTGAACTACCTGAAATATCTTCTGATTTTACTCGTTATCGTTTATATTTTGATTCAGATTATACATCTCAGGAAGCATTTACAGTGAGTTAATCGATAATTACTATTCATATTTTCAAATAGGACTTTATTTTAGGCTCTTGGTTGTGTTTATTTAATTCGTCAAAATCTTTCTGTTCAGCAATGGAATTTTACGAGTATAAAAAATTAATTTATAGTTATTTATTTATTGAAATATTTTGTTACTTTAGCTTCATCTTTTCAAGTTGTTGTTAATCGTCAGATTTTTGCCGGTAATCTTGTCAATGCTCAAACAATAAGAAAAGAAAAATATCCAAAGGAGTTTTGTCCCGAGGTAGAAAAATGTTGTGAGAGTATTAAATTTTATTTGATATTGAAATATCTTTAGTCAAAATGGTCTCGAAAAGGCTTTACACAAACTCGTTGGCTAATAAATGGCTTGTAAGTATTGAAAGAAAGAAAATGTTCTATGAATGTTTCTTTTTTCTTTAATATTAGTACATTTGACTTGGTAAATGTACATCTATTTCATGACGCATCAAACCTTTTAGCAATAGAACATAGTCCATCTATGTACAGTAAATGCCGGAGAAGCGCTTTGCAATATACTCTACAAAAGTTTGAATATTACTTTATGCATTTTCATTAGCTAATTGAATTTAATAGTTTATCACTTGGCTGTTCTGGTAAACATGTACCATATGTTATATTTGGTGATTTTAATTTTCGACTTGATGCTCGTCGTTTAGTTGACGTAAATTAAAATTAATATTAGAATTGAATGAATATTGAATTTTTGTTTTTCTTCTTTTTATTCACTATTTAGTATATTTCGGAAAAAAGAAGCGATTTAATTCATGAAATAAGAGAAGAAAATAGTGATGAAATTACTAAAATGATTATAAAAAATGAACATAACATCCCAAAATTAACAATACAAAAGAAAGAATTCAATCTTCATGATAATCATGATTCTTTTTTTAACATAAATACACAACAGGTAACTATACTGAGCAATATTTGAGCATCAATAGAGGCTTTTAGTCATTCGAAATTCGAATAGATTCGAGGTCAAAAATACTTTTTATTTTATCAAATTAACCTTTTTATATATCAAATTTCCTGATTGCTGCATCGATGTTAGTTCGCAAAATAGTAAATAATCCAATGTTTATCTCATTAAAAATTTTTTTTCGTTACATAAGATAGAATATAAGTCAGTTTAATGTGACTCGATCTGAGATTGAAAATATATTTTGATGATAAAATATTATTCAAATTTCAATAAAATAAACTTGAAATGTTGTTTTGTCCTTGAAAATATAAAAAGAGAGCATGTATATTCTTTGAAACTATGTTGAAGAAAATACTTATTATGTGGAAATCTGATAAACTAATTACATCAAAGTCTTTATCATTTATTTATTTTCTAGGCTCGTATGTTTGATTTTGAATCTTCATCATTTGATGATCATATTTTTGAATATGAAAAAACTTTTCCCCCGAGGTTTGTATTGAAATATCTTTTTTTTTTATCTCTCATAAGAGTGCCTGCTTTTTTCTCCATAGTTATCCGTACAGTGAAGAACAACATGAAGCTCGTTCATATCTACGTGCTCGTTGTCCAGCTTGGTGTGATCGTATTCTTCTTAGTCATTCATTCAAAAATATTGTTGATACTCAGGTTAAATAGAAGAAAATTCTTTCTTTTTTGTTTTTATTTTATAAACTGTAAATCATATGTGTGTAGACCGAAAATCCAACCTATGATATTATTGGATATGATGTATGCGTAGGTGATCATAAGGTGAGTTACTCATTTCATGTTTCTTGTAAATATTGAAATTTATTTCTCTAGCCGGTTTATTTATCTTTAACGATACGTTTGGTACAAGGTTGGTTTTATTTTTCTTTATTGCTTTTAATTATTGTTTATTGATCCCTTACTATTCTCACCTCTGATTCACATTGTTTGGTTGCTATTGCTAAGATATTTGTGTGTGGACGTGTGAATCTCTACTGAATTCATCGAATAATCTAAAATGATCCGTCACTGTTACGAGTTATAAGTAGAGAAAATATAGAATAATCATAGTTTGTTAATGCCAAAACAAATTTCATTACAAGCCAACATTATCGGTGCATATTCTAATTACGACAATGAGATTTCTAATTGTATAATATTATAATTATGATATGACAAGTTTCAAAATAATGAATAGTTTTATGGTTGTATTAAAATGACTGAGGAAAATGAAATTCTATTTGGTAGGATTTTTGTTCTGCTTTGAATGGTTTAGTTTTATTGTTTACATATGGTATAAAAGAAAAAACTATATGTATTATAGGCATTCATTTAATAGATGCTGATTAATTTTTCAAAATTTCTACTAATATAAACATTGACTAATGTAAATTATATTATTCTTCAAAAATATTTGGCTGTGTAAGTATAGGAAAGAAAAAAAATGGCTTTAGTATCATATTAACAGATAAACCTTTTATTTATCATAATCGTTCTTAACAGTGACCGATAGATTTTGACTTAGGTTTTCATATTCTTACCATTATTTAAATATGATCACATGCAAAAAATTTTAATAGTAAAAAACAATATAACACTGTTTAATATTACAGGAAGTTTGTGTTGCGGGATGAATCATTGATATCTTTTATCATTGATTTTTGCTTTTATTGCTATGCTTTTTTGCTTTGATACCACATTGATTGTTGGTTAAGGCTATCTTCTCAATCTTTCTCTTGTTCTAGAAGATTTGTCATTATAATGAATGCTCTTAATAATCGCCTTGCGAGGGTAAATACAAAAAACCTTATGTTCTTTTTTTACCACATAGATATTAAATTTAACTATCACAAATTTCCTTTATTTTTATATGTTTTCATATGTATGTAGCTAAAGTATCACTTCTTCTTCTTCTTCTTCTTCTTCTTATTTAGTTTTGTTTGTAGATTTGCTTATATATTAGAAATTGATTTGTTTTCTTGTTGTTTTTCTAGTTCTTTTGATTTAGTTATAAATTTAATTCATTTTTTTTTTCTATAAGATGCCAACGATCATATACAACAATTAAAAACCTTAACCCTTCCTTCAAATATCAAAACCGAATTACATACATTGGATATTCAAAATAATAAATCTTTAGAAACTTTATCAGAATCAACAGATCCTGAAGATTTACTTTCAAAAAAATCATTATTATTACCAACAACTTCTATGCTAACTAACGACGATGACCATCGAACAGTACTCGCACATTATGTATTTCCTGCTAATATAAAACATACAATAGTTCGATTTATACGCGAGACGCCGGTGTAACCTTTTCTTCAAATATTTGTATATATTTGAATCTCTATGTTTTTCCTAGTCTTCATATCTATTCAGCAGTGAATTGAATATCATTTTATGTGTTGTCTTTTACTTTTCTTTTTTGTTGTTTTGTGCATACATATATATAGATATATATATATATAGTTTGCAGCAATATTACGCAGACAATGGACGAATATATTTATCTTTTAGATGGCATCAACGATGATCGATGATCAAAGGAGTAATGATGAATCGCTGAATTCATCGAAAGTTGTTAAATTTTCTAATTTATGTAATTTACTTGAAAGAATATCTAAGAGTCAGGGTTCTACTGCTAAACAAAAACTAATGACAAGGTTTATAAGTGATTGGCGTAAAACACATAAAGAGGTACATGCGAATGATCTACCAGCGCCAACAACAACAACAACAACAACGTCTGCTACTACTACTGAGACTGCAGCAACCGGTAGTCTTAGTGGAGCATCACCAACAATTTTGCAAGATTCATTTTATTCAATTTTACGTCTTCTTTTACCACAATCAGATCGAGAACGTATTGCTTATGGTTTAAAAGAAAGTAAACTTGGTAAACATCTTGTTGAAGTGCTTAGTATTTCAAAAGATAGTGACGATGGTAAAAAATTGTAAGTAAAAATTTTTATTTTCGTCGGTTCCAATAGCGTCGAAGAAATTTGTAATGGAAAACTATACAGTCGAATAGGCACACAATAGGTAGAGCAATTGACTCGGTAGTTATCTGTGACGAATTTATTAGACGATATTGGAATGGACAAAACGAATTGCATCATAATGGACTCATTCGTTTTTTTTTACAAATATCGATTTCATCATTTTGTTTAGACTCAATTTTCGTGTTCAAAAAAATACTCGCACACAAAAAGGAAGTGATTTTGCTGAAGTAGCTTATTATGTACTGAAAAATCGTTGTAATGATGATGTTACCATGAGTATTTGGGAAATAAATAAAATTTTGGATGAAATTGCCGTGGAAAATGGAAAAGGAAAAGAAGGTCAAAAGGTAAACTTCTAAAGTGCGTTTCTTTAATTACAAATATTTAAAAAGCTGCAGTGAGAAAAGACTAAATGATGTGCGAGCGGGACTTGATTACTATTCATTTGTAGAAAACAATTTCAACTGGTCTTGAGTTAATATCTCAGTATGTTACTATCTAAAGCAAATTTTATCAATCTCTTATTTTATATAGAATCAATCAATTACTCTATAATCTCACATATTAGATAATAAGGAATCTATTTATGAATTCAATTTATAAACTGTAGTTTTACTATGTGTAATATGTATTCCTTTTAGGTTATCGATCATCGTCTTACTTATTTACTTCGCCATCTTAGTGCTCTTGAATTAAAATGGCTCATTCGTATTTTATTAAAAGACTTACGCATATCTTTAAAAGAAAATTCCATTCTCGAATGTTTTCATCCCGATGCAAAAGATTTATTTGATCATACAAGTAATTTATTTAAAGTAGCTATTTATTTACATGACCCAGAAAAACGTCTACACGAAATTGGTCTTAGTTTATTTTCACCATTTCGACCTATGCTTGGTAAGTAAAACGAAGAAAGCAATACATCAAATTTTATCGTATTCATTCTCTAGGTGAAAGAACACGAGCTGATAAAATTGAACAATTAATTCGTAAAAAATCCACTAATCCAACAGCAGCCTTAGCTGAATTTTATATTGAAACAAAATATGATGGTGATCGTTTTCAATTGCATCGTGATAAAGATCAATTTATGTATTTTTCACGTAATGGTCATGATTATACAAGTGTATTTGGTCCTGATTCTAACAATATTGGAACATTGACACCTTATATTGCAAATACATTCAAAATCGATTGTGAAAAATGTATTATTGGTAAGCAATCAATGTTATTTTACTTTTGAAAAAAAAGAATTCGATTTGTTTATAAACAATTTAGATGGCGAAATGGTCATTTATAATCGTAATGAAAAAATTATACATTCCAAAGGTGATAGTTTCGATTGTAAATCTATTCAAGCAAGTGATTCTCAATTACAACCATGTTTTATTGTATTTGATATATTAATGTACAATGATGAAATTTTAACAAATAAGCCAATGAATGAACGTTTCCAATATTTACATAAGAAAATTCTTGAACCTATTGAAGGAAGAATTATTTTTTCAGCTATTAAACCGGGTACAAGTAATCAAGATGTTATTAATGAATTAAATTTAGCTATTGAAGAGCGACAAGAAGGTATTGTCGTTAAAGATCCATGGTCCGTTTATAAACCAAATGTTCGAGAAAATGGTGGATGGTACAAGGTATGTATCTGTATTCGAATATTCTATTCGTTATAGTAACCATCAGATAGCAATAAGAGAAAAGTTGTAAATTATATTGATTTTAATTTGAATATATTTCATCAGAACGATAAGTAGCAAAAATCTCAAGGGGGAAACGGTGAACTTGAAGTAGAACAGTACGTTTAAAGTAGGCCATCAAACAAATAATATATGAGACAAAACAGTTAGTATCATCGAAAATTGTAAAAAAACAGTTCTGATTTCATCAAGGCTTTTGTAGATACACGTGCATCTTTAGAAGAGTTCAATCGATTGATTAATTTGGAGACTGACAATACAAGCATGATGAAGATCTAAATGTACTATGCATAATTTGAAAAAAGAAATCAAATTCATAGTAGTACGTAGCTGCCAAGACAACGCATGCTCATAGCAGTTTTTACATTAAAGTATGTCGATTTGCAATTTAGCATCGCGACAGACTCGAAAAGGAATAGTTTTATGTGAAAATTTCTAGATCTTAAGATTTATTTCATATTTTAAACTAAGAAAATCGAGTCCATCAGTGTCTAGGAGTGATATCAAAGGTAGACTTTTATCATATTTCTTCACATATTTCTACAGCAATAAACTATGAGTACAATTTTTTAAACGATATTTAGATCTCATCTGTATTTCAAACAGAAAGTGTTGACTTAAAAGTGATTAATCAATTGGAGAGCTACTATCATTAGGTTGGATTAGATAACATTTTCATTGTTAAGATACAATAGGAAAATACCACTATTTTATCCAGTATATGTAAACAAGTGGTTCATAGTTTCTAACAAAAATTATTGAGATATTCATTTTCGAATAAAAATAATTCTCCTATGTTTTCCTTAAATGTTTTAGATCAAACCAGATTATACCATCGGTACGATTTCTCAACGTAAACTTAATAAAATAGTCATGATTTGCACTTTCTAGGTCTTAATGATGAAATCGATTGTTTGATTGTCGGTGGTTATTTTGGTACAGGTCGTTTGCGTGCCGGTATGCTTTCTCATTTTCTTTGTTGCTCTGTTGTTAAACAAGCCAATACTTCCGAACAAAGAAATGGTGATGACGAGAATGCTGGAACATCCACACAATGTAAACCAGATGTACGTGATTATCTTTATTATACATTTTGTAAAATTGGTTCCGGTTATACGCATAAAGAATTGCTTGATTTTAATAATCGTTTTGCTAATAAATGGAAACCATGGACAAAAAAAACTGCACCATCATATATATTATGTACACATGAAAAACCTGATGTATGGATTGAACCAAGTGATTCATGTATTGTGCAAGTTAAAGCAACTGAATTTATGGCATCAGACAAATATAAATGTGGTTTTACATTGCGTTTTCCACGTTTAGAAAAATTTCGGGAAGATAAAGCCTGGTACGAATGTGTAACATATCAAGAGTTGATTGATTTACGTGAACGAAATGCTGGCAAATTAGCATCACGTTTTATGGAACATGAAGCTAATGATGATTTTGATGTAAATGATCAAGGACAACCTACAAAAACGTTAACTACAAAATCAAAAACAATATCTCGACAACAAGCTAAGCCAACTGTTGATTCACGCTTTCGTGGTATTGATCAACAATCGGTTAAACAAACTGGGCATTTTTTTGCAAATTTGGAATTTTGTATTATGGAAGGAAACGAAAAACATGCGAAAGCTGAACTTGAAAAACTTGTTTATGAAAATGGCGGAACTTGTGTTCAAAATGCATTAGCAAAAACTCATTGTGTCATTACAGGTAAAAAGGAAACGACTAATCGTTTATTTTTCTTTAAAAAGCTAAATAACTAGCATAGTTAAGTCTTAACATGCGGTTCAAGTAATAATTTAATGAGGCATGCATTGTTTCATATTATCAATATTGCTACATAATGATTGAGATAGATCATTGCAATTGCTATCATATTCTGGATTTCGAAGAGGAATATATTTAGTAATTTTAGAATTTTAATAAAAACCTATGTTTTTAGGTGTAAATTTAAAAGTAAAATAAAGAATTATCGTAGTGTTGAAATCTACTCTATATTGATACGTGACAGTTTTATCTGCACAGGTTCATTTCAGATCAATGAGCCGATTTCAGGTTGAGATCGTTGTCTTTAGATCGCTTATGATACTTATGTACCCACTCATTTATTTTTAATGTTTTTGGTGTATTTCAAACCATGGAATTGTAAAGAACTTGCCTGATTCAATTTTTTATTACAATTTTGTCTATAGATAGATAAGACTTACATACACTAGAAACATTCGAAATTTTGAGTCCCTATAAATGAAATCTTGTTAGGACATTTATACGTTACAGAAACGTTTGTTTCGTTCTCTTTTGTATGAAAGAATGCATGATCAAAACAAGTTGATATCTCAATAGAGATATGTTTGTCGTCCTTGAAAATTTGGAAAACTCTTTAAGATTAAAAGTTTACCTAATGGATAAAATTTTAGATCGCAATCAGATTATTTCATAGTCTCAAACATTTCTTCGCTTATACAGTAAAAAATCAATTCTAATTCAATCGGAAAAGATTCTTCTTACTACTCATACATCTGTTATGATGAGTTCGAACTTATTGCATCAGATACTATTTGGTGACTGTGCTAAAACTAGGTGTTCACTTGAACAACATTTTTCTGTTCAATACTCATTACCTAGAATCATCAATGTTTTTTGTCACAATTAGATCCTTTTTAGTAGAACTTCATAATGAAAAGAAAGTGAAAATTAATACTATAGAGGCTTTTCTGATTTTCGAAAAGAAATAACTAGATCAATATAATTCATATTTTAATTTAGATAATCCCAGTAGTATTCGTCTTCGAACATTAATCAAAAATAAACAAGTTGATATTGTACACATAGCCTGGTTGGTTCGTTGTATTGAGCAACACAATCTATTACCATATAATTTGTCAGATCTAATATCATGTACAGATAAAACTCGTGAAGCTCTCAATTTACTTTATGATGAATACGGTGATGCATATTTTATGCCAACAAATGAAAGTGAACTCCGTGAAATATTCAATCGAATGACATCATCAAAATCAACATTAGCATCACCGGCGTCAACACCAAGTAAAAAATTACCGGCAAATAAAAAGCGTCGCCTTGACGAACCAATTCCATTATCACAATCAACTATAGATATTGATACAATATCAAATCCATTAGATGATACAGCTAAACTTCGTTCATTTATAAACGAATTTGAAAATGTTTATTTTCCTGATGAGTCATATGATTATGGTCTTTTCCGTTTATTTTATATTTATTTCGATCAATATTGGACTATTGGTGATGAATCAACACAATTTATTGATTCAAATCATAGTTTAATTGTATTAGAAAGTCAACTACATGGTGCACGTATAGCACATAAAATAACATCGGATGTTACACATGTTATTTGTGCTAAACCAAAATTAGATGATAAAAAATTAAGTGACCGTGTTGATGTATTCAAAAAAATCAATCGTGAACGTACAAATAAATTTCATGTAATTGGTTATGAATGGATTAAAGCGTGTATTGCCAATCAACGACTTGTTAAAGAACTGCCGTATGCTCTGTAGAAAAATTTTGCTTTTTTTGTTTGTTGTTTTTTCTTGTTTTCTTTTGTATACATTTGTGTAATTGTAATTCTTCTGTCTCTATTAATTCGATGAATTATAAATAATAAACAAGAATCAAATCAGATAATATAGCTGTGCATCAATCATATGATAGATTTTAACTTTCTCAAATTAGATTCCAGTTCGGCGAAAGGAAAATTGAATATAGTACCACAAATGTAGCTCTCTACAATATAGTATGAAGCAGATCATATCATATATGATAATTACAACAGTTCTTGTCATGAGTATTAGTGTTTTTCTCTGATAGAATATTTTTTTCGGAACTTAGATATTAATTGGTCTAAAATCGTATACCCTATTGTATGAATTTTTCATAAGTAATCAAAATAGAACAGTCGACTCCAACGTAAAGTTATATTTTGGAAGTACAGAAAACTGTACTGATCGCAATTTGACTTCGCTCATAACTAGAACTCATCGTTACAATGAAATCCCCAAACAATCTGATTATCTAATAGATTTATTTCAAAGCTCTATGTTCATTTCATTCAGCATGTAACATTATACACGATATATATGATCAAATGCTTTACAACAGATAGTTTCTGTCTGAAGTTTAGTCAAATGATCATGGTTTGATCAGAAAAATCAGAAGATACTAAGTCTGTTAGGGATTTTCATTCACACCTAGAGGTTTATTTATGAGTAGAATAATATATGGAATGTTAAAAAACAGTTGAAACAGATTTTCCGTCATGAGTATAAATAAAGCAAACTTACGACCTAAACATCTTTTTAGATTAGGGGTGGTACGTTTACGTTTATTTAAAATTAACATTAACTAAAACCGTTAATTGTTAATTAACTCGCATTAAATTAAATGGTCCACCCCTAATGCGGACTACTACATCGAAATGAAGAGTGCACAATATTCTGAATTATCGGGAAGCTGTAAAATTACTTGAGAAACTTGAAAAAAAAAGATATTTCAGATCAACTTTTGAATACATGCACTTACTTGCGATCCACCTCTCTGTACAAGTATAACTAATCTATAGGCAAGGTATGTCAATGAATTAGTATTCTGTGAAATTATTACTTTGCTAAAATTAGTTTGCCATTGATCGATAATCCGAAGAATATTCAAATTTCTTTCTCTCTCTCTGTATATATATATACTAATCGCCGTTGATCAATCGTGTCTCTTTGTAATTTTTGATGAATACACATGATTAACAAGAAAAATAAATCAGTGTAAAAAAGATTACTCTTCTTTCTTTATTCTTTTGCTTTTAATCAATATCAGTATTAATATCTTATTTTAAAAAAAAAACAATTTAATCTGTATGAAAAATACACTCACGAATGTAATTGCTACGTTGTAAATTAAAGCAATTCCTCTACCCTGCTAATCTTTGAAGTATATAACGGATCAAGTGTGTTTAAAATAGTTAAAATTAAACTAAGTAATTGTCTGAGTACAGACAATCTTTATGTAGAAAAATGTTCTTATTTTTCTAGTATACCACTATTGAAAAACAAGATGGCATCCATCATCTCCATCCTATTATTAAACTACACCATGTCACTAATATTCTCGATCTCTTTATTGATGTAGATCGACGTACTCATATCCTTCGAGATATTTTTAATTATGCATCATGTTTACTTCAATCTTTGGTACACTAGATAAAAAACTGGGGTTTGGATTCATAATATCAACCAATCTGATGATGTGTTTGTTATATATGGAAATACGACAAGGTATAAACAGTAAGCAAAAGAAAATTTCCTGATGAAAGATACTTTTCATACGCCAATATGCATAATGCAAGCGTTTTGAATAATTTCTTTTTGATCATTTAATTTATAATTACTTAATAATTCAAAAGCTAATGCCTATTTTCGAATGGCAGAAAGATTAGTTGAACGCAATAATTAGGTTCTGATATTATATAAGATAGAATCAGTTTAAAAATTATGATCTTCGGAAAGAATTTTTAAAAAAATACATTGAAAACAACATCTTTCTTCAAGGAAATTTGCATAACGAGTCAAAACATTTTCTAAAATCTATTATTCTACTGATTTTATATATTGTTTGAGTCACAATATGGAACTATGAAAAGGTAATTTGTAAATTATGCCTTGATAATTAATAGATCTCAAGCTCTTTGATCATTGTTCAATCGATTTATCTAAGGACATCTATCGATAGGATAATCTTTTCTCTGATAGATCATTGGAAGACGTTCAGCTTACCAATTGAGCATCATTTACTTGATACAATGCAAAATGAATTTCCTTGGAAAATGTGCACGTGAAGTACATCATTCTAGATGAAAGAGTACGATATCGTTCAACACTTTGTATTAACTCCTTAATACAGATAATTCAAGAATTAGATAAATTATTCCCTATGGCCCCTCGTTTTCAGAAAGTCGTTCGTAAAACACGACGAGACGATACAGAAATTAGTCGATGCATTAAGTATGAAAATAAAAAAAGATTTTTTTGATTAATTATGTAATTCAACTTTTTCTGTTTATCATTTAGATATCTAATGTTTGGTTTTAATATTCTTTTTTGGGTAACTATTTTCTAATAATTAATTCTTACAAACTATTTTTTATTTAAAGATCCTTGGATTTATGATAACTGCTATAGGCATCTATGCCTGGATCGAAAAAGATACATTTGATAATTTTGGTCGTTTAACAATGCGTGGAACATTATTTTTTGATCCAGCTTTAGTGTTTGTTCTCGTTGGAATATTTATGTTTTGCATTGGTTTTACTGGATGTGTCGGATCATTAAGAGAGAATACATGTTTATTACTTTTTGTAAGAAAATTAATTTTTCTTAAATTTAAAATTTTTGTGTTTTCTTCTTTTTTTATAGTTCAGTTTTGCATTAGCAATTATATTTTTTGCTCAACTCGCATTTGGTACATTAGTTTTTATTTATCGTGAAAAGGTATGTAGTTTTTTATATGAATTTTTTTATGAATGGTAAATTCTTTTTCCTAGGTTAAAAATGAGGGCGAAAAACAATTGATGGTTATGATTGAAAGTTATCGTGATGATCCTGATTTACAGAACATGATCGATTGGATACAACGAGATTGGCTTCATTGTTGTGGAGTTAATAATTATCGAAATTGGGAAAGTAATATTTATTTTAATTGTTCATCCAAACTTGTTGGAAGTGTTGAAGCATGTGGTGTACCGGCTAGTTGCTGTCGAGCTGAATATTTTCATGTAAACTATTTATTGTAATTATTTATCCAGATTGAATTCAATTATTTTCTTTTCTTTTAGAATAATAAACAATGTGGTTATGGAACTTTAGAATCATCAGCTGTAAGTTTATATTAGTTATTTAAATGATCGAGATAAAAAAAGGAGATATCATTTATGAGTTAACTATGTTTGAAAGTGATAAGAAAATGATAGTCAAATTCTCTATAGGGCACACATATGATTTATACTGATGGTTGTCTACCAAAAGCATCTCAATGGTTTGAACGACACATTCTTCCTGTGGCCATCGTTATTGTTGTTCTTGCTGTTTTACAAGTATGTATATCGAGGATAAGCGACTGTTTATTATCTGATAAATCATATCTGTCTTTTTTTTTGTAAGATACTTGGTATTTGTTTTGCTCAAAATCTTCGTAATGATATTCTCGCTCAAAAAGCCAAATGGTTATGGCAGGCACATCCAATGATGAATTATTATCGGCATCAATAAAATATATCTATCAGATCATAAATTTCTTTTTTTTCTATATTTCTTTCAGGTTTGCTTGTTGTCAGAAATACGAGATCTTTTTTTTTAGTTTTGTGTGCGTGTCTTTCATTGTTCACAATGTATATCTGTAGATATATATATATATATATATATATATATATATATTCATATTTAATAAGAATCTTTCTCTCTTTTATGAAATGAATGTATATGAAGTATGATTTTAGCATATGAATAAAAAAAAGTACAAATAACTTCTATTTCAATCTGGCCCCGGATTCGTCCTATATTTCCTATATTTAAAAAAATCCCTATTTTTTCTCCTATATTTCGATGAATTTTCCTATATTTCCTATAAAAATGAAAAAAAGTAGAGAATTGCTAAAAACGCTCTTGTTTTAGTATAATTTTCGTGTTTTTTAAACAGATCTATTCGATAATTATTGATTCTTTTGTATTCTTAGAATGTTTTTGAAAGGGACTCTATTTTATTTACAATTTCTTTTCACATTATCAAACGGGCTAAATGAAAATAACTGACTTTTAAGTAAAGATATTCAAACAAAGTAAAATAGTCTTTATAAATAGTTGTGTGTTTTTTAAAAGATTTTATTGTTGCCTATCACATGCAGCTACGTAAATGGTTTTGTTCAAGCGTAACGCTGTGACCTATTTTGACACACTTTGTTTTTCATTATCTTGGAAATTGTGTGAGTTAGAAAGTTCGTTCAAACGTGATTTGATGCAACTTGGCATGATATGTTTATGCCATAAAATGACCATTTTTGGGTTAAGTCTCTTGGTTATAGAGAGGAGTTTTTGTTGCTTGACTGTGACATAAAAAGACGCTTTCCTTCATGGCCACTAATAATCAGCAGTTTCTTTTGCAACTATTTTTCCAAATGAAACACTTCTCGAGTTAGTTTTGTAGTGATTTTGACCAGGCTTTTAAAACACTAAAAGCGTTTTCTCCAAGCTATTTTTGCTTAGATAAAAAATGCAAGAAAGCAGCGTGACATTTTTAGTAACGCTGAGGTACAGTTTTCCTTCACCAATTTTGAAGCACTAACATGATCAGAGTTATTTGATTTTTATTAGTAAGAGCATTTTCTTTGTAGCTAATCGTTATACACAAAAACGAAATTGATACATCTGTATGGAAGCTCATAAACGGTAAATTGAGTTAGAAAGTGTATAAGAGTTTACATTGTCCTTAGCTACGAAAGTCAAAACAAAATANGAAAGCGTATAAGAGTTTACATTGTCCTTAGCTACGAAAGTCAAAACAAAATAGGCCAGCTTGTAGAGACTGAAATTCTACAACTAACGACCTGTCATTGATATTTTTTGAAAGCATTTCTTGGTTAAAAAACTCAAAATACGATTTTTGAAAATTTTCATACTCGGCGTGAATATAGGTTGATGTGAGTATAAACACACTACAAACCATTACCCACACCGTGATTTATTTTGTATTAGTTTATTAATATGTAAATAAGCATATTTCGATTGGATTGAATTGTGTCTGACTCATTTAATTTAATTTAATTTAGGAAAGAATTAAAATGAAACATTGACAAAAATTTCGTGCATATGTTAAGTTGATGCAGGAAAATTTTAAAACAACGTTTGATTCGAATCTAAACAACGAATTTTCAATATCCTATTTTTTTCTGATTTTTTACACCTTTTCCTGTATTTTTAAAAAGTTTGATCATGTGCTAATTCCTACATTTTCAAAAACTTGCAATCCGAGGCCAGATTTCAATTCAAACAGCAACTTAGATAGTAGTAAGAACTTTGTTGAGAAGAGTGAGAAATAAGAAATCAATAGAATGAATGAAATTAAAACTATAGTGAAAATTAAAACTAGAAAATAAACTAGTAATGAGTAAACAAAATTTGATAAAGAATACAAGATTTCTTGTCACAAAACGCATGTAACTTTATTTCCTTTGGTGCTAGACAGTCGAATGTACATATGAATTGTAGTCTCGCTCTTCAAATGCATAATGTGTAAATTGAAAATCAATAGAAAACCATAGTTCTTTTTAAATTATAATTCATTATTATAGAAGCCATGTCTCTTATTTTTACTATTATGATTATTGTTGTATGTCACAAAGATGCCTTCAAATATATATATATATATAGTCATCAAATCCATCGTATACTTCGATAAAATATTAATCTTGCCAATAAACATAGAAACACTGATATTGATTGTCTTTGAAGATATAACTTGACCGGTTTCATACCTTTTATTTTCGTCATATGAGAACGAATTCAAAGCCATGGAAATTGTTTTCTTTTTTGCCTGCTATCAAGTATTCATCCGAGGAGCATTGATACTTTTTGTGTACATACAATTTGAGCGGACAAAAATAAATCCTCAGTTGAAATTTATAAGATACATTGAAAACTGTTTGATTTCAAGCGTTTTCATCTTATATTGTCTGAACTGAAAAATATAGACTTCCTAGTGCAAGGTGTCATATTTTGTATAAAATCTTATTTATGTTCGCCGATCGTAGCAGAATACTCTATACCAATAGTCAATGTTTAGGAAGATGAACAAAAGAAAACGAAGCGTTTCGTGTGGTTTATTACACATGAGCATTTCATCTAGTTTAAGACATCGAAATTAAAATGGCACAATAACTTTCTTTATGGCTTGCGACGCTTTGCACTGTGGTTTCCATATGATGCCACAGCTGAAGGCTGTGCAGTAAATACATTCATCCTTTGATTGCAATTATTTGATGATGAAGGTTCAACAGTTGCCGGTATATTTGATTCACATCCACTTTGTTCAATCAGTTCTTCTAGAGGAAAAAAGACATTGATGAGGAAAAATAGATATAACTTAACATATTTTTGATTACCATCTAATTTCTTTGTATATATATAATCAGTTTGATAAATAATTTTCTGTTTATATTGAATCATGAGGTCAACTTTAGCACGACTTTGATCGGTGGGAGGAAATGGTGGCATACGAAATGTTAAATTACTACCATTCTTATTCCAATTTTGTACGCGATGCGACAATTGCATTTCTGCACAGCTTATAATAATACTAAAATTATTTTTGAAATCCTTTCCAGTGGTACCCTTCGTTTCAATGCAAACTTTTTGGTTTCCACACATGGGTCCATATAGTGGAAAGATGTCTTCAATTGTGAAATCACCATAATCTAAAAACGATTTTTTTTCATACTTCTAACTAAATAATTAAAAAGAAGGCACTCTTACGTTCGGTCATTGTCGATGAATATACAGTGCTAGCGTCATCTGATTGATAGTGGTCATCTGCATTTAAATAAAAACGAGTATAACGAAGCATCGACTGGTGAAGTTGTCGTTCGTTTATTAAATCTTTTGTTATTTCACCTTCTTGTTTGCTTTTGATATATTCAATCAAAAAGCTATAAAAAAATTTATGCCAAAATGAAACTAAGATGATTTGAAAGTTTTGAGATCAAAATACCTTTTTTCACCTTTCTCGTAATCTTTTTCCGTTAAATGAAAATACAATGAATGAGGTTCATTGTTCCATTTGAAAACTAATGACGATGCTGTAGGTTCTTTAGTATCAATAGTATATGGATGCGGTTGTCCATAGATATCTACAAGAGTTACTTGAATAATATCATTTCGTGTAGTCAGTTTTTGAGGGATCTAGAAAATTGAAAAATATTGTTATCAATAGTTTATCTCAATAAGGAAGAACATACATAAATAGTTGGATATTCAGGTTTAACACCATGTTCACAACGTAGGAAATGCGATGAATCTTTGCTTTCTTTTTCAGTTCGTGGACGAAATAGTGCACGAGGCTGAGTTTTTATTTGAAGTTTTTCAGATAGTAGGCTATCGTGTTGTAATGGCGAAGCTAAAAACAAGCAGAATTTATTATTGAGAGGTAAGTAGTATGTACGTACTCGTTTGATCTGCAATTTGTTCTTCCGTCGAAGTTTGGTTTTCAATTATAGCTATAAAAGAAATGCCGATGTATTATATTTATCAATTATATTAAAAATTTTAACATACCTTGAAAATTAATCACCGGTTGTACATCTCTCGAATGTTGCTCAACTGCAAGAAAAACAAAATGCATACATATATATGAAAATATTTTTTGGCTACTAAATATAGTTTTAATAGTTGATGAGAAAATGTGTTCGAGAAACATGTATAACTCCTATATTATTTCTTTTTTATATTTTTATTGTGTAGAGCATGTAAGATTATTTATGTCAGTTATAGCTATTCTGCTATTTAAAAGTCATAAAATATGAATTGTATTTTCCTGTGCTGTATATGGTAGTGCTTGATAAATGTATCAATTTATATTAGATAAAAATTGAAAACTTACGATAAGATGATTGATTAGAGTAGTTATCCATAGTATTCTGTTCGACATCGTCGGCAACATTGCACGATGATGTTGCCGTAGGTGAAAAATCTGGTAAGTCACGAATGTAGTTATATATCTAATAAAATAGTAAAACAAAAATAAATTGTTGAATTTTTAAAAAATAAAACCTACTGCAGAAAATGTTGGATCATCGATTGTTGATTCAGATCTTCCAATAGACGTAGGTACTGCGAGAATGCTGTCGTTGATGGTAGAACTCATTGTTAAATATATATCTGAAAGTATATGAACTTATATGTATGTATTCATGCAAGAAGGAAAATTCGTTGTTTGTTTTTGTAAGCCATCTAATAATTTTCAAATTACATTGTCAATTATTTTTGTTAAATCTCCAAAAAAATATGACTTCTATTCGGTAATCTATTCAGCATACTTGCTCTTCTAGTTTTGAATTATCTATTCAACCAATAAATTATCTCAAGTTGATAATATGTATCATTGCTGGATGATCGTTCAGCAACTTATTTTTTATTGTAAGTATCCAGTTATGCTACTCATGCGTTCTCTAAGATCTCAACTAGTATCTTATATGCATTACTTTGATACGATGAACTTTCGACAATAGTGGTAAATTTTCAGTATTAACAAAATTCTCAAGAAATTAAAATAATAATAACTATTAATCTACTTTTTATTGTCCATTTTCCAGGGGAATTTCAAGAATATTCTCTGAAGATGAAATCACACTCAATCAGTCAGATCTCAATTCATACAATATTGAATTATTGCACGATTGCAACAAAATGACGTCCTTAACTAAGGCATATTTTTCCTTTTTCTTCTTTTCTGCTCTATTACTTTTTTGTGTTTTAACCCACATTGAATCATCGTTTGAAACTCACAATTTTCTTTATTAACAAATGCAGAAGATTATTATCATGCTTGTCGCCTTTTTGCTTTTGTTAGAGCTCATCAGGTGCAATCTACCGAACTCCAGTGAGAGTACACTTGTGTGCCTTAAAATAGGCACCCACACTCTCGAGCGTTATTCTATTGTTCCCAGAACAAATTAATGATGAAAAAAAAACACAAATGAATGAAAGAATAATGTCATGTACAAGTCAGCCACTATCACAAAGACTATTACTCTAACTGCTTTAAAGAGAGACACAAAGTTATAAAAGTTTATATCAAGTTCATGTAACACGGGTGTGGGTGTGGGCGTAGTTCTTTATTAATACCCACACACCCACACCCACACCCTCAAGAATCGCGAGACATCTTCATGTATTGACTTATCCCTATCATACGTTTGCTAAACGATATTCTTCTCGTATTGAGAAGCGCATGCAAACAATTGATCAACGAATATAAGCCAAATCAAGTGAAAAAGTCAAGGGTAAAAGCGGGTTCTTTCGGATTATAGAATTCACCAGGAGCCGTAGATTCCATCAGAATCCACATTTTCCCCCTTGAGTAAATATGCTAATGCAAGCCAATCAACTACGCTCATAGCTGGTTACATATCAATTAAATTGAGTACGATCAGAACAGTAGCTTAAGCTGGCCGCTCTGAGCAATTATATACGTTTCTTCACAGTGTCCTACCGTCATTGATATAACATTATCAAATTATCGTCTTATTCTTGCACATTGAAAAGTTTCCTGGAATGCAGAAAGCTATTAAAAGACTGATAATATAAGTATGTTCCACGATAGGATAAACTTTCTTTAAATCAACTCTAATCCGAGTTTTTGTAGATATTGATTGATACACATATGTAACTGTAATTACCCATCATTTCATTCTATTTCAAAAGACTACCAATTTGGAATTGCAAATTTTATGTCTTCACGTTTGTAGTTGTGCACCAATCTTACGAGACAATTGAAATATATTTGAAACTTCGTTAATATTAAAATGGCCATGAACTTTACAAGTTATTGGAACTGCTAAGGCCTGTGCAAACAACGCAGAGGATAATATTGCACATGCAAAGTGATAGTACATCCTATATTGATTTTGAGTTGAGGCTAGAAGTTGGGTGTGATTTTTTTCTAGCTCATTTGCCTTATATATTATAAAAGCACTAGTTAGTAATATTTCACTCTCACATATTCCCAATAACATTTGAGTCATGTTTACTAATCTTTTTCCTGGCAATTGGAAATTTAAAGTCAATAAAATTTCCTTTTCGCAACCAAGCGTTATTCAGTTATAACATTATCAATATCGATGTATAATAGATTGATACTGATAAAAACTGAAAATGGGCTAATCAAAAAAAGTATCAGAAAAAATACAAGCATAAAAATTATAAGTAGTCTTTTGTACGAAATATAAAATTTATCGGTTGGAGAAATATTTCAAAACATTAACAATTTGTCTTACTTTTAGACTCTACAAGAGATAGATACATACAAAGTTGAAAACAGTGGTAGATCCTTTTAAGCTCGAATCTGGCAGATTTTCGACAAAATTAACAGCTGACAACAACAACCGTGTCTCAGATCTTTCGAATAAGTTTAGGAATATTATGGTAACCAACAACGGCTGTAATTGATGATATAATGATTAGTTTTTATTTATGAGCCGTAAAAATGGTTTCATTGATAACAAAAGTAAATCTGGCTTAGAAAACAATCTAAATATAACTAAAAGCATAAAGTATAAAGAAGTTTCAGATAGCTATTTTAAGAAAGAGATTTTCAATATTCAATAGATGGAAAATATATGAGATTAAATTAATTGTTGCTCAGTAGTCCTTGAAAGATTTTACATTCTATAGGACCTAGTGCGCAGTAGCAGATAACTACAAGTTTTTTCTAAAAGACTGATTATGATAATACCAAAACTATAGAAGACACAGAAATCAACGATTATTTGCCTCACATGATATCCAACTAAAGGCTCCTATTGATTTTAACACTTATGTATATATTAGAGATATCAACCATGAATATCTTCCTTCATTACATATTGCTATCGAATGAGTTAGCTAATAAGCAAAATGCACTCCATTAAGATTTCGTCTCATCTTATATCATAGAAATACAAGTCAGTTTTTAACCAAACATACTTTGATATGTTCACACTCTAAAGTTGAATGATACGAACTATGGTTATGTGTTGTATTCTGCAATAATATTGAATTTAAAAGCAATCTAATAAATAACTATTAAATTTAGTAGCATAATATTTAAAGTATTTTTATTGGCGTAGCCAGAAATATTTACGGTAGTGGGGCTCAGCACGTGAACTATATCTCATAACTTTTAAGCGCTGACCACTTTCTGTATGAAGATTCATACCAGCACACTCTTTTATCATAACATCAAAATCAAGTTAAAAATTATCGTTATACATTGAGAGTGTTGAGAAGTGACTAGCTAATTCGAGTGAGTGATCAAAATATAATTAAAAGCAAAAGAAGAATTTTTCATTTCAACATAGTCCGACTATTCTTATCAGTATCAGAGAATTTTCTCAATGTCATACTCGACAGCTAATAATTACACATCACTTAGGCGATCATCAGTTTATTGTATTTTCTAAATTTTGTTTTGATTGAATGATAAAACTATATTACTTTCAAACTACAAATAGACAAACATTCTCAATAACTAAAGTGTCATAATCGAATTTGTTCTATTGTTATGGAAAGGTTAAATTACTTCAAAGTAAGTACAATAGTAATTAAAATCTCAGTAGTGAGACCAAGTCTCACACGGCCGTCCCCTGTTATTTATAGCATAGCTAGTCATATCACGTAATAAATGATACTACTATTCTAATAAAGTAAAGGTGTACTTCATTCATTTTAAAATTCTCTTGATGTAAGATGTCGCATATGGATGGTAACTATTTGACATTAGCATAAATCAATGTGTTCGCAAGATAACCTACATTGGTACAACTACACAAGAACAATATCCCTTACAATAGTTTGCGTGATAAAGGGTGTGGGTGTCGTTTTTCTGCTGTTGAACCTGTAGCTCAATATTTACGATCGTACCTCTCTTTTACATATACGAGCTACTGCTTCTTCGTTGAATTTAGCAGTAATTACTTAGATCTAAGCTTGATCAGAATAAATAAGACTTTAATCTGCTCGAGAACCAACAAAGTTACAGTATCCCATCTATAATTAACTATAATTGATTAAATATCTCCATCTCAAATCGACTAAGATTGACTCCAAGAAGCGGACATTTTTCTTGAAACAGTAGTTAGGGAAAAACAAATGTTTTTATTTTCACGCAACAACATAAGTGTAAGTTGCTGACTAGTCTTTTTTGAAAGATTTAAAAAATTCGTAAATTTGTAAAGAATCTAGGTTATCCTATATTTTCTACCGGTACATTCAATGAATCTGACCAATGAGCAGTTGCAGTTCTGGTCTAAACCGACCACAGTCTTAAGAAGCAATTCAGTTTTTTTTGAATACCCTCTTGGAGAGAGGGTGTGGTAGCGATAGCTTCTCAGTCACGATGAATATCTCTGATGTCTATCTAACATATCTAAATGAGGATAAAGTGTTTGTCATTAGTAAAAATCGTGCTAAATGATAAGGAGAGAATATCGACCATCACAGAGCAGTGAAAAGTATCTATGTTTGCCACTGAAATTCAGGAAAACGCTATGAACTGGAGAAAGCCGGTGTCATTAGGTCGCTGTATTTCGTCTACTTGTACAAGAGGGAAAATCAAGACCAAAAACAGCATGACTGTCGTAGGGAATGTTTTTGTTGTAATGATACAGACACGATATGACGAGCGCACTCTATTTTACTTCTAAACGGTCAAAAGATCGGTTTTCAGACAGTGTGGTCGCCGTCATCTAATGCAAAGAACACCATAACATACATCCTAGTACAAGTATTCAGTTCAAGGTATCCTGGTACCAATATATCACAGGTACTTTTCAGTACTTGGTTACTGTCTGATAATTGTTGAGTACTTGAGCGTGAGCACATGTCTTCTAGATATTTCAGGGTGCTCAATGAACTAATTTGTTGAAAATGTTTTCGTACGGTGCATTTGAAATTGTACAACTATTCAAGTGCCCAAGTATTGAACAATTTTTCAGTAAGGTAACCGACCAAGTTTCTGTCACATACTGGTAGCAAGGTATCTTGTCGGATACCCTGAACTCGATACTTGCAGAATGGCACACTCTCAAACAAAAAGATAAACTTACTATTTTAATTTGATAAAAACCAGCATAAAAGCTAAAATAGAATAATAGTACGAATACAAAAATTTTAAATCTAATCTATAAAAATTTCAATTGAAGTATATTTCATAAATTTTACGATTTAACAACGGTAGAAATATAGTACATTGATAGGTGTTCAAATAGCGAATAGAGCTGACTGTAACAAGTCTTGTTTAACACTACTGTGATATGTCTAAAACATTTCATGTTTTTGTAATCTTTTCAATTAATGACTGTTCATACCAAATAATGAATAATTGAAACAGAGAAAATCAATGTGTGCTGCAAATTTCAATAGAATATCAAGCAATACCTTCAGAAGAACAGTAAAGACACCCAGCATTAATCAATAAGATAATAATATTATTATTATGTTTTTTAATTAAAAGAAATCTAAGACTCGTGTAAACGACACCGACCACATTGGCACCTTCCAATATCCCATTAAATGCAGCCAATATATTGAGAGGAAGTTTTGAGTTTACCAGAGAAAAAACAGCGCATAACATAGAATGGAGAATACACAGTCCTATTACTATCGCAAGTTCAGTAAAAGCAATCTTTTCGGCAATCCAAATGAATATCTTATCTTATGAAACTTAGACGAATTTGCTAACCTTTTACATTTATGCCGATAACATTTCAATTGAGTTAAAACGATAATAAACTTTATTAGAATTTGTCTATTAGGTATATATTTCTTTTCCGTACATTGAAAACCTTCCGAGTTTTTTTAGATCATTTTTTATATTTATACATACATACATACATACATATATACAATAAACAATGAAAGCAAAACAAAGCACAATAAAAACAAAAGATAACAATGGCACTGATGTTTTTATTTTATTTTAAAGTTTAAAGAACATGCGTTTACTAAATTCTAAGTCAACGGTAAATACACGAACATAAATTTAATGCGACAAATATATTGGAAGAATCACCAGGATCTTATTTCAGGGATTTGTCCGAATGGAAATCTGATTGATAATGATAAACAATAAGCCCAAAGAACTTCGCTGTTCGATGTTTTAAATTTTTATCTGTTTAGTATTTAAACGTTTTGCAGTTTTTGCAGTTGATGATTTCCTAGATGAAATTCGCATTGGGCATGCACCGGTAACGGAAAAAAAATGAAAAGCATCACAAATCGGTGAAGTATCAACAGTTGAAGTTGAATCATTTAAATTAAGTTCAGCTAATGCTTCTACAAGCAAATAATTAGAGAAACAAACGTGATAAAATAGGTTACTTACGATCTAAGGATCCTTGATATAAATAAGGTGTTTGATAGAATTCTTCACCCTTGTAACATATAGTAACATTTACAGTACCTTGATCACTTCCTGAAAATGGATAAGGAGGCATTGAAAAATAAACAAGATTTGAATTTTTCGTAAATGGCAATTGTCGACGCCAACCAGTTGTATTCTCCGTAACAAAGACAGTTATATCCTCTTTAACAAAACGACCCTTAAGAAGAATATAAACTCCTTCATTGCCACTGATAGGTCCATATTTTGGGCCCATATGTTCCACACCAATATCACTATAAGCTGGAAAAAAAAGTAGATATTAAAATTCCTTTTCAATCAGAAGATTAAAAATAATTTCTTACCTTCAACCATAACATTTGAATATTCAGTACTACCGTCATCACGTTGATATATGTCTTTTTCAGTTTGATAAATACGTGTAAAACGAAGCATAGATTGATCAAGTTGTAGCGTTTTAATTAGCTCTTTGGTGATATTAGCATCTTGTTTGCTTTTGATATGTTCAAGCATAAAGCTATAAATAAAATATCAACATAATTAAAAATGCTTAACTTCAAAACAACTATACCTCTTGTATCCATTTTTAAAATCTTCATTTGTCACAGAAAAATATAATGTATTATTCACATTTTGTCTGAATATTAATGCATTCTCATGGATCGAAGTGCTACTTGTTTTATTTTCAAGTGTATATGGATGTGGTTGATAATCGCTTCTAACAAGAGTCACTTCAATGATATTTTTAACCGATTGAAGTGCCCATATATGAGGTATCTATGAAAGAAGATAAAACATTCTCTCTCTTATACATATATATATATAAATATTCATCAACATACATAGATTGTTGGATAATCATGTTGATCGTTTATGTCACATCGAATATAGTGTGATGCATTTTTACTTTCATTATACGTTCGAGGACGAAATTTAGCGCGAGGCTGAGATTTTATTTGAATTTTCTTCGACTCTATTGAGTCACATTGAAAGACTGTATATAAAAATTAATTAATTTGTTAAAACATTAAAAATTTACATACTTTGTTGTTGAATATCATAATCATCTTCCATTTGTGCTGTAGTACATGGTTGACACCCACCATAACCTAGACGAATGAGAGGTAGTCATTAGTATTGTCAAAATTTCGCTATTAGCATTAGAATACTTGTAAGAATATCAATTGGACCAACATTCGATGAAGATTGCTGATACTCTAAAGATAAATAGAATTTAGTTATAGATTGATTTCAGTTTACAACAGCCATTAACTTACTAGAACTTTTTCTTGCTTTTGATGCATTTTTGATGATGCGTTGTTGTTGTTGAACACAGTGTGTTGCAAGAATTGAATCTAAAAATTAGTAAAAAACAAAAGTGTACCATATTCAATATGAATTAAATTTAACTTACTATCAATTTTGTGTTCAACTGGTGAGCTGCCAATTTGAAAAGCGATTGCTGATGAGAAAGTATCTTAAATAAAAATTAAAAGACTTGTTAAACATATAATAAATAATAAAATCATATTAACCTGTGTGTGATTGATTTATATTTATTCTTTCAAGGGTTTCTTCAATTGTACTTTGTCTTGGCATTTCTCCAAATGGTGTTGAAATGAGTTTAGCTATTTCATCATTTTCAAGCGGAGACTCTGGTATCGGATTGATAAGTTCTGGGAAGGGAATAAATTCTAAAAAGAAAAAAGAATTCAAATTTATTTCCTTAAATTTTTCTTTTTCATTATATAGTCCAAAAATAAATCTTTTTTTATTTTATTTTCAAAGGACTTGCTTTATTTCTATGCAATTTCGTTTTAATATTCATTTCAAAACATCCGAATAATAAATATGCTGACGGCGTCACACACGTTTATGAAATTTCAAATATTGATATAAAAGTAGAACTTACCATCGCTTGTGTTATCAATCAGAGCATTGCTAATATCGTCATTGATATTAAAATGTGAACGTGCCAACAAATCTTCTTCAGAAAAAAAGATGTCGCCAAGAATCTAAAAAAATTATAAATTAGTAATCTAGCTATGATTGCATCTATCTAATTTACTTGATCGTCAAGTGATGAATCGCGTATAAGTTGCAATCCTGATGCTTGATGTTGACCAGTTAAATTCATCGATTCCAATATATTGTCCAAATCAAAGTTCTCATCCATATTCAATAGAAATAAAATCAATTAACAAGTTAATCTAAAATCAGCGAATACTCAAGTCTAAGTATCTATTATCATTGAATTAATCAAACATGAAAGGGTATAGAAAATGCATAGAACATAAAGTATTGAATTTCTTTACGTTAATATGTGTTTCATCTTAAAAAATGACTTGTACTGTTTTGTGGCCCTTCATCGTTAACATTGAAAAGAAAAAAATAGCGAATGAAGGGTGATCTTTTTTTATTTGCTACGAGGCCGTTGTTCTTACCTTTTTATATAAAGAAAAAACTTCTTTTTTCTGCTTCTACCTCTTTATTGCTGCTGCTTCTACCCTTCCTCCCCAATGCTACCCCGGCAAAAAAATAATAACCCCTAAATATTAAAGTGAGAGAAAAGAAAATATGAAAGAAATATATTTACTCGTCACAAACAACACATTTGTCATGTGCGGCTTTTTTTATTGGTGCACATCAAGATGGCTGCGTACTCAATGATTGAAGGCGATCAAGCTAGAGGAAAAAGAAAATTTTATTTGAAAGATGTCTGACGACCCTAGCGACACTCGCATGTGTCTCTAATAGTATTGAAAACAAGAAAAAAAAAGAAATAACGTTTCTAATTATTTAAAAACCATATTTATACACTTAATAAATAACAATAGGCAAAAAAAATTTCTAATGGATTACATACATGAGTGCTTTCGTACAATTTAAAATACTCTAATTAAAAAGGCCTAGGTCATCTTTTCATTAAGTTTACTCACTAAAAGTGACTCAAGTAACCAGTAATATCATATATATAGGAGATTGCTCTGAAATAAACAATTACGAGGACAAATAGTGAGTTAGTCAACATTATGAATGTGGGTGGCTATGTTGACGTCAACTATATTTCTATGAAATTTCTACTCGTACAATGAGCTCAAGAAATTAAAGATTATTCTCTTTTAAATAATTCTGAAAATACTTTGAAACTCATTCAAAGTACTTTATCTTAATTCAAGTTCAAAATAGTTAAATAAAAATATTATTTGTCTGTATTAGTTATAGGCTATGAAGATAGAACAGTATTTATATTGGCAATCGGTGACGTTAAAATATATGTTTATAGAGATATTGTTGGATCTATTCAAGACTTTTCTAATGAGAGAATAAAATAGCTGCTGTCTTATTCTATTAGAAAAACTAGATCTCAAACTTAAAAAAATACTTAATTCCATTTCGCATTTGTTCTATTCTACAGATAATAGAGCATTATCTTTTCTTGCTAACAAAAGTGCCGTTAAAAAAGCTTTTGTTCTTATTGCAACCTATTTCGATGAATGTAGTATCAGTCTCAGCGACGAATGAGAAGAGCAATGTTAAAGATTTAGAAAAACTATTGAGAAGTGAACTCGTCGTAATTTCAATTTTCTATCTGATATAAGATAATGCACCAGGGCTGTCTTGTACTTCTGTTAGCAAGATTATATAATCTTCCATTAGCTCAGCATGAAAACAAAATCGAAATAAAACAGTGTTGTTTTTTCTTAAGTTGATATATTTTATTCCTACGTAGATAATACTCTATTTGTTATATTTGCTTACTAAAAAGAATCTAAATGCCTTTGATAAATACGTTTACAAAACATATATTCGTAGACTATCTATTAGCCGTAACATTCTTTTTTTAAATAAATTTTTATATACATAACTTGTTATTTTCTATACGAAATCGAAAAGTTAAATTCATATAGATAGCGTTCAGAGTAATCGGAAGAAACTAAAAAAATTATTATGTTATACTTATCAAAAGAAAAAAAGAAACTTGAAATTCATGCATATTCGATAATAAACATTTGTATGAAAACATTTAATAATAAAATATGGTTGAGATTAGTTTGGTTTGTATCTAATAAATCCAAACACGTAAGTTTTATTTAAAAACTAAAAGAACATTGAATCTATTATTAAGTTACATTCTAACTAATATTAACAGACAGAAAATAAAGCCATTAATTAGTTTCACTTCGTTTTGAACAAAAAGTAGGTACAAATAACAAGAAGAAGTAAACACCGGTTAATGTCACAAAAAATAAACTAGTGTCGTTGAATTGACTGATTTGATGTAGAAAAAAGTGCTTCAATTGCAGCATTAAATGTTAAATTATAAAAAATTCGTAGAGGAATTGTCGACGGAAGTAGTGATTCAACAGTTCTATAATAATCTGTTGGTGACTAAAAGAAAAATATATAATAAAATTGAATGCGCATATATATAAATATTTACATCAAATTTTATTTTATATAACTGCCAAAGTGTTGCTCCAGTAAAATTTGTCAACGGGCGTTCAAATCTAAAATATCAATTTCAAGATTAAAGACAATGGAAGCGGTGAATGAATTTTACGGTTCAAGTTTTTCTCGATTTAACCATTCGACTACATCATCAGCATTCCATTCATTAACATTTTGAATATAATTAAAAGAATGATCGATTGTTGTTAAATATTGATTATCATAACTATACATAGAACCTGAAAGAAACGCGAAAATTGTTTTAGAAAGCGAAGAAAAACTAAGAAAATATTTATTACTTGTTCGATCATGTCCGTCGACTCCTAGAGAAACTCGAACAGCTTCGATTTCACGGACAAGTAAATTAAATGGTTCGTCGAATTGAATTTGACTGAAATCAATATGAAGCTTTGATCCATTAATCAAACCAAGCCAGCCATCAGCTTTTGTGACTATTCAAATTTTATTTGATCATCACAATACTGCATTATAGTATCTTTGACAGCTATTGACTGTAGAGTATATATATAATTCAATGTAACCATTTTGCATTAACATTGGAATATATGCTTTATTACGTTCAACGGAATATTCAGCTTCTATAAGCAAATTTAAAAACAAAATCATTTTTACAAACGATGATAAGAAATGATCTTGTACCTAATCGACAATATCGACTTTTATAATATTGTTCATTGATTGCCATTAGAACAACATATGCATTTTCAACAGCGGAGGCCATAGATGTCAAAATATCACCCGATATATTATCTTGATCAATCCAAACAAGATAATTTAAATTCTAAATATAAATTATAGCTTGAAATAAGTATTAACCGGATTTCTATGGAATTGGAATACGACAAGCAATAAAATTGCTGTTACTAATCGTATCAATATGGCTCTATTCTATCAATGCTGTGAGATATTCTTTCAATATTCTTTTAATTGAAACATTACAATGATACTCATATAGAAATTTCAATACTGTAAAGAGACATGAAGCGTTACTGATTTACAATCTTGAAATGCCTATGAAAATCTATCATCATCTATGAGTAACGATTGGGATTTTTTATTCCTGAACTTTAACACAATTTTTAGAGCGTATTTTTATCTAAAATGATTTCATTATCTATTTTCTTACTTTTAAGTTTTTGGCAATTTTCGAACATATAGCTTTTGTCGAGTGATTATAACTAATCATGATATGTCCAATCTCATTTTTATTTTTTTTTGGCTCAGTATATTCTATGGTTGTCATTGTCGTCGATCCTGTTTTCATCACTATAATTTCTAAATAGATAATACTAACGCATAGAAATCATGAAAATGAAATGCGTTTTTACCATCTTTTTCATCTTGTTTCATTGTACAAGGCTCACAGTGACTTTCTCCACAGACATCAGCTGATGGAAAGGCTGTTTTTGTTCCAAAACTAGTATTTATTGTTGATATCATGTCAGAAGAACTCTCTTCTGATAATTCAGATTCACGTTCAGATGGATGGATATCATAGAAATTTTCTTCAGAAGTATGAGGGTGAAGAGAGTCTATGAATTGAATAAAATTTAAAAAAAAGAATAGATTAGAATCATATGATACGAACTATTAATAGTCGCTTCGACTGGATCCTTTTGTAGTTGGTTAGGATCGTTACCTAGAAGATTATTTTATAGTATTTACGAATTCATAGAATAAATAATGGTATAGGTACTGTCATCAGTAGCTTCTGTTGGTTGTTTTTCTTGTGTATCGGATTCACTTTCACTTTCATCTAAAAAAATATTAAAAAAGAAATTTATTTGAAATCTAATAATTACTTTGATTAAATTGATTTCAATTTTTCAATATATGAAATCAATGTGATTAATACGTACAATCATTATTACTGGATACATAATTGAGAGTCTCATGTGTTGCTATATTTCTTCTACAATCAACGATTCGTTGCAAGTCTAATGGTAATATTAAACACTACTCGAGACAACATACAATTTTATTTTATAGAAAAATGAGCAATAAACAATTACTTGTGCATCTGAAAATACTTGTGGTTTACTCCTTTCACTAGTATGAGGTGTCAGGAAAGGTGTTTTATATTCTTTGAAAAGACAAATAGCTATGAAAATAGATTTATATGAATAAACGACGACCTACGTGATTGGTCTGGTTCTCTGTCATCCATGACGAGTACACAGGGACTTATGTGATAGTGTTGAATTGATAAATTGTGATTAGCACGTAATACTTCAGTTACATGAAATAATCAATATTTTTCACTATCGAAATCTAGAAAAACATGACTGATATTTCATTTTTGTCACATGCAAAAAACTTGTGTACATGGTTAAAACTAACAAGCGAGTAATACGACAAGTTAAAGCAACTGAAAAAGGCATTAAATCTGCCTACGTAATAAGAAGAAAAGAAAAATAATTGAGATACATACAATCGAATTTATAGTGGACGAAACGTTAGCATAGAAGAAAGCAAGAGAACAAAGTATGTTCGATGAATCATTTTCAACAATATTTTATTTTATTTTATTGTATATAAATTGATAAACATAAGATATGACAAAGTCGTATAAAAGTGTCGCTAGTAATCATCACGCTTATTATAGTAGCTATAACGTATCTATTATACATTTTATGTTGATAATTACGAAGCATACCCATAAGGTAAAAAAGAATAATTTATTTCCTATCAGTAGACTACTCCAGTAGCATACATTACATCTATCAAGAAGCATATAAAAGTCTGGCAAATTATTTACTCTGTCCAAAGAAACAATCGTTGAATCGCGGAATTTTGAATGATGTCACTCGAAAAACTAAGCCTCGTATTTGATGTGAAGAACGAGAAAAAGAAAGCAGAACTACGCAGTCAAGTTTTGTGCTCTATTTTGTTTTTATTAAATATAAAGCATAAAAAGCCGTAACCAGACAATATAACAGAACATAAAAAACAAACCAAAACAACCATATGAAATGAAACGACACAAAAAAGTACCTAGTTAAAATGAGCTATGCCAATTATTATTTAAGAGCAGGAAAATTGAATTAATATTATTTTGATAGTTAATTAGAATAATAATAATCATGATTTAATTAGAGTAAGAAGAAAGGGAGATTCGAAGTCACGAATAATGTTATTAGTTCCCTCATCCAAAAAAAAACAGAACTGAATATAGTTTATAATTAATACTAAATAAGAATTTTAGGTTCTGAAACACTTTCACTAATTGCTTTATGTGGTAATATCACACCACCATTGATAAATAATTCATCTTGCACTGATACATCAAGTCCAAGTACAGTAATATTCTCCATACGCACCTAAATACACAAAATCAATAATAAAACTCAATCTAATCAAGCAAAACATTTACCCATTTCCCAATAGTACATCGCCAACCAATAATACAACTCGAAATCCAGGAATGACTTTTCACTAATGAATCTGCTAGTATAGTACAGTTTTTCAAGCAAACACCATTTTCAATAATTACACGAGGTCCAACGACGACATTGGGTCCTATTCGACATCGTTCGCCAATTGTTGCTGTCGGATCCTAGAAAGAAGTTTTTCGATTTTATCAATCGTAATTAAAGATATAGTGAAATATTAATACCAATAACACATTGCCAACAGTTCCATTCCCACGTGATAATCGCTCGGGATTGGAATTTCGAACATAGTTTAAAAATAAACTCATGCCTGTTAGATAATCTTTTGGTTGACCAACATCCATCCAAAAACCTGAGAATAAATAAAAATTATTTATTCAAACATAAGTATTAGTCGAAAGGATAAATTTCTATTAAAGATTTAGCCTAAATGTGAAGCTAATGTCGATCAGAATATTCTACAAACTTCAAGATACCTAAAAAAAACTTTTTCTCTCGATAATGATTATTCAGAAAAAAGTCAACTCCATTTCACATTTCAATATTCTGATACTTGAAACATATTTCAATCATCATTAGTTTTTTCGTTTAGGAAAACTTTGAACTAAACATTTCTATGCAACAGATATAGAATCTGATTGAGTTTTGTTTTTTTACGAATCGAACCAAATCGCAACTGATAAAAAAAGAAATGATCTCTCGTCTTTCAACTTTTACGAAAAGTATCTCTTATTAGTAACAATAAATCATTCGTAATTATTATTGCTTAGATCATCGGGTCGAATTTTTTCAAATTGTCCTTCATCTTATGAAAAATAGACACATGATTCAAATATGAAATCAGAGTATTTCTCTAATTAATGAACAAATTGATAAAATATTTTTTACTCAATTTGCAACTTGCTGTATATAAGATACAGGAAGAACTAGATGGTATTCGAGTTTCACTCGACTACGAAATGCGGTGCGAAGCACACGAGCCGAATTTTCGAAAGTAGCGAGAATAAGATTTAAAAAATAAATGATTCACTTTAAGATTCATTACAAACGTTTAATTTTTTTTAATTTCCGTATACGAATTTTGAGTAAAAATTTCGTATTCACTATTCTTAAATCGACCATTTTAAATTTCATCACTAGGAAATCTCTCTGAAAATGTAACAACCAGTTGTCTAACGATTTTTTTCATTGAACGATTAATTATTTTCATGAATCATTATCTTGAATCAGATGTAAAGCAATAGACTATTGGTTAACAACTAATGATGACGTCATTTTAATTAGCGCGAAAGTCTGAAACGATAAATATCTTTCAAAATCGTCATTTTGGGAGAATATTTCTGAGCAAACAAAATATCGTATTAAAATTTTGAAAACAAATACCACAAGTTCAATATTCATATTTTCACCTCTAGTTTGAATAACTTTTCTATGATTTTTGGTTCTCGAGATCATCGCGCAAAAAAATGACTATTTTGATGCATATGCGTCAAGTTAAAAAGAAAAAATGATTTTTAGGCGAACGAAACTTAGTATTGAAAATTGGAGAAAAGATGTAACAATTTCGATCTTTACACTCTCATATCTAGTTCGAATGGATTTTTTATCATTTACGGTTCTCTAGATCATCGCGCTACTTAATCTGTTTTTTTTTATGCGTACTCAAGTTAGAAAGAAACAAAAAAAACTCGCGACGGACTACATAAATGCTGTGCTTCGCACCGCATTGAATACTTTCAAAGTTGTTTAAAACTCTATCAAAAATTATAGCCATGTACCTTTAAGTTCATACGCATATAATTGTTTATCTGCAGCCATAGCTGGAAAAATTTCTTTTTCGATTGATGTAGGTCGTAACTGAAATAGTTTTTGTTTAAAGTAGGATCACATTTTAAAAAAAATACTAAATAACTTACTTCAATTCGATCAAGTATAGATGAATTGAATATATATAATCCAGCATTGATTTTATTAGAAACATATTCACGTGGTTTTTCAACAAATCGTTCGATTGCACCCGTATCGTGCTCATAGACAACTACACCGTATTTTGATGGTTCTTCAACTTTCGTTATCTAAACGATAAGGTTGAAATGAAATAGACGTCGATTATAAAATAAGATTCATTTTACATACACAGATAGTTCCTTCACATTGGTGAGATTTATGAAATTTAATCATGTCTGCAAATGGAAATTCACATATAACATCAGAATTGAGCACGAAGAATGGATCAATATCTCCTTGAAGTTGATTATGGGCTAATGCCAATGGGCCAGCTACATTAAAAGAAAAGTTTAGTATAAACGAATCTGATATTAAAAAGATAATCTTTAAAATCTAAACCTGTTCCTAATGGCTCCGTTTCTTGAGAAAGTGTTATTTTTATATTTAATCGTTTAGCTTCTACTTCCATATCACGTTGAAGCATATCCGATAAATAACTAACCGCTAAGATCACATGTGTCACACCAGCCTAAACAAAAGCAAAAGAATATTTGGAATAATTAAATAGTTATATAATTTATTTATTTATATGTGCATAATTAAATGAATACCTGTGCTAAAGCTTCAATCTGATGTAATACCATTGGTTTATTACAAAATTCAACTAATGGTTTCGGTTTTGTAAGTGTCAACGGACGTAGACGTGTTCCATAGCCACCGACAAGAATAAGGGCTTTCATTGTCCTGATTTATCAATATCAGTAATGCAAAAAAAAAATCAAATATTTTAACTAAAATATAAAATAGGATAATTTTAGTTCTTCTCAATCATATACATATACATTCAAAACACAAGGAAAAAAGTAAAATAAATTGAATGCATGGATAGATAAGAACGAGAAAATAAAAACATATGAAACGATTATTAGGAGCCTATAATTAACATGAGAGAATAAAATATTCATTCTATTATTCCAAAAAAATTCTTTTTATTCGATCAAAAACTTATTCATTAAATATTCACCACAAATCAGTCATCCTTTCTCATAAAATGCATTATCTGCAGTAATCAAAAACAAATTAGACAAACTTCAAATATTAAATATAAAAAGAAACTTGAAATTTTGTATTAATATAATTAGATTTCAATTTAATTTCATAAAAAAAATATTTGAAAATTATCAATTTCTTTCAGCTTCTATTTGATTTATTTCTGTGAAAAATTCGAACAGTAATCTAATAGATTACTAATGCAACTACATATGTCTAACACAAATAGAATAAATCAAATGAATTTTGTTCGTGAAGACTAACTGTAGTAATATATTCATTAAGAAATAGACTTGATTAGTGAAGAATATTAATATGATTTAATGCAAGAGTGAATAGTTTAGATTGCAGATTCTTACTATGTTCATCGTAATCAAAACTCGATACACAAATCGATATTGGCAAAGATTTATTGTGATAAATCACGCTCTACTGTATAGTAATCGTTTGAATTCAAATAAAGTAAAAATTAGACTAAATTATTTTAGATAAGAATCTCCAACGAACGGTAGAAGATTCTTTTTAGGATCACAAAATTGATGCATACACCAAAATATGACTGTTGAACTATCTTTGCCGCTTCATAATTCACTAGCTTAGTTTATTTCATAATCTAAAAAGACAAGAAGTTTAGTTATAGTTGTTGATAAATAATACATACATTATAGTCTAACATGAAACAGTATCAGTAAGTGCATTCCCAAGGTTATCACTAATAATGTACCTACCGATGAGATAAACCATGAGTCAAGCGAAATAAAAGAAGGAGAGAAAATGCTTCTCTTGTCCGACTTTTGATAGGATTTGATTAATGGTTAAAATCTGCGATATGGTATTCGTCATTGGAATGAAGCAAACCATTATTGTTGAGATACAGTAGCATATGAAAAAAACTTCAAAGTGCCGAGCTGTCATCGGTATTCATGACAAAAATAATATTAGCAACAATCAAATCATAGTAGAGAAACGTTTGTCATGCCTATCAAAGACTGAATAGTAGTGACATCTGCTGAAGCACCAAAATGATGTTTTAGAGAGAGATACTGAATGAAATCTCGATGATCCTTAAAAATGACAGCATATCTCTCAGTAGTTTTCTATCAAAGATCGATTTTGTTGATCAAACAATCAAGTACAAGATCTATTTTACTTAGTATAAAATAGAGATCTCCACGCATATATTTACAATACCGATGGTCAATCGTTTAAAATTCAAAACAACGGAACCAGCCACTATCGAGCAGGAATATATGCAAGAAAAAGAAATTCAACAAATGTTGTATATTTATAGAGCTATATTCTATTTCATGATCTGAGAAATTTACTTGAATTCATTTAAATCTATGATGATGATAACAGAAAGATCAAGATGGTTTAATATTCGAAAATGATTGATCATTATCGAATACTGTGTGATCTTTACTGAGTACTTCTCTACGTGTAAGCATTGATTGTCTGAGCCGTTTGTATGATTTATTTAACAAAAACAAAATGTAAATAATCTAACAGAAAGTATTCGATTTAATTTAAACAATGAGTAGCTTTAGATGGAAATAGTTCACTAGGAAAGAACTTCCAGCTCATGACAAAACTCTTTAAACCTAAAAGGCTGTATCAGCAATATCGAGCATAAGATAGTAAGTGAAATTATATTTATTTTCTTGTTTTACATTTTATACTTAAATTCATCCAATGAACGATGTCGTTATGTTATAGACCAACGTTGAATTCTTTGAGCTTTCTTCGATTTTCTCATCGTGGATATATACCTATTTCTGAACTTTTTTCTTCACTCAAAAATCTTACACAATAAATCAAACTTTCCGGACGCTTGTTAAATAATCGACGAAATATTTTAAATAGCATATTCGTATGCCTTACAGTAGATTATATTAATTACTCATGTGAATTGTCAGAGCAATATGCGATTATTTAGTACATTTTCGATAATTGCTATAGAATTTTAATTTTTCGCCCACCTTAATGCATTGACATAATGAGTTTGCATAATCATTAAGAAAGAAGGATAATATAAAAATACACATTCATATTTCGTCTCGTACTATTTTCGTCATCTATTACTAAATCAGTATAGGTAAACGTCACCAAATGACGTAGAGAAGTGAAAATCAAGAATGACAAAAGAAATGCCACTATTTTTATCAAGAATAAAACGTCATAGACAGATATCCGAGTATAAAAACCCATTTCTACTCTAGTCAACTTATGCATTTAATCAAACAAACAAAATTCAAGCTCTTCGTTTATCAATCGATTACTAATTCGCTTCAATTATGTTAGCTTCACGAGTTCAGCCGATTAATAATTGGAATCGAGACTACGCTGCCATTAGCTATGGTAATTATGGTTATGGTATCTATACACAAGATTTTGATGTTCATCGAAATCCATTTACAGGTTATGTTTATCTAGAACGCGATTTAGATTTCATTCCACTTGGTAACAATACTTTTAGTCCCTATCGCAGCTTTCCAATGGCTATTCATCAACATTATCAGCTTTGAAAGTTCACTAACTTATTTTGAGATATACATTCAACCAAGCATTGTCATTATAATCATGAAATAAAATGTTTTAAAATATTTTTCTTTCTTGTGTTTAGTATCAGCAAACCATATGTAAAATAGGTAGACTATAATGATTAGAACTAATTGTGAATGAAGCATTCTATTGGTATCAAATATTCAATCGATAATCCGAAGATAAACAATTTCAAGTTGTGAAACATTTAATATGTTACCTATACAGCGTTCTATTTGAATTTTTTAAGCAACTAATACATTGAGGTGCACTTCTGACTCCTGTAGATACAGTAAAAAGACGGGGAAATATTTGAAAGAGCTACATAAGATGGGAATAATCCAAAATTAAAGCAATTTTTTCTTTCTTTCTTTCTTTCTTTCAAACACCATTACATAGAGCTCGTCGAGCTGAGTAAGAATATGTCTTTGAATTTGTTTTTCAACTGAATTGAAAAAAGTGGAAATTTTTTCACATAATCATTTCGAAAAGAAATTCAAAGACATTTATTCTTACTCAGCTCGACGAGCTCTATCTAATGGTGTTTGAAAGAAAGAAAAAAGATTTTGCTTTAATTTTGGATTATTCCCACCTTATTATCCATCAAAACTTACAATCAAACCTTCATTGAAGAATTGAGAATACGCTACTGTAACTGCACTTCAATAAAAAATCGAATTATCTTGAAAAAATTTCGCGTAATCACCATAAACGATATTTTCAACTTTCCAAGAAACTTCGTACACCCGAAAGTTGGTTAACTGTGATGAAGAAAAGTTTATCTATTTGTTTTCATTTATAGATTTCTTTTTTATATGAATTACGCATTAATGCTTGTGCTTGAATAGAATCTAACTTAGTTCAAATATTTGTAAACAGTTGTGATTTATTTATCTAGAAAAAAACAATCAGATATATCACCGTTTAGTTTTAAGACACGCAAAAAGCTATGACATTATACACAAACCAAAACGCTATTTAAGAAAAAAAAATCAGCGTATTATACAAAAAGAAACGAGACGATTTGCTTTTTGTTTATTGGTAACATCGACAAAGAGACACACACACGTACAATGAAGGAAAACAGGAGAATTGAATCAAACCTATCGTCGTTGAATATTCTGATTGCGTATATAGGGAACGTGTGATCGTGTACATTTGTTTGCATAATGACTAAAATAAGTAAGTTATCAATAATTTAGAATGTTGGAAGACAAAGAATTCATCATCGTCAGACACTGTTGTATTGTCAAATTGTATGATTTTTCTTAACATTTGTTCAAACTATCTCATGATACAAAGCTCTTTTTTTTTGTGATAACTGAATCAACTTTTTATGCGACGGAAAATTAGGTTTCGAACATTAGGGTAACCTGAATTTATAGAAACATGTCTAGTGCATCAAATTTCAGTAATTTCAATAGTTAGTTAATCTTTTCTTCTAGTTTATAAGTGTTAAATAGGACGAAAAAAAACCATCTTTCGTCGTTCAAAAAAATCAAGTTTTTCGAAAAGAAAACAAAGTTCTCTAAATATGAGCTCATCTTTAGAATTAGCTGGAAAATCTGTAAGCAATAGGTTAGGTAATGCTCAGAGATAAGTTTTCAATTGATTTCGATTCTTACAATTGTTTATCATTCTATTCAAATAAAATGAGTTTCGACATGACTCCTCTATAACCAAATTTTTATCATAAAAATAATATACAGGAGACAGTATATAATTCAATTCTGATGCCGAGTATATATATTTCTATTTATCGTATTTTTTTATGATACAGAAACGGACTTTCTCAATCAATAAATGATATTTCATCAGCTGTGCGTCATTTTTTATCACATTTAATGTGGTTTTTACTAATGATTTTCAATTTAACGAGCTCTAGGAAAACAAATATTCATTAAATATGTACGAAAAACAATTTGGTGCTTCAATTGACGTTTTTGTAGTCGCTTTTCTGATGATATTATTGTTCGAAAAAGTCACGTCATACGAAACTTAATGCATATTCACTGAATCCTTTTCTTTATTTCCACGTGAAATAATGTGACTGATCATAGTACGAGCTATTGAATGATTGCAATTTGAATAGAGAAGTACGAGAAAATGCTGAAAGTAAATAAAATACTGATTCACTTACCCTCGCTCTCCACATTTGAAACAAGTAACATCATGTTGAAATGGTTGCGAAAGTATCATTCCACCAGGATGTTGTTCATCATTCGGATGTGTATTTCCTGCCTGTTGTGGTAATCCACCATCATGATTATGATTTAGATTGTGATTTTGACCGTAAGATGGTCGATTACTATATTGTTGTGATTGATTATTATTCGATGACATGTTAAGATACTTTTGTCTTTCTTCCATCGGTAGTTTAAAACACGATGAAGCTTTGTGACCTGTTTCGTGACAAAAATCACAAATAAACACAACTTTACGTTGTGCAGGAGTGTATTCATTTGAATTAGGTAACTCAAAAGTTGGATGTGATAGTGTACAACGTGGTCCTTCAGGACAAAATCCACATAAATAATTTTGACAAAGAACTTTTCGTGTATGACGATTTTTACAATTTGGTCCATGACGACAAAAGCCACGATCATACCATGGACAATCTAATACATAGAAGAAAAAATTTTTAATTTATTTTCCCAAAATTATTCAATACATACCACGTATTTTCGATTCGGGGTCAAGATGAAGAAATGCACATTCTTTATTCATACATTGTCCAAATTTTGAAAAAAAATAACACTCAGGCATTTTAGCCATATCATATTCATGTAGAAATTCACAATCGTCGCCTAAATTAAAATTCGTAGAAATAACAAGTACGTGAACAAAAGTTTGCTCCTACCCTTTTTACATAGGCCACGTAACCAATGTTTACATACAACTGTTTTATCTCCATGTATATGACGAAATGGACAACGTTGATTTGAACAAGTCGAACGTAGGAAAAACTCGCATACACCTACATTGGCTTTATCCATATTTGGAAATGGGAGTGGTAATGCACCTATTTGAGAACATACTATATCGTCAAGATCGAAATGTATGCTTTGTACCGGTGCAATAATATCTTGCATTAGCATCTTGTCTTCTTTTTTGAAATAAAAATTAAAAAAAAAAGTACTATGACTTATTCATTGATGGTTGAATGTTTCGACCAGTCAGATAACGAAGGTCAATATTTAGATGGTGCCACATGTATCAGAATCTAAATATTTCTGATGATTATATACTATGACTGGAAATTTTATGTTTATGATGTATTGAGTATTTTTCTTACTGTAATTTAAAAAAGTTCGACGATGATGAAAATCTGATAATAAATATTTACATGGTTATTGATAGAAGTTGAATAAACCATTACAAAATATCTTTCGTAATTTCAATATTCTGCAGGCAAAACAATTTTACAGAGTATACAAGTTGCTTATTTCAAAGGATTAATACCAATTTAATGTCTTGTTGAATCGAAATCGTTATCAAAAGATACATAATCAGTAAATAAAAACAAAAGGCCAATTTTGCTTTTCATCAAAACGTGAGCTGCTAATATTTCATCGCTTTTTTTATTTGCTTGTGATTCAAACTTAACGATAAAACTGTATCATGAGAGATAACCTATGATGTGTCATCTTGATAAAACATATTTCTTTAAGTTTAAAAATGAAAGTTTTAAGTACGAAATCTACAAAATTGACTATCGAAATAAAAAAATATATTTATTAGCTGGTTTAATGATTTTTATGATTGGATTTATTCGCAAATAACAAAATAAACAATAAATAAATATACATATATATATATATATATATATATATATATATACAGTAAGCGATGCAACGACCACAGATTCTATGAGTCTGTGACTTCCCCTTACAATCGACTCAAATACCAACTGTTCGATTATATGGCAGTTGTATTATGAAGTTTTAACTAAGTACTGAAAACACATAGCAACAAGTAAATTCGGTACTAACTGTAACATCTATGAGAATGATAAGCATCTAAAATTATGTAATTAATAGTAGAAAGTGTTTTTTTATAGTTGAACTCTAAACGAAAAATAATAGATTCAGTATGTAGCAAAAGATTGAGTATACTTAGCTACAGTTCCAATAATGATGTCTATCGTTTTAAACTATTATGCTTTTGTGTTACAAATGAAGAAAAATATTCCTCTAAAATAGAGTCTCATACTTTTATCTTCTTTAAAAGCATTACTTTAGTAGAACGCTTATGTACTACAATTAAATTGCTTTCAATGTTCATTGATAGTTCAGTAACATGTATATATATATAAGTACGCTGTAATATAAATTGTATTTTATGCGTATAGTGAGGAAACAACAGTCTGGAAAAGACTCAGGTCGAAAAATCTGACACAAGATCTTGGAATACGGACGAAATCTTACAAGAATCTGATTGTTCGACCTGATCTAAGATCTCAGGGACTACGATTTTTCGTATGATCGTGCAAGATCACATAAGATCAGATGCAAGATCTTATCAGATCTTACAATATGATTGCTCGACCTGGGGAGCATCCCCAGGTCGACTGATCCGATAGGAACCTAGAAACATCCTACAATCCGATACAATTCTATTGGATTCCGGGTCGAGGAATCGATGTCTGATCCTCAGTGTCGGAATCCTATTAACTTCCGATGACATACAACGGTTTTTCCTTGAGATTCATAGGAATCCGACACTGAGGATCCGACATCGATTCCTCGACCCGGAATCCAACGATAATTCTGTAAGATCTGGCAGGATCCGATAAAATCCTATTGGATTCCAGTCGGATCGGATGGGTTCCGATAGGTGCTCACTGTCGGATTGCTCGACCTGGATTGTGTAGTTTTTTTTTCACTTGTGAAATTTATTATGTAAATATTAGTTCATATTTTGTTATATAATGAACTCAATTTTCTTTGTTTTTTTCAATTATGTGCATTTGAAACTGATAAACGTGTGTTAATTTAAAAACTGTAGAAAAAACATTCATGCTTGTTTTACATTTATGTGTTTGTATTTTCTGCTTTTCTCTTTATTCAACTATCTACAATTGCTCTTGTATGAGATAATTGTAAGTTTTCTTAGTTGATCTCATTTTCTTTATTTGTACGCATTTTATTTTTTTATTTCTCATGGAAATAAACAGAAATGATTAAAGATAGAAAAATATCTTTGAATTTACTAAGGATGACTATTGGCTCGATCTATGAACTAATCGGAATGAGCGTTCGCCTTCTCGTTCGTTCAGTGTCATCAGAAATGCGTTTCGCAAGCCGAACGAGCGCTACGTGTTGTCTTTCCGTTCTCGCCCTTGGGCACAATTTTCAATTTCTAAAAATTTCCATTGGTTACTTCATAAATCAATCATATATCATGTATCCAATTGAATTATTTTGTCGATTTGCATTAATGTGTAACATTTGTATCACCTATTTACAAAAATACAGAGATCATTCTGCATCTTTGTATTCCCAATAAACATACATTACCTCGAACATGGCTACCATTTCGACATGTTTCTTCTTTTGTTTATTTGTCATATTTTCATTTATTGTTTAAAATATTGATCTGTGTCTTTTCTAGAATAGAATCTATTCGTGCATTATTCACTGTATTTATTGATTAATAATGGCAGACCACTTTGGCATTGTTTACGGTGCTTCACTACGTAAGTTGTTCAATTTTTCAATTTCATTCTTTCTTTTGAAAATTAATTTTTAGTTCTCGGAGGTTTAATGGGTTATATTCGTCGTCGAAGTAAAATGTCACTTATAACTGGTATGTTAGTCAAATAATGTCATTCATATATTTCTAAAGTTTTCTTATTGATTAAGGTGTTATCTTCGGCGCTTGGTCTATGTACAATGCGTTACATCCTTCGCGTCAAAATAATGTTGCTAACTTTGCTGTAAATAAAATTTAAAATTCTCGATTGATAATCGATTATTTGATTTATTTAGATTGCTGTATTTCTTGGTGTTGTGATGTTAGTACGCTTTGCGAAAAGTGGTAAATGGTTTCCAGCTCTTTTGATCGTTGCTTTATCAAGTGTACAAGTCTATCGAAATTATTCACATCTCAAATGATCCAAATAATTGTGAAACATAATCATATATTTATTTCCATCCATTCCTTCATCAACTAGATTATTTGTTGTCGTCTTCGTTTTTTTTTTGTATGACTACAATGATACTTATCTTTTATTTGTAATAGCATATCACAGGATAGCAAGAAAAGATAATTTGAACTTTTATTTATCATCTGATGCAATAAGAAAAATAAAATGTTTACTGTTGTTCTTGTTTTTTTCTAGAATGTGTATACTTCCACAAGATTTACTTAACTGGTATTATAACACTAGCAATTAAAGAATAAAAATGTCCTTTCCACCTCATATGCCAATGATACCTCCTATGTCATTTTTTCCTCCTGGTGCTCCTATGATGATGCCACCTAATGTAAGTATTTTGTTTTGTTTTGTTTTAATAATATAATACAACATAAATGGTTGTATAGATGGCTACTCCACCACCAGCAATACCAACAACAACAACAACTAATGGTAGTGTTAAGACAGCGGAAAATGATAAGGTTTGTTTATCATATTTCCAATTAATTATTTCTATGTTGTTTTATTGTAGAAAAATCGTTCACAAACACTTACGACAGTGTTCGTAGGTAGTATTTCTGATCGAGCACCTGATGCTATGATCAAACGAATGCTTCATGTAAGTAAAATAGTATTCAAGTACTATCTCTCATATGACATGTTCATAGTAAAAACAGAGTACAAGACAAATCTGTGTATTCTTCATAGAAAACTCTTTGTCTATTTGCTTCTAAAAGTTGTTAGAATATCATTTCATATCGAGTGAAACAGACTCTAACACGGGTCCAATTTCATTAGAGTGATTGAGAAAGAAAATCTTTGGAGATCTACAATTGTAAGGATTTGAGTCAATATCTATGATTATGTTCTTATGCAACGCACACATTATTCGATATTCTCAACACGATGCATATTATTCGAATATGTAATTTTGATTTAAATGAACTATCTTACTAATCTATGAATAGTAATCATTGATACATTTATCGATTATAACTATTTATGAAAATAAATCAATAGATTCACTTGTTTCTTTATTTACATAGAATTGTGGCAGTGTTGTCAATTGGAAACGAGTACAAGGTGCAAACGGTAAACTTCAAGGTAAAAATATCTATCGATTCGTTTTCATTGAATTTATTTTTCCATGTATTTTTCTAGCATTTGGCTTTTGTGAATATGAAAATCCTGAAGGTACACTTCGTTGTATACGTTTACTTAATGGTTGGCTAATTCAAGATAAAAAATTAGTCGTAAGTGATTTGTTATTTCCAATTTTTTGTTTTTCTTTTGGATTATCAAATATTAGACATCTATTGCAAATACGTAAACATGTAAGTGTTTTGCATTGTGTTAGAACTCCCGGATATTTTCCGTTGATGGTTAGGTGTCGCCTAACTTGATTGATTGGTTTCAAACGCGAGACAGACATTGATCTGGTAACAATTTCTAAACATCATTAATAAAGTCATTTTGTTCTATGAAAAATCTTTTTGTTCTTAGTGTTTATTATTGAACACAAATTGCAATTCTTTTATGTAAAAACAAGAGTGAGTGGATCCTTGTATGGAGAATTTCTTATTTTTTGTTTTTGAGATGAATATAGATATAATCGGTTTTTGAAAAAATTATTTATTTGAATCTCAATGAAAACAGAATCTGATTATTATCTATTTAGGTTAAAGTCGATGCTAAAACAAAAGCATTACTTGATGAATACAAGAAAAAGAAACGACATGAATTAGCAAAAAAAGCAGCCAAAGATACAACAGCGTTTAAATTTGTCTATGAAGATGATGATGATGAAGAAAAAACATCGAACAGTAAAGATGTAAGTGAACAAGTAAATTAATAGTGATGCGGATTTTTAAATTGTTTTTTTTTTAGAAAAAATCCGGTGAAGAAGGCGAAATTGAAGAAGAAGAAGACGATTATATTGATAGTGAAACTCGTCGAGAAGATAATAGCGTAAAACAATCACTTGAAACAATTATGCGTGAATATTCACGAGAAATGAATCAACGAGCATTGGAAGCAAAAGAAATGGCTGCTCGTGAAGCTCAAATGCCAACAAATCCAATGTTAAATATGCTACCACCATCTATGCCTCAACTACCGATTCCTTCAAATACAACGGATAGTCCTCTACCAGATACAACATCATCGAATTCAACTAGTCCAGGAACACGACGTGTTGCTGATCCAGCAGCTACCCTTGATGATGAAGAAGGAAAAAGAAGTTTGATTACAAATGAAATTCAAATGTTTCGTGATCGTTTTAAAGATGAAGAAACAAAAATGCGCAATACGGAAAAAGAGCGAAAAGATCGTTATGAACGGGAACGTAAAAAACGTGCAGCCGCTGAAGAAGCAGCTACTAGTGAAAATAATAAATCTTCTCTATCACCATCTTCACGTAATACACCGCCACCGCCATCATCATCATCATCTCGCGATCGTTCATCGCCAAAACATGATCGAAGTAGTTCGAATCGGCGTGATCGCTCATCACCTAGTGACGATCGTTATCGGAGTTCATCATCAAGAAATAATACAAGTAATTCTGTTCGTAGTCGTGCAAGTGATAGACGTAGTTCACCAGTACCACGTTCCGATCGTCGGTCACCTGCTCCATTGCCACGTCCATTTAATCGTCGTTCAAGAACAAAATCACCTTTACCAAGAGCACATACAAATGATGAGGATGACGATGAAGTTTACGAAAGAAGACGACAAGAAAGAAGATTAAATGAAAAAGAACGTCGCTATCGAGATGTAAGTCAAATGATGTATTAGTAAATCATAGTATTTTAGATTGTAGTACCATATGAAAGTATTCTATAAACTATAGGCTTCAATTAAAACTAGATTAGACGTCAATAAAAAGTTATAATTATTTAATCATATGTAAATAAACTTGAAATCAATGAGTTTCGTAGCAAGCTCTTTATTGTTATTATCCCTCGTTTAAGTATGACTAATATTCTGTCATAGTAGCTAATGAAGATTTCTAATTTCGTAAATTTGAACTTAGTCTAGCTTTTTTTCCCTAGGAGAAATGTAAAAGTTTGAAAGTCTTACATGACTATCACTGTCAAAATGTCTGAAGCAGTATAAAACTACTGTTGAGTAACAGTTCCAAAAACTGAGTGTATGAACTAAGTTAAGTTATTATTTTAAAATTAGTATCTCACAGACCGTTAGAGAATATGAATTTCTTGCAAACCTAATTGAATTAAGAAATTTTACTTGAAGTATTGTCATAAGTAAGTTGTATGCTATTTGTTGCCTGAGAGAGGAGAACTTTTCTGAGTAACTCTTCCATTTTTTACTTAGAGGTAATCCAGGGGATTGATAGAAATCACCGTTTTCGTTCTGTCTAAGACTTACATTATCGTTCGATGTAGGTCTATAAAATGAAAAGAATTTATTGAAATAATCATATATATTCTATTTCACATGAACAATCGTAAATCCATGAAACAATGAATTAATAAAGTACAGATTGCAAACTTTGTTTAATACTCGAAAATTTTGTTTTTGTTTTTACTCAAATTCAATAGCTTATTTGAATTATAAGTTATGTCGTTAATTCAAGAATGGATTATGTGAATATCAATCAGTAGGAGTTTTCTTCATATGTAAGCCTTGCTTCTTTGCTTAATTATCAAGACTTTCAAAATTATGAAACCATTCGAATTGGATTGAGAGGATAATAGAATACTACACTAGATGGTCAAAGTTGAGCTTAACAGAATGATTCTATGGACTAGATGTTGTAAAAAAAATGATTTTTACTAAACCCAAGTCATACGAGATTTAATGTGAAATTCTATGCAAATTAAATATATACATTTGACTTTCTGAACAAGCCATTTATTCGATTTCTACTGTCCATTCAATATTTTGTATGATGATGTCTTTTTAGCGTTTGAGAGCATGGGAACAACGTGAAAGAAAAAAACAGAGTGATCATGACGACGAAAAAAGTCGTGAATTAAAACGATTGCATGATGAAGAGACAGAAGGCAAACGTTTATTGGCATTTTTTGAAGAATATAATGATGAAAACGACGATCTAAAACATTACAAGTAAAGTATTTTTCTTTCTATCGTGTATGAATTAATGACTAATTATGAAAATTCTCTTATATTCAGGGGTACATCATTAGCTCGTCGTTTAAAGGATCGTGAACGTGAAATTGAAATTGATAATCGTGATAGACGCAATGAAAAAGAAGAAATTGAAGAACTACGGAAAAAATTATTACTTCAAAATAATATTGATGATATAGAATCCGAGATAAAACGACGTCTAGAAAAAGAAGAAGAATTAATACGCAAACGTTTAGCAGATCTGACACGAGGAACAAGTGATGAATCTGCTGATGAATCTGATAATGATGAAGAAACAACAAATAAGCGAAAATCTACTAAGATTCCATCACCTGAACCTGGAAATACTAGTAAGACAATACCTTCATAAATCTAATACAATTACGACTGTGTTACTTAGGTACTGAGCTTATGGATCAATCATCACCAGCAATAGTTTTACCACAATATGGTTAGTAGAGAATTCAATCTAATTTGTTTTTTAAATGATTGAATGGCGTCTTCTCTTATTTAGAAACTAAAGTTAGTCCTCGCCAAACATCTGCACTTGGTGGTGCGCCTATTACTGGTACAAAATTACCATCAAAACGAAAATTAGCTGTTAATGAAGTAAGCCTTCCTATTTTAACTGATCAATTCAATGACATGTTTACTTTTATTAATTTCAGGCTTTTCGTGATGATCAAGATGAGGAAAATACTAACAGCTTTCAGAAAAAGTCTAAACTATCTGCAATACTTGATCAACAAACGACTCCTATTTCTCAAAGCTCAAGTCAAATTAAAGATGAACAAGCTAATCGAGCAGCAGTAGGAAAACGCACACCTGTAACTCCAACATCCAATGTTACTTCAACTCAGTCACAAGAAGAAAAACGTCAAGCTGTACGTAAATTAATTGAAAGTATTCCCACTAAAAAAGAAGACTTATTCACTTTTCCACTCGATTGGTCACTTCTCGACACAGTAAGTTATTTCATAGTTTTATAGCTCTTCATTTACCTGTTTCTTTTTTTCTTCAAAACGATAGAATCTAATGGAAAAACGTATTAAACCATGGGTAACAAAAAAAATAGTGGAATATATTGGCGAAGAAGAATTAACATTAACAGAATTTATTTGTTCATCAATAATGTCAAAGAAAAGTGCTGAGACAATCTTATATGATATACGCGTTGTACTTGATGATGAAGCTGAAGTATTTGTTGTTAAAATGTGGCGATTAATTGTCTATGAAATTGAAGCTAAAAGACATGGTATAAACAAATGATTTACTTTCTTTTTTTCTCTTTTTTGTCCGATGCTTTTCTTTTGGTCTCAATCTATGAATATGTCTTCTTGCATATCTGTTTTCTTTTCTTCTTTCACTAAGACAAAAAAAAAGAAAACGAGCCAATAGATGAAACGAAATGCGTTTTTGTTATGTACAAATATCAAGTTTACTGAAGTTCGAAAAAAAGAACGATGTACTTGGAAGTAAATTTGTCTCTTTTCTTTAATATCAGAAGAAAAAAAACAGCAACAACAACCAACTATGATATGTGTATGTATTTGTCACTTTTTTGTGCGTTTTCCCCCTCTCTCTCTCTCTCTCTCTCTTTTGTGTATCGTTTTCTTGTTTTCTCTGTGATTTTTCAACACACAAAAAATAAAAATAAGAGAAAAGGTCAATATTGTTAAATCTGAATCTCTTTTCATAGACATATATTCAATAAAATACAATCTTAATAGTTGAAGAGAATTGAATACGCGTAAAATGTAATATCCTTGTGAATATGGCTATTTATGACTTTGGAAATCGTCATAGACAATTCTCGTTATTGCATACTTTCTTTCTCCCTTGGCTATATACAAATAGAAAATGTCTCAAGCGGAATGAAAATTTACAAGCTTCTTTATTTTTGTTTCAGTTTAGCTAGCTAAGATTTACTAAGAATACTTTTCAAAATTTTCACACTCCATAGTTTTATTTTCTTATCAAACTTAGCTTTCAGTTTGTGTGATTATCATCAAAATACTTATTTATTCTTACTTTAAATAGGAAATAAAAAGAAACTAAATAGAAGATTATGAGTGAAAAAAGCCTATGATACATAAATTCGTTCAAAATACCAATCGAAACTGTAAAATTGATATTCGACTTCACAGAACGGTCATATTTACCTATGAGAAATATTTTAAACTAGAGATTTCACTGCATATACTTTTTAAATAATAAAACCTAACGTAGTGAATATATTGAGATTATTGACAACAGTATTTTTTGTTACAATAATTATTTGATTTCATGCACTAATTAATTGAAATGTTAGAAGAAACTCGTATCAATAACTGGTGAAAATAGTCTGAGGTGTTAATCGTATAAAAATGATGTCAACATTTTTAGGGACACAAGAAAGATTGGACAAAACAAAGCGTTTCTCATTGATAAAAAAAAAGTCAATATTAATGCTTATTTTTAATGTTTTCGATTCTCATATTCGTGGTGCATCACGGTTGTTAACATAAATAGAAGCCATATACGTCTGTTTGAATTTACGGTAATGATTGAGACTGTTACACATGAAAGGAATAACCGTACAACTATTCTGTGAATAGATGTATCATTGAAGCAAACGATTTCTTTATCACCATGTTCTTTATTTTTACATTTTTTTTGTTTACATTAAAAACTAAAGAAAAATAACAATAAATTTCAATGAAACAAAAACAAAACAGTATGTGAATTTATCGAAATCTATTTGATCTTGGTTGAGATGTTTTTCGGACATTTCCTCGGTAACTTCGATTTTTGGTCGACGAATGGGATGCAGTTAGTCTTTTGCAATTATTTGAAATACGCAAGTTTTTTGAGTTTCTTTGAGTGAATCTCATTAATTTTTTACGCTCATATTGTTTGTGTTTGTTTACTGATGGAGAAGTTGATAGCCGATGTAATTCTTGGTTTTGATTATTGTTTTCCAATTTTACTAGATGCTCATGAAATGATTGGAGTAAATTTTGAATTGCTGCCATTGCATAATCATATGCTTGTGAAATTTGTTTGTCTATCGTGTGTAGATTGATTCAAATCAATTTCATCAAATTTTTGCGTATATTTATCTTTTATCAATAACATGCATTGTTTTGCATGAAGTATTGAATCACAATTAAATAAATTTATATTTGATCTTACCGATTTTATTTCGTAAATTGATGATTCTACCATTTCATAATACGATTGTAAATTTTTACCGTACAGTGACTTTAAGAGGTATGTGAGAAGACTGAATAACTAAATAAAACAAGTAAAAACATACATTTTAGAGTCAAATTGACTAACTGGTCGAAATAAAACAAATTTTTCATTTTTTTCCCTAAAAAGTGGTTGTTGAGTTGACGAAGATTGTCGTTCAGAATTTTCAACATTTATATCATGATGATCTTCAGATAAAACTTGATTGATCGCATCAGTAACTATTGATGGCACTAATTCAGTGGAAGACATTAACATAGGTGAGGGTGCTTCCGATCTGTTATGTTTCTCAACATATTCAAACCATTGTTTGTATAAAATCTAAAGAGAAAATAATTAGAACTAACTTAAATAAAAAAAATTCCCCGTTAAAAAAAGACAGAAAACATCTAGTAATCAGTGGTGATTTTTGGAACAGTTTTTGAACAAATTTGTTATCAGCTCTTAAATGAATTCTTACCATTCATATGCCTTATAACTATTTAATATGTTACACTAAAAAAGTTAGCGAATCAAGATAAACACTAAAGAAGCTCGAAAAAAGATCACATGCATTCTAGTTAATACAAGTGTTCCTTTGATCTTTCTAATATTGTAATAGATGAATACAATGAGGGTTGATCGAAATTTTCACTGACTATTTTTCTAAATACGTAATTGGACATGGAGTGAAATAAATTTATACCTCTCTCTATTACTCAGCTTATCGATTAAGATTAGAAAAATATACCTATAGAATCGTGTGATATGTAAAAATCTATGATCATTAGCTGTTAAATCATGATAATGAATGAAAATACATTCATGATTGATAAGGATTTCGTTTCTTAAAGATTTTTAATGAATTCGATTCTTAATAGAAATTCAGAACATTAGTAAACATGTTTTCGATAGTATAAATTCTTTGCTTTATACGTATTCTTGATAGTTTCGATATGAAATATGTCGTCTCTTATATTCCAAGCTTGCCTTCGATGTGACAGCAATTATTTGTTTTTACTTTCTCAAACGGCTGATTATATAATAGAGAATGTTAATCATCTGACAAAAGTGTATTCATTGGATCAAGGCTAAAAAGAAACAAATTTCAATATATGATATGTGCAATGCTCATACTTATTACGGATTATTCGACTCTATTCATTTTTAATAATCTCTCGTTGTTTCACAGCAGTGAATAATATAGGTTTTCACCAGTTCAACAGAGTATATCCTATGTTTTCGTTTATTTTAAAACATTTAAATACCTTTAAGTTATAATGAAATTCAGCAAATGAAGTAACAATCATTGAAAATTGTTCTATATGATGAAATTTTGTCTTGTTCAAGTTAATTAATGTTTCTACAGATTGAAAAATTTTTGAAACATCATTTAAACTATCTGAATACAATTTCATTTCAGATTGGTTGACTAATTTAACAGATGTATTGAAGCGTTGTAGATTTTGTTGTAATGGATAAATAATTGAACAAACATAACCATTGATGATACAAATATATTCAAATAATTGTATTAAAATTTCATCGAAATTAATTTGACCAATTAAAGTACGCATATTGTTAACTAGATCATTACTCAATTTTTTAAATGAATATGCTAAATACAAAATAAAAGCGTTAGATAAATAAACATTGATTAACTAGTTACCGGACGAAGTTCTAGAAAAATAGTCTTTTAGTTCAATATACAAACACAATACGTGTCTTACCGTGTATTTTTTTCTTGATAAGATTTTCCTTTATCTTTATCGACGTCTTTGTTTTCAGTTAATGTTAGTGGAGGTGTCGGTTTTGTTATAGTACATAGTCTAATAATATAAACAAATTAAAAAAGAATTAGTCGAGATTATTTAAATTACTTTTGTTGTGTTGATGATGTTGTTCTAATTTCTGATGTGCTTTTGTTTTTCGATAAGATTGTGGTTGGATTATCGTTATCATCAGCTATACGATGGAGAAAAGGAAAATGATACGAACATTTAATAACAATAAAATTTAAGAAACCTTGAGATGTACAAAGATAAATAACGGTACTATTGCTGTTGAGACCATGCTGATCGATATATTCCAAAAATGTATTATACTCATTGGTATTCAGTGGATGTCGGTGAAAATCATATAGTGAAGTTTTACAGTCCTTTTCATCTTTAAAATCAAAAATATTAGATGATTCAAATTTTTCTGTTTTTTTCTTTCGTTCTTCATTTTACCCAATCGATAAATATGCTGTAAACGATGCAGAACATGATCAAAATTCATATCGATAAAATCCCAATTACAAACACGAGTACCACCACCATCTTCAAGATCAAGTTTTTTTACTTTACCATCTCTAGTTGATACTAAGCGACCACATCGAAATCTTTTATTCATTCTGAATTATTATATCTAAATATTTAGAAATAAAAAGTAAACAAATATGTATTTTTAAATTGTAAGCTTATTTCTTCGTTCACGATCATGTATTCGTCTATATGTAAGCACCAGTCATATACAGTTATTGGCAATTGAATGTTTAGCTATGAAAAGAAAAGAAAACAACATAACACAGAATTCAACATGATCGCATATCGAAATAGACACCAAATTTTTTTTTCTACCATTAACTATTCCGTAGTTCAACAGAGCACGTTGGTGTCATTGTTGTATCATGTTCCTTTTTCGTATTTTGTTCGAATAATATTCAAAATCAATTTCGTTCAAACATCCATATGCTGGGGAATCTTAATTTGCGGCAAATTCAATTTAGAAAAAAAAAAATTTCTTACAAAATCCAAAATCACAGCGGTGGAACCCGCTGAAGTCAGATTCTTTTTGTGGATTTTTATAATATTTTCTGATTTTCAATCAAAAATTCACAAAAAAAAGAAAACATCAAAAAAATCACTATCCACCTGTTTCATCTTCGATTCATATTTTTAGAGAACGGCAATTAAAACTGTATTACTTTCATTCATTTTTTTGATTTAAAATCAATCTATTTCAAATTAGAAAAAATCGTAAAAATCCACCAAAAAGGACAAAAAGAATCGTAACAGCAAAGAGAATCAAAAAAATCTAACCTCAGCTGTTTCAACCTTGCCTACACTGCTGCAATTTTGTATTTCTGTAGTAATTCATTTTGGTGTAATTTTTAATTTGCCGCAAAATTCAAATACACTATGATGCCCAAAAATCGATTTGAAATACATGCCCTATTTTACATCAGATACCATGAAATATATAGAAGACTAATGATACATTTCAACACTTCTAGAGAGTCACCATTGAAAACTAACAAGATCTCAGAGAAACAATAACTTGAACGATTATTATTTTTGTTTATTACAGTCATCATGTATATATGTCTAAAACCAACATATCTATGTATTTCACATGGCGTTCGTTCTTATTTTCATCTATCAACTGATGTAAATTCTACAACTGAAAAATAATCAAACTAAGCAGCCTATATACGTTTATCGAGGTCAAATGATGTCAAGTGAAGAACTGAACATTTTGAGAGGATGTCAAGATCAGTTTATTTCAGTAAATTCACAAGGTAACGCGACGTTGACGTCGCCAACCCTCTACTGAAAGGATTTAGTCATGTCGAACATAGCTATCCAAAACTATCTAGCTGAGAGACTTCACATTTTATAGCTTCGAAATGATTTTCATGGAAAACCCGATTGATAACCGAGTATAAATAGAAAACTTTCTTGGAAGTATCACCAAGACAACGCCATTTAAGTGTACTTACTAATACTATATGCCAATAGCGAAGTTAAGGACTCATTCAAGAGAGCTATGATAAAAATTCCCCATTTTAGTAAAGTTACAACTCAAATTGGTCTATGAACTAGATATTTAACATGAATTTGCACAAGTAAATCATAGATCAAATCAAACTGACTTTTTCTCACTCGATTTCGGTTCGATTTGCCCTCATTTTTCCTCAAATCCATCTGGGTTCATTTTGCTTCGGCGCGTTTTCCGCCTAGAAAGCATATATTCATTCCCTCGTGCACGTTCACAGATAGATAAATCTAAGATTTATATCTTCTGAATCAAACCCACTCGCAATCAGAAAAAACTAAACTTATTAAGATAACCAGGACAAATATAAATTTCAAATATTTCACACGAGTTGATCAATTATTTCATGACCTTTCTTCGGAAGAACTTCAAGATATCGCCTATTTTCGAAAATTGTTTCAACTTTTCTGATCGAGACAACGTGTAACTATTCTATAAGTCTTCCAGGCCTGTAGTCTTATAATCACAACAGATTTTTAACTGAGCGGCTATAGTTGTTCGTTGGCGCCCCTCTGGGTGCCAATCACGAATAGCCGTTGCCAAATTAAGAATCAACTCCATCGCGAGATGCCTATAGACGATTCGTAGTAAAATCAAATATAAGCATACGATATATACGTATATACCACTATCAACATCATCGAATGATACCCTCAAAAAGTTTGCCGACAAAGAATTCCGATCACGAAAATACGATGATCTAAATAGCTCCTAATGCATTATAAACTAGCTTGAACTATGAAAGATTATTAAGCATTTAATATTCGATCCAGCGACACTCACACCCTTATTTGAATCAACTTTATTTATTTGCTGAGGATCATAACCACTAATAACGTCCTTGTGGTACTCCTAAACGCTTTCGAAATACCAGTCACTCGCTATTTGCTGGTCACTTAGTTTTACTTTTTCAAAAAGCTCATGTGTTCACTCTGTGAAATAGACCTCTGGGCAACCCTCTTTGCTTATTAAAAGAATGACAAAATGTTTTTGAAAAACTACACTTAAAATCGAACGACTCCGCGTCAAAAACTTTGGGTCAAACTTTAAACGAAGTCATTTTTTTCCTAAAAACCTCTCTTTCTCTCCCTAAAAACGATAGAAAGCGAAACTTCAAAAATCTGACCTTCGATTCGACTCCCTCGAGTCCGACAGTATCTGATCAAACTTTACAAGGAAAACTATTTTTTCACTAAAAAAGTTGAGGATCATAAATTCTGAAAATCTCACACCAGATTAGAGTTCAGCGACCCCGATTGCCGTCGGTGAAACCTATCACTATAGATATTGTTTGCAGTTTGTTAATTTTATGCATCTGCTTTCCTATTGGACGAACGAACGAACGAACGAACGAACGTATTTAACTCGGTTTTCGTAATACCCTCCTCTCAGTAAAGGGAACAGAAGACAGCAGATTTTCGATTATTGATTCTGAAATAAATACGCTAGTCAATTGTCATTCAATTCCGTAACTTTATTGGATTCGCAAATCCGAAATGTTCGATGAAAATAAGTTTGAAACTCGTATCTCACATCATTGATCAATCAATTCAATAAAATTATACACGAGGGTAGTAGCGTTATGCTTGAATAAACATGTATACTTGAAAAAAAGGTAAAATTGCCATTTTTCTTGGCCTTTAGCTGTAATATTTTGTGACAGCACATAAATAGCAATGATACTAGTAGGGGATGCAAATGATGAGTATTCAAGAGAACGACGTATAAAATGCAATACTGTACGTCACGATACATTCAGGTCTCATTTGCTTTCATTCTATTTCATTATACCTTCAATACATCGTATCTGTATCGTCAAAATTTATGGGTAACCTTATCTCGGTAAACATTTTACATGGCGAATACTGAAAATAGTTTATCGACTGTTGATTGTATTTCATTTTTTTCTCTATAGGTAAGAAAATTTAAAGATGGACGTTGGCAACACCAATACTGGCAAAACAAACAACGGTTCGGGATATATACTCACGAGATGATTTTTGATAAGAAAACTAAAACACTGTCTGGTCGAGGAACAGACAATGTTGGAGATTTTACATTGAGTGGTCACTTTGATCCATCACAAGGATATATTCATATGGTTCAAAAGTATATCGTAAGTATATAGCAGAAATATTTTATTATTAATTATTTGACTTCAATAGAGAAATTCTGGCGACCCACGATTAAATATGGGCCACATTTGCATTTACAAATTATACTGGATGGATAAAAACAAAAGTTTTGAAGGTGAAGTTTTTGGTATTGCTAATGGGCAAAAACAGTCAAGTGGCTATTTTCAAATGTGGCATGAATAACCTGTGAATCATGCATATAAGGAACATGAAAATGCATTTTTATCCGTTTGGGGTATGGATTTTTTTACTTTTTGAGAAATAGATCAATCTAAAAGGCGTTCTAATGCATATTAAGCATGGTTTATCGAATGATAGTCAACAAGAAAAGCGACTCACTGCGATGCGAGGTATTATTGGTTTCGTTCATTAGGGTTTACATACACAGCAACAATTAAGATCTAATTTCGATTACTGTTAGCATCAGTGATAGTTCACTATGAAGCTAAACTAGAATTAATCATATTATAATTGAATTGATAAACTACTTGATGAGTTTAACTCACTGCATTGTGCTTTGACAGAAAGATCTTGACTAGTTATGCTTTGTTTCATCGTGTGCAAATGAGTAGCTTGTCAAAATATCTTATGAATGAAATATTTTCATAATTTACATGCATACACCTTTTCTTAGCTGAACGACTCTATAATGATGATAGCCCCTTTTGGTCTCATTCAATGGAGGCAGAGCAGAAAAAAGTATTTTAAAGACATTGATAATGCAGTTGTGGCTGATTTGAATGTAATTCAAATGTCTGAACAAGTGGACCATTGTGTTTCAATCATAACAAATGTTGAAGAAAAAAAAACTACCCATGGGATAAAAAAATTAAGATATATCCACTGGAAAACGCGTTAATACTGACCGATTTAGCGTGTTTCGCAGCGTTCCCTATGGCAACACAGGCGTAAAACCAATTTTCGCATTTACTCAAAACGCGGCTGGGACTCACTATTTCAGGATGAAAACGAAAAGTATATCATATTACGGCGTTTTTAACCGATTCAGCAGCTGCGAAACGCATTAAATCGACCAGCATTAACGCATTTTGTAGTATTGAAGAGTAACGAAATTTTTCCCATGAGTACATCTAATCTGTTAAATCCACATTAACATAGCAAGCTTTTCACATGTTAATTCAATTTTTAAATGCGAGCCTCTTGGAAAAAATAACTTCACAACGAAGACGAGCAATCCAAAAAGGAATCAACTAATTTCCACGATATCATAATAAAATTCTAATCACGTTTTGAAAAATATATTATATGTTTGTTTCTATTTTTTCTGATAGAATTGTTCTTGGAGAAATCATGATTTTTAAAAATATTGTGATTGAATAAAGGTCACAGACAAATCGATCTTCTATTCTTTCTGGGGTATTCCCTTGATCTTTACTATTGATTTAAACCGCAGATTAAATTTTTCTTTTGAATAAATGAAAATTTAAGGAGAGGCGAGTCAAGTTAACTTAGATTAAGAATAAACAATATAATCAAGATATTTTATAACGAAGTGATTTATGTGTAGGAATATTGCTTGCATTCTTATTGACCTATTTACTGGTTAGTTCAGTTCATATTTATATATATTGATCTAACTTGACATTTCGTCGATTTTTTTCGGTGATAATGAACAAAAATAATTGCCACTGAAGAATGAAACGCTTTTATTTGCTGAAAATTTGTAAACTCCTTCCGCATTCGTGCTTCATAGAGTGTGATAGACGACTTTGAGGGACCATCAAAGATCATGTATGTAACTGAAGAATCTAATTGGAACATATATAAACTAGTTTTTATTGAACTTTTATTCTGTAACGTAAGTAACTGTCCTTGGTTTATTGAAGACGCAGTTAATTAGACTGCTATTTGTTTTTGTTGTAGGCAATATAGAGGAGCAAGAATTCTTCACTGAAGTGAGAATCTAATAAATGAAATAGACCTTTAACAGCCACTGGAGTTATATTGTTTTCAGTCGATATAGAATTGAGCTCGTAAGGTTTTTAAAATCTTTTTTAACCTCTGTTAATCACCTGTTTGAACTTCCTTTCACTTGAATCTTGCTTCGATGTGACCCCAATGTTAGGACTATCATTAGATGATACATCAGTAGTAGCCGACTGAGAAAAGCTATTTGTATTAAAAATATCAAGTTAAACTAATTACTATTTATTTGAACAATAAGAATTGATTTTATGGTTGAATAAATCGAATACCTACGAAATTCATAGCATATATACGAGTCTAATTTTGTAGCCAAATAATAACGACAAGTGGAATTGTTAAAGAAACAGCCACGATAATGTGTAAAAGAAATAAGAATAGTTTAACTTCGTTTAAAGAACGAATGTTTGCACCATCGTTATTGTCCATTTTTCTTTTCAGTGACGTAGTTTGACCCATCAATTCATTTCGAGCAACACGATAGATTCCCATTTTCGAGTTCAGTCGATCACGATATTCCACAATTTCAAAGAGAATGACCACAATAACAATCCAGGCAGACCAAAGTGAAAGAATAGCAATAAGGCCATCCTGTTGCATAGGTAGCACTTTCGACTCTGTTACAATAAGAAAATTAGTAGGTACAGAGAGAAAAAATGCCAGATATCCCATGCTTCGATGAAGCCAATTGAAAATTGGGCGAAAAGAACTGTCGGTATTGCAACGAAACAAGGCGAGCCATGCTTGTAATAAAGCACAACAAACAATAATAGCACCAAGAACGGAATGCGCGAAAATATGGCCTCCGTCTTTAGCGGCACTCACCCATTGACCTTTCTCTTTTATTAGAATAAGAAAGAAACCAAGTAATGTTGCAACGGTAACCATGCAAAGAATGAATCGATGAAGTTGAAACCATATTGCGTCTCCAAGTAGTTTTCGTCTTCCACTAAGTCGTAAGTGACGTCCATATCGAGCAAACAATATACCGGTGGAGGCTAGTAACATCCAAGAAATAACCATGATTGTACCATGAGCATACACCAAATTTTCATTCTTCGATGGACTAGGATCATCTACATACCAAGGATTGTTCATTTATAGAAGAAATATTAACGTCGTATGATTTGAATTGTTCAATTTTTACTGATGAATTATATGCTCGTGATGAACATATTCACCAAATATACATCTATATGTGCCTATAGTATATAACAAGTACATGTGAAGTATTCTTTTTTCTTCAATACTCAAAAAGAATGACACTGAAATATAGTGTAAATATTGGCGAAAGAACGAAAGAACGAAAGAACGAAAGAACGAATAAGAACAAAAGAACACACACCATTTTAGTAGCCTCTTCAAATGTTGAAGTATATACAGTCAAATCATTTTATCATGCATCCTCACATGACAAGCTATGAATCATGTTTGAAAAATTGTAGCATAGTATTAACTGTCTCGAAAATTACTTAGAAAAATGAATCTAATAATGCAGTATATGAAAAATTCGTGTTATTTGGGGAATATAATGGATGAAGACTAGTATAAGAATAGTAAACGAACAAAAGTAAATTCTACATTTGAACTACGAATGAAAGGTATACACAAGTTCTGGTTTCAAGGGGGACAAGGCGGATTTTTGGGATTTTGAATACCCTAAAATCTAAAAATTGAAAAGCATCCTCCCTGTGAATGACGTAGTTTCGACCTAAAATTCTTCCCATATACAGCTTTCATGGTGCATAGAAGATCCTAAGAGTTTCAACTCGAAAAAATGTTTCCTTCTTAAAATAGTGAATTTTCAGAAAAAACTGGATTTTCTGACCGTCCTGTGACTGGAGCATTTCTTGCGCATTCATTATCTTGAGAAGCAAACATCCGTTTGCACTGAAAATTTTATAATATTCTAAGGATCATGAGACTTATACATGGAAAAAATTCAGATGGAAATTCCATTATTCACGTTTTGGATTTTCCCCCTTGTCTGATCTTTTAAAGGAATTTTTTCTTAAATTTTTCAACGTTAGAAGAAATTAATATTGATAACGAAATTCTACTCTGTGTTCCCAAAAGCCTCCTTTAAATCCATAACAAACTACCGGAAAAAACATTGACCCAAAAATAAATTGAATAGTGAATCGGCAATCATGACATCGTACAGTAGTATTGTAACAACGCTCTAAGCTGGTAATCTGGTCCCAAAAACAACTAGTATTCAATTTTATTATTTTTGACTATCGTTTACTACAATCGATTGGAGTTCTTTGAAGAAGTCGCCGCACTTAGAAAAAAAATTTGAAAGTAGATATTCGACGACGGCGTCGGATTTTAGTGCAGAAAAGACGTGTGACTATCCCAATACTGATGAGGATATACTTTTATTCAAAAGAGTTATAAATTCTAACCTTGCACATACGTCACTCTGAAACAAATGATGATTACATTTGCGGCTCATTGATTATGATTTTGATACTTGAATAGTTTTAATAATACCACCAGATTTGGGTTATATAACATTGACATATTGAAGAAAAAATCAAGCTTTTGAGAATGTCTTATATATCAAGTTTATTAGCCGAACATATCATATTCAAAAATAAACATCATTTAGAGAGTATCGACTTTTACATTCTGTTGGTATAGCATTCTTTCTACGAAAGCGATTCCCGAATCCAAGTATTCTGTGTCCGACATGAACAGTGAATGTAAGTATAGTTGCAAAAAGTCCAATTAGACCAGCACAGAGACCCAGTTGATTGAGGCATAATTATCCGGCCAAAACATCAAGCGAAGTCACCACCAGCGGAAATTACAAGAAATTCAATACGATCTGACTCACAGAAAAAGTTCGTTGTTGGTGACGAAATCAGTATTGTCTTCTAAAAGACAAAACAACTCATTGGATATGCTGGTAATTATTCTACTTACTAAAATTTATTGATGAAGTGTAAAAATTAACTTTGTATAATTTCGTCAGTGACTTGCACATCTTGGTGTCTGCATCTAACGTGTGACTTACTCTGATCAACATCAAGTTGTTCCTTTTTTTATAAAAGCAACCATGTCTTTTTGGTTACTATTTTCAGTCGTGACTTCATGAATAATTTCTCACACATCGATTATTGTTTCAAATTTTTAAATAATCCTTCCAGTAAAAACGTGTGGTTTATACTCTGAAAAAAAGGTGTCATATGGAACTATTTATGGTTCTAGCCAAGATGCTGAACCTTTTAAGGTTTCACTCGTTTATTAATAAACCACCGTGGGTCCTAGCTAGTTTAAAGAATCATCTCAGATCCTCAATAGCTCCGGATGTTTGAAAAGGTTCCGGCCTGCACCGTTTCTTTAATACCGAACTACTTGTCCAAAGATAGTTCAGGCTTGAATCAAAATACTATATTTTCGGAACGTGATTTAAGTAATATAAATCTCAAATAGGTTATTGAGGTCGAGGATTCCGAATCCGTTATCATTTTTTCGATTCGAGCTCGCAATGGTCAGAAATTGGCTTCATCAATAAATCGAGGGCTGTAAAATAGACTGTGCATTTCAACTCCGATCTAAATTCTGATCGAAGTTTGAAATAGGCTATCGAGGTCCGGGAATCCGAATCCGAATCCGTTATCATTTTTTCGATGCCGGGGATGCGATAGTTGAAGGATGAACCTGGGCAGTTGTGTCTCCAAAATCAATTCAATAATTAGTGGTAACTTTTGAACTGCAATTGTTCTATTATCTTTTTCGATATGTCACATGTATCAATAGACAGGTAATGCCAATCTGATAAAATCAATTCAAATGCAAGTTAATATAATAAAATGAATTAATGTCTTTTTTAATATTTTAGGTATATGTGAATAATTCATTTAATGGTAAGTTGAATCTTACAATATAAGTCACTGCTCTTTTTTTTTGTTTAGGATCGTCTCTACAACAACTAACGGCGATGCCGCTTTCGTGCGAATAACGGAGAAAGTGCTAGCTCGTATTTTATTCACAACAAATCTAGGTAAATATAACACACAGAAATAAGGGTTAAGGATAGAAATTATGGTTAAGATTAGGAATAAGGGATTAAATATGAAATTAACGTTCAAGACGATTGAAATCATAATGATTCAAGTAGCTTTGTGTTTGGTTTTGCTTTTTTAAACCACCCATGTGCTTCATTACGATGAAACTGTGGCGCAGTTACGGCGTAACTGCGATCGCACTGTGACCCGTAATTGCGGAAAATTGCGCCGTAACTACGCGTAACTGCGATGAAGAAATCGCAATTACGGGTAGTTACGGTGAAAAAATCCCAGTTACGCATAACGGCGTCCACGTTTTTCGCAATTATGGGCCACAGTGTCGTCGCAATTGGTACAAAAGATGACATAGATTAGATTTTCACTTTTTTTGTACTTTTATTGTGAATTTAAAATATTTTTGCACAAAATAAAAAATTTAAAACTAGAAAATTAAAATTTTTATAAAAATAAAAAAACAATTTTTAAATTAAAAATTTTCACAATAAAAAATAATTGAAAAATTAAAACCTAAAAAAATTTAAAAATTTACTAAGTTATAAGTTTAAAGAAATTTTAATTTTAAAAATTAAGGAAAATAAAAAATAAATATTTAGAAAAATTAAAATATTAACCTCTAAAATAATTTTTAAAAATTTAATAAATAGAAGAAAAAAAATTTAATTACAAAAAGCTGAAAAACTAAAAAAGATTTAAATCTAGAAAAACTAAAAAAGATTTAAATCTAGAAAAATAAAAAAAAATAAAAAATATGTATTCTACTGCTTATAGTAGAATGACTTATGAAAGAAAATGTGACGAGCACTGCTATTTATACTGATTTTCTGTGACTGTATTTTATTGTTAGAGTGTAGCCAATTACAAATAAGAAGGAATAATTTATAATTGGCCATTTATACCTACAAGGGATCGTAAGATGCGATCACTAGGACGCAGTTGCGTTGATCTTCATCACAGTACGCGTAGTTTCTTATAGAATCTCCACTACGATCAATGCGCCATAGTTACGCGTAACTGCGACGCAAAATTGGCTCTGCGCGTAACTGCGGCACAGTTGATAAAAAAGAGACGACATGGGCAGGTACGAATGGTGATTATATAATCATATCCATACTGACAGAATTCAATGTGGCAACGGTTTTTCAGTCAACCACAAATCAGAATTTCGACTAAAAGTGTGTGTGTATCGATGATGATTTCCTCTATAGAGACCAAAGATCCACTGAAAAATTTGACAATTGCTCTTAAATTTTTGGAGTTCTTCAAACTTCGAACCGAATATGTCTGATGATATTACACTATTCAGCTATAAGTAAAAAGACTAGAAACCAAGAAAATGTTACGAATTAGCTGTAGACTTTGATTATCCATAAAAGTGATATTCTGTTTTGATCAAGAAGAATTTTTTCAATTTTGTTGGGTTAGCTCCTCTTTTAGATACAGATATTGGCTACAGAATGATTTCTTTCAAACCTATTCTTCATTCTGAGTGTAAAGCGAGAAAATCTTCGTGGAAACAATATCTAACGAGTAAATGCATTTTGTCTAGCACACTAGAGGGTGTGGGTGTGGGTGTGGGTGGATCTGGGTAAAACCGCTATTTTCCGTTAATCCACATTCGGACTCCCACACCCACAACCACGCCCTCAAGATTTATTTTCGTTCTTAGTTATTGAGTTCAGGGATAGCTTTAAAATGCGAAATCTGAAATCAGATTTATCTTTGATTTCGTGTCGCGCAATCATTCACTTTTTTGTTTCGCTCGAGAACTTCTATAAATAGGCAGATCTTTCTTCCCTTTAGTTATTTAGTTCAGGGTTAGATTTAAAATGCGAAATCAGATTTATCTTCGATTTCTTGTCGTCGAATCTTCGTTTGACCATTTTCCAGATTCAAGTCAAGTAACATGTTCACGATTCAGTTTGTTTTCTGGTTTTTCCTTTAATCCCTATTTATGTTCCAGCGAATTCCCACTCTTTCAGAAACCGCTTGATTTTCAAGTCGAAAGGTAATGTGTTTTTGACCCAGAAAGGTAATCTTTCTCAAATCCAAGTGGAATCGTTTTGAGATCTTTTTGAAATCCAAAGGAAGTCTGTTTGAAATCTAAACGAAATCCTTTTCAAATCTAAACTTAATCTTTTTGAAATCTGAATGAAATCCATTTCAAATCCAAATGAAATCTTTTTCAAATCTAAACGTAATCTTTTTCAAATCCAAATGGAAATCTTTTTCAAATCTGAATAAAATCTTTTTCAAATTCAACTGAAATCTTTTTCAAATCTAAACGAAATCCTTTTCAAATCCAAATGAAATCTTTTTCAAATCTGAATGAAATCTGTTTGATTTGCAGGTGAAATCATCGAGAATAACGAATGGAAAACGGCCGTTTACTTTGATGTACGGTAGTGGTGGTGGTCGTAAACGGCTGTATATGTTACGATACGGCGATTCTCGTTGTCGTAAACTGTCGTTTTGTTCAAAATGCGACCGTGTCACGGCACTGTTTTTAACGTTTACGGTAGTTGGGTTTCGCCGTTTACGGTAGGTGGGTTTCACCGTTTACGTCACGGTGGGTTACGGCCGTAATACGGGGCATACCAAACGGGTCATTGACGACCCGTATACGGTCGTAACTCTGACGGTTACGGCCGTTTACGGCCACTGTAATGTTCGTCCTGGGTTTAAGAGTTTTTTATTTCATAATTTTATTCAAAGTGTTTATTAATAAACGGATAGATGTAGATTAATATACGTATTTTCAAAATCAGTTTATTATACAACAATCAGGGGTAAATTATTATACGATTCATGCAAAACAAATCTTATTCTACGGCTAGGGGTTGATTATTCTCCATTTTCAGTAGAAGCGTTTGTCATAATACCTGAGGGTTCATTATTATATGATGGATGGTAGATTGGTGTACACTATAGGAATCACTTGTATAATAAGTTCCCTCTGGACTTGAGCAGAACACATTGACTTTTAAAACGTTTATTGAGATTTCGTTAATTCTTCAAGAATTAAGAGCCAAAACTATTTATTGCATCAATAGTGCATTATAGTGAGAAAATGATATGATCAATATTTCAAGTTTCAGTATTTTATGTTTCTATCGCAATGTTTATTTTACACGCATTTTAGCAGCGCAATTCACATTTTTAACACAACGGTTCACTACTTTGGAAGCTAGAAAAAGCTTAAATTCTGCGTCGCCTCAAGTGTTTATTATTCGATGTGACATGGTTGGTATGACAAAATACATCGTGCTGTAATCAATCTAGAAGCGTTCAGTATTCTACAACTAAGCATAGATTATTTTATCTTTAGTTTTGATGGATTTATTATTCTACGTTCAAATCTCAAATTTCTGAAATTGTCAACAGAAGCGTTACAATCCTGTAGTTTGATTGAAAATATGTAGCCATACCTATTAAGATAAACGAGTACACAAGGCTAAGTTCTAGTTTCAAAAAGCCTTGTTTTTGGGCATGGTATTCGATTCTTTTATAGAAGCGGTGTAAAGTGAATGACAATCTAATCGTTGGCCACGCATCAGTTAACACCAAATTCAATTGTTAAAGAGCGATTCCGGTAACTAGTATCATACTCTCTGATAATTTGCAACAGGAATTGTAAAACTAATATGAGTCATTATCCCTTTAGATCGAATAATGATGGTATGAAAAAACTTTCAAAAAGGATTCATATTCAATACTAATAACTAAAGTGTCTGAAAGCTAATTTCTGTTCTCTCAATGAAAAATCTGTTTTTTTTAATGAAATCATGAAGTAAACTCTGAAACACTGCGATAAATAAGGATCACTTCATCGTAGAAATCATCTTCTTCAATGTTCACTTCAGATAGTTTTGACAGTGAAGATTCGTTTTAAAATGAAAATTGTTTTAAGAATATAAAAAAAACTAAGTTGGTAGGAAAGCATGCGATGAATCATTGACACTGTGCTCAGTGAAATCCAGGATTTATCCATATTTCAGTTGAAGTTAAAGTCTTTTTCAAAATAGTTTCTTTCATCTGATAGCATTATTGAGCCAAATACAGGAACAGTACAAATCATAGTTTTTTCGATTAATTTGTTTTCATTTAAGACAAATCGTAGACATTGTTTCATTTCTTGTTGCTTTTACGCGAAATGTTTTATTTTGATGCTTGCAAGATACAACTAGAATCCTAAATTTATGATCATCAGATTTAGTGAGCCAATGCTTGTTTCTAATAAGAATATTTATTAGGAACGCGTTATAGTTTTGCTTTCATTACTAAGGAATTTCGGATCAGTATACAGATATTTTTGTATTATCTAGTCGATAAGTATTTTTTCTGCCGAATTATTCAAAATCGAATATTACTTGCCAGCAACACAAACAAATCTGTCGTTATTAAAAAATATGTTTCAAAATGGCAATTTCTAGAGATTCCTTTCTTATTTTACGTTTTGCCTATTATTCAATAGAAATTGGGAGTTGTTAAAAGATAGGAACTATTTTGGGATGGCATGATTCGACGTGGCTATGGTCAAAATACTAAAAACTTCTCATTTTAGTCAATCATCGTTTTCTTAAATATCTTAGTATCTTGAAGGTGTGGGTGTGTGGATGTGACTGTATTCTTAACTCACCCACACCCATGCCCTCATTGGTGTTACACAGGCCCCGTTGTAACTTAAATCAATTCACAAAACAGAAATCTATGTTTCTATTGAACCAATCAACAACAAATTTCCTATTTTAGATTCCAAATTTGAATCTTAATCTCCGTTCCTAATCTGTTTTACTATTCCTTTTTCCCTATTTATACTGTATAACACGCGCACGAGAGAGAGAGAAACAAAGATAGAAAGGAAGAAAAGGCATTTGTTTCTTCGACTACACTATTTTGTATATAAAGATGATAGTGTATCATTTTAGAAATGTACTTAATTCTAGTCGAAGAAACGATGCCATTATTTATGTCGACAAGCACGGGAGGAAAGAAGACACAATAGAGAGATACGAAAAGAAAGGAAAGAAAGAAAGAAAAAGAACGATTGATGTATGTGTATTTCGAGTTGGATTGCACATATAAGAAACACAACACATATCAAGACGAAACAAGAACGTATAAGAATAAATAAATAGATAACTTGTTAGAGTACTCTCTAATAATTGGCGAAGACCATTGGTCTCCAAATAGACCTGATCTAAATCCCCTGGATTATTGTATTCGGGATGAATTTGCGGGGGCTATGAACTGGGATATGGTGACATCTAAGATGACTCTTATCAGTGAACTGAAACGTAATGTGAAGAAAATCCGCCTGAAGTAGCTTTTGAAAGTTGTGTATCTTGGACCAATCGATTGTATCGATTGAAACAAGTTAATGACAACTGTTTAAATAAATAAATTTGGAGTATTTTTGTAGAGAAAAAATGTTTTCTATACCCAGGACGAGCTTTACGACGTCCGTATACGGTGAAATACGGGCCGTATACGGCCGTTTTCTGCCGTATACGACGGTAAATCGCCGTATTTGGCCGTATTACATGGCTCCGTATTACGATCGTAAATCTCCGTGTCGTAATACGGTGAAATACGATCAAAAACGACCGTAAAGCGCCGTATTTCGCCGTATACGGCACGGAGATTTACGATCGTAATACGGAGCCATGTAATACGGCCAAATACGGCGATTTACCGTCGTATACGACCGTGTATGTTCGACCAGGGATCGAATAAAAAAAGAGCAAAGAAAAATATGAAAAATTGAATGAGATATTGCAAAAATGGTAAAACCCTCATTCTTCATGGGTCACCCGATAGATCTGTCCTTCTGGTCGAGTCTTTATTAGGTTATGATTAGAAAAGAAGTGCTTCAATAATAACTATAATCTCATACTTGACTTGATCATTGGAAGCTCATTAATTCCAGTATGTTTACTCTAATTTTATGAATTTTGGGGTGTGAGTATGGGCTTGGATTCGAAGAAACTATGCACCCACATCCAGTAATGCTTAGTATTCGATTTCAAATGGTACAATTGATATTTTCATAGATTTACAACTATATCATCGATATTCATTATCAATCTTGATTGTTTCCATCCAGATAACGCACCAGTATAGCCTGATTTCAGTCTTCAATTAACATAGCAGCATGAGGTTATGAAGTACAAGTCTTCTCTTCTTGAAAACCCACATCCTCATGTTCCAACAACAATTTCTACTAAAATAGTTATTTTCAATAAGGAAAATGGAAAGTTAATACTAAGTTCTTTTTTCCATGATTTATGAGAAATATAAAAGATTTGTTGCATTTTAAAGTCAGCTCTGATTGAAAAAAGCATGATATAGTTATTTGTAGAGAGAAAGAAACACACATATAACTAACGGCAAAAAGAATTAATTTTTTCATTTATTGGATTAGATAGAATCTCATAAACATTATTGCTGGTTATTCATTATCTGACTTAATAGAAGAAGTATAGAATTCAGTTCAACTACAATATAAAAAGTCATCAATGTAACTATGAATTGAAACAATAAATTATAATGCCATTTCATCTTACATTTATTCGGCTTCTATACTTCCTATGCTATTCCCCTGTTTTGTTTTCTTACTGTTATGTAACACTTTATCACACAGAAAACTCACTATCATTGCAATATTTCGATTGTATGTATTATACACGATCAACAGTTCAAGATAATATTCAAGATGTCAAATATTGTCGTCAACTAAATGAAAGTCAAGTATTACATCGTGATTTCAATCAATCGTGTCATAAAAGTGGTATATTATGGTCATTTAAAGAATTATCTCTTCTCAAAGTATCAACATCAGATGTTTTGCAATGGAGTGCAAGCATGGAACAAGCTGATCGTTATTCTGAATATTTATCCAATAGTTCACTTGATACTGCAAATCAATATATATGTAACTGTACGAATTTAGCTTCATTTGGTAAATTTTGCGAATATGAGTTTTATGGTAACACTACTTCTTTCAATGATGCAATGGAAAATCAATTCAAACCATTTAAAGATAAGAACACGTATTTTGACAACAGATTCCTTGGTAGTCAACTTCATAACAATCGGCCATGTTATACAACATGGATATGTGATTCCGGATTAATGTGCCTAGATTGGAGACATATTTGTGATGGTAAGAACACTTGATGACGCAAATGAATTCCATGTTAAATCTGTTCGTAATAATTCCTTTCAACAGTTATCATTCGACAAAAGCCTATAACACGATCTATACAGGTCTACTAGTTGCATGAGTGTGCCAAGTTCTATATAGTTCATAAACGCCAGCGACCATAGCGAAATGCAATTCATGGAACGACAATAGACATGTAACGATACACTACATGCGAATGTCATAAAGGGCACATGTAACGAGATATTATACTATATGTGATTGTCACGAACGACACATGTAGCAAGATACTATATGCGTGTGTAATGGAAGAGACGCATATAATGAGATAATTATTCTGGGTGTGACCAAACGAAAGAGAGGAGCACAGTCTAAAGATCACGTTAACTAAATGATAACTAACATCAAATTACAGACTAAAAATGGATGTTCCTAAGCGACATATGCAGATCAATTTGAGTTGTGTGGTGCCTATATGCTGCAGTCGGAATGTTCTCGAATAGGGTTTGTTTTGTGGAAACAATTTGATATAGACCACCCGACCGAATTCACAAAACTCAAAGATGATCGTAGTGTTTTCTTTCGTAGATTGCTCTCAGTATGTCGATCTTGTTCCTTGATGTAGAGAAAGGTAGTTGAGATCGGTCTGACAAAGCCCTCTTAATCTGATATGCATTAGTTTTGGAAATTAGACTCATAAAGCGAAATTTGTGAGGAATGGAAAAAGTCCTTCATCGATGAGTCGAATAGTTTTTCGAAAATGTGTCTTATATATTTTATAAGAATTTGTAGTGCTGTAGCTCTACTATAAGAAACTCACTGTGGGAGTGGGGAACCTATACATAACACGAGGATCTCAATGTGAGAAGCGATACTGATTTGTAAACCCTGGAAGATTAATATAGACTCTTTTGAACGCTTATAAGTTACTGTTAAACATTGTGTACCTTTATTGCATTGTAATTCATGATACAGCATAGTCAAGGATAAATGTCTGTGGTATGTTCGTTAGTGATTTATACTGCCCGGTGTAAGTATACGTGTATGGGCAGTCTTATGAATAGAGAATCTGAATAGGTTCTATGATGTAGAATATATACATTTTGAACTATTTTCTAATTCGTTTGTGTCGTGAAGTCGGTAAGAATGACAGGATGAGGACGATTATTTTCAATCATGTATTTTCGATTCTATTTCTAGGTAAACAACAATGTATGGATGGTTTGGATGAAGATTATTGCGAGACGTTAGAATTCAATGAATGTGAAGATGATGAATATAGATGTACAAATGGAATGTGTATTCCAGAACAATATTGGCTAGATGGTGATTATGATTGTATGGATTGGACAGATGAGATGAATATTATTGTTGAGTCAGGAGAAAACTGTATTGATAAGTCTTCATATGTTTGTGATGAACATTTGTGTCCTTATAATCAATGGCCATGCGGTGATGGTAAACTCTGGCTTTTATCTCATACAAAATAAATATAGTTTCTCATTAATATTTTCATAGGGCAGTGTGTGAATGATGAAACTGATCGACATGATGGTCTTCGATTTAATGAGAATGCATTTTGTAGAAACATGAGAGATGCCAACTACATGTGTGAAGCAGTGACACGAGACAACAAATTGTGGTGGACAATTGATGGCGGATATTGTTTACCATATTCACTTCCCTATCAAACCTTAAGTCTTGACACAACAGCCATCACTAATAAATGTGGATTCTTGGTGAAATGTTCATTAAGTAATAGTCTTGACCAAGATTGCGAATGTAACAGCACTGTTGCATGTCGTAAAATGGTTAATGGCTCATGCTCAGAGTCGTATTTACCCTATCCACACTCAGGCTTTCTCATTTCTGGTTACATTGGTATGATGTATGAGCGTGATCGTGATTGGGCAAAAAAAGAACCTGACAGACTTTTGTACAGAGGGCGAATGAAATGCATCGGCTATCAGTTAATAACTAAAGGTATTCGACGTTTTACCAACAATGGACCATTTAAATTCTATCGATATCGATTATCAGAAAGACGTCTTTGTAATATGCAGGAGGAAGTTCAAAGTATTCGAAATTATTCAGGTCCACACTATCATGTCAATTGTTGGAATAGTTCGAAAACATTTAATAACCGTCCTTATCAAGTTTCCTTATGGTGTGAAACAAGATGTATATCAAAGTATCGAGTACGAGACGGAATATATGATTGTCAAGAGTCGGAAGAAAATTCCACTACTAATAATTCATGTCCACAAATTCAACGTCATCGTTTACAATGTTCATCGTCCCAACTTTCATGTCTATTAGCTTCTGAATTAGGAAACTGGATGGCTGCCTGTTCCAACGAACGAGATGAATTTGACTATGAAAGTGAAACAGTTCTAGCAAGAAATATTGCCTGTGAGCAACGTACTGATCCAGGATGTGTCTATCTTCGAAATTATATCCGAATTTCATCATACACTGATATTAACAAAATAACTATTGCTAATAATTCTATTCTCTATGATCAGTCGACAAAAATAATTCCATTTCGATCGTATTGCAATTCATTTTTTGACATCAAATCAGGAATAGATGAGTCACCACAGTTTTGTAAAGAATGGACTTGTTTCAGAAGCGAATATCAATGTTTATCTGGACAATGTATTTCAACAGATTGGATTTGTGATGGTAGGTTTATTCTGTGAACCAATTCCGTTCGCATATTTATTGTTCTCAGTGCGCTTTTTATTCTCTCAGGTGAATGGGACTGTAGTGATGGATCAGATGAACAACATATTTTTATTATGGATAGTCTCAACAAACATAATTCACAATTAATGAATTTAACTCAAATGAAAACACAATGTTATCAACAGTATCGACGAAATAATACTCCCTTCTTCGAAATTTGTAATATCACATCTGAATATCCATGTTTTCTAACTGGTGTTAGTGATCCATTTAATTTTACATCTAATCGACCATGCATTAACTTAACACAAATTGGAGATGAAAAAATAGATTGTTTGTCAGGTCTTGATGAAAGAAATCTATTACAATGTTCAAATCATGGTATGCTAGGTTTTCATTTTCAGTTCGATAATAATATTTGCGGTGTATATCACAAACTATGTATTAACTATCCGTGGATACCAGGGGCCAATGTAGCATATGATACCGTGTGTTTTCATCAAAGAAAACAGTTTAAAAACGGTACAGACAGCAAGTGCAATGGAATAAAGGATGTGATGTGTTTAAATGATGTTTGCTTGAAAAATGCAAGATGCAATGGTAACATCGACTGTCTTCATGGCGAAGATGAGTATCGATGCATATCACAAGGTATATCACAGTTAGATTACAGAGAGGGGAAGAAATCAATACAAACCATAAGATTAATGTTGCGGAGCTATCCATCGTTGATAAATTATGTGCATCATTACAATAGTACGCATCTTGGTATACCACTCAGTGTAAAAACAAGAAATAAACAATTGAGCATTCGAAAGAAACCTAAATCAGCTGATAACAGAACAATAGTAAATGGAAGACGCGATTCCACAGTTAAAACAGTTTATGAAATTGTTCGTGATTCGCTACCAACTGGTATGATCACATTTGAAGAACATTATCTTCCATTTTTTTGTAATCGGGGTGTTGCAGTTAAATATTACACAGATAATACTGTATGTTTCTGTCCACCAAGTTATTATGGATCTGAGTGTGAATTCCACAGCGATAGAATTACAGTTGAAACACATCTCGATTTAAGTAATTATCGTGCAACTTCTGATCAAATAACAGTAATAAAGGTGTTAGTAACATTTTTATTTGAAGAACTAATAATTGATTATCATGAATTTCACGTCAATCCACAAATTGAAAATGAAAATAATTATATTAAACAAGGTATCTATTTTCTGTACCCACGCACGGAAACGTTTATTCAAATTAAAAACAATAATCGAAGTGGTACTCAATTATATAGTGTACGATTTGAAGCATTCGATCTGTATGTGAATGGAACAGTTGAACCGATTGGAGTTTGGCATTATCCCATATATTTCGATTTTCTTCCTGCATTTCGGTTATCCAAGATCTTGCGTTTTAATCGGCCAATTTCATCGCATCTCAGCGGTCCCTGTTACCATAATCTCTGTGGGAAGAATGGAATCTGTCTAGAAGTTATCAACTCCAATCGTTCATCATACTTTTGTTCTTGCAATAGTGCTTATTATGGTATTCACTGTGAAAACTACGCTGAAGAGTGTACGAATTATTGTTCGCTAGAATCAATTTGCAAACCAAAACATGGTGGGATATTAACAGGAAATCAACAACTGTTGTGTTTGTGTCCCAGTTCGACATTTGGTGATAGGTGTTATTTAAAAAACCATGAATGTAAAGAAAATCCATGCATGAATGAAGGAAGCTGTGTAGTAGCATATGATTTGACTGATCCGAAGAAATATATTTGTCTTTGTCCTGATTTGTTTACAGGAGCTCATTGTGAATTTTCAAAACAAATGGTGAACATTGCATTAGCAGTGTCCTTGAACTCTACATTGCAAACAATTGATATTCTTGCTGTAACAGTTATGTATAATAATTATGACAATGAATCATTACGATTTGATGTCCGTCATCAACAAGTTTATGATGGTTTACCTTCACAGTTAAGGTTGATCAACAATGATAAAGTTGACCCATATGTACCAAGAACAGCTATTTTAAAAGTGTATACATCAAAGTATCGCAGCGAAGAACCAGCATATTACATATTATACTTTCTTCCGTTTCAAGAAAACATCAATATTACAGTTTATCTTACATCAGAAAGGCATTGTCCTTTAGTTAAAACAACTGAGATACCGGGTAAGCTAAAAATGAGTTTACAACAACCTACAGGAAATGGTCCACAGTTAACTTTCTAGTGGACGTCTTTGGCTAGTTAAAATCTGCCAAGATCTTTCACATTTTTATAAAAGTTACTTAACAGAAACTGAAGAAATTTATTGCTTTACCTAACTTGACATCTCAAAGTATTCTTTCCTCAGATCATAAATATTTTATTTAGGATCGTCTGGCAATTCTACACTAAACTCTACAACAGCCATCTTCTACTATCACCATATTTGTCGAGTAAAACAGAATACTAACACAGTGTTCACTTGTTTTCGTGATCAGAACTATTTGTGCATCTGTGAAGATGATCATTATCGTGCAGAATGTTTTGGATATAATCGTTTGTTAGATCAATGCTCTCTCTGTTTGTCGAATGGTTACTGTCTTAAAGGCGAATTACAAGAGAAAGCTGATTACCTATGCCTTTGCCCACGTTGTCATCATGGGAGAAGGTGTCAATATTCAACTGAAGCTATGAGTTTTACTCTCGATTCATTGATAGTCAAAGATATTCAAAACAATCCTCGATTGTCTACTGGTTTTTACATTTTAATTACAATTATCATGTTTTTGTTTGGTTTTTTCAATAATTTCTGCACGTTTCTCACATTCACTCGGCAAAATCAACGAAGAGTTAGCGTTGAAATTTATCTACTCATCATCGCTATTGTTGATCAATGTTCAATGTTATTCCTGCTGTTAAAAGTCATACATATTATTCTTGGCAGTAACGGCTCATTATTCCACTACGAAAATCTCAATCTCTATGCATGTAAAGTTCTTTCTTATCTTCTATCAGTCTTTACACGAATTACCTATTGGTTAACAAGTTTTGTAACAGTTGAACGTCTATGTATAGTTTTGTTTCCAACATCTGTCACAGTAACGAAATCGCGTCGGACACTGGTGTTGAGCATTTGTCTTATTTTCACAGTCGGTGTAATGCATGTACATGAAGTGTTGTATTATACAACAATTGTTGATCCCTCTTATACGTTTGTCAATTTTACGCTCTGTGTCAGCAGCTATGCACAATCGTATGTCTCAACATATAATCGTGCTAATATCTTAATTCATTATTTCATTCCATTTTTTATTCAATTTATCTCGATCACAGTCTTGATAATTCAATTAGCTTGTAGTCGTGCTCGAATAAGCGGCGGCAGTAGTCGAAAATCATTCGTTGATCTATTTAAAAGGCAATTCAAAGAACAAAAGGAACAATATGCTACACCAATGATTATAATTCTCAGTTCACTACCGCAAGCTATTCTATCTTTTTCGTATGCATGCACTGAGTTAAAACAATCATGGCAACAATACAGTCTGCTAACAGCTTATTTTTTGTCATATTTACCTCAAGTATTAGGCTTTTTTCTGTATGTACTACCGTCAACAGTTTATTCAAAGAAATTTCGTCAAACATTTATTGGGAAGCGACTTATGCGACAAGAGCGAGCATCGGCAACTAGACAACAGAACCCTAAAAAGAACACATCATGAACCAAACAATATGTTTCTAATATTGTATCAACGACAGACGGGACAGATAAAAAGTTACACGAGCACCGCCTCACTTCGTGTCGTTTTATCGAAAAATAATTAGGAACGTAATTCTTATTGTTTTTAAAAGCATCGAGCATTTTCGTTCAATACATATGACAACATCCAATCTCGGAGCATCAATTTGGACTAGTGAAATGTCAGATTGTAAATTGGGTGTGATTGTGGGGCTGAGGCTGAGGTGTGGGTGTAAATAAGCGCAGTACCGACATCCACACCCACACCCCTTCGTACTAATAGTTACAATTAGATCGGTTTTCAGGGTAGATATGCAATTGAGATCTCTGTCTCAGTGACACTTCAAATCCACAGTCATTTTTAATTGAAGCTCCATAGTATAGAGCACTATACTGATAAAAAAATCCGGGTAATAATTTACGCCTTCACTTTAAAAAGTCTCCATTAAACCCTTGAAGGGTTTAATGCGATGTGATGAACCCTTTTAACGTTTATTAGTCGAAAGGTTTATGGCGCTATGGGTTTATGAAAACTCAAGGGGTATATGATGGGTACATAAGGATTCATCATTCTACGATTTTAAGATAAGAGTATATCCTTCAACGGATGATCGTAGATTGTTGTTCGCTTTCAAGATAGGGGTATTTTATTCTTCGTTATCGGGTTTACTATTTTACTTTTTCGTTAAAAGGGTACATCACTCTGCCTTTCTGGGTAGAGTAAGGTATCCTTTCTCAGAAACAGTTCATTATTCTACGCCTAAGGGTAGATTCTGCTACCATTTCCTGCTAAGGGTTTAGTATTCAACGTACAACAGTTGATTCATCTACATCTTAATAAAAATGGTTTAGTACTGTACGTAAATGCTCGATTCTATGCCTCTTCATTGACAGGTTTGTTTATTCTACTGACAAATATCGGCTTATCTACCTTAGCATCTCAAGGCATACTTTCATCGTCGGTTGATGGTTGATTCTACTTCTCTTTTGTAGAAAAGAGTTCATTGTTCATCGTACAGGGGTTGATCTTTCCGGTCTTTCATTGAAAGGGTTTATCCTTCTACGCACAGAGATCAATTGTTCTACTGTTTGATCGGAAAGGTTTATTACTCTACGCACAGAGGTTGATTATTTTACCTTTGCGTGAAAAATGGTTTCTTAGGGTGTGAGTCTGGTTAATGTTATTTTATACAGTCACCCACGCGTTAACTTGATGCAAAGAAATAGTAAGATGCCCATCGTTTGTTTTTGCACTGGTTAAAACCGAAAGGAAAATATGAATCACTTATTTGGTAAACTTGCGATGTACATGAAACAATGTTTTGATATGCAAAAATAGGAAGTAGCGAAATTAGAGTCACACTTCATGGACTCAGGCAAACATTTTATGTTGGAAAAAAAGAAAAATACATGTATCGTTTATATATACAAAGAAATACCTCTTCCAGACTCACATTAAAAAATAAGCATTTTGATATCGGCTGGTAAGTAGTCTTATTCAATAATGACATCATGGGGTATTTGAATTTGTGACAAATTAAAAATTAAACTAAAATGAGTTACTACAGAAATAAAAGAAATTGCAGCGGTGTAGTGGTATAGTGGTATACGCAAAAGCGAAACAGCTGAAGTCAGATTTGTTTGATTCTCTTTGTTGTTATGATTCTTTTGTTGTTTTTTGGTGGATTTTTACGATTTTTTCTAACTTTAAATAGATTGATTCTAAATAATAATAAAAAGTCAACGGAAATAATACAGTTTTAATCTCTGTTGTCTAAAAATATCAATCGAAGATGAAACAGCTTGATACTGATTTTTGTATGATTTTTGTATGATTTTTTGATTGAAAATTAGAAAATATTATAAAAATTCACAAAAACGAATGAAACGGATCTGACTTCAGCTGGTTACCCTTTGACTACACCGCTAGACCGCTCTAATTTTGGGTTTTGTGAGAAATTCCTTTTTGTGTACTCAAAAAGTGAGTACACTCTAGAATCGGTCAGTGTGTCCGTCCGTCCGTCTGTCCGTTTACACAATAACTTTCGAAAGGAGAGTTAGATCATGATGAACTTTTCTACACAGTTCAGCCTTATCAATGTCTCAGTCGAGTTCGAAGATGAGAAGGATCCGTCAAGAAATGGTTGAGTTATCGAAAAAATTATCATTATTGNGTTTAGTGAGAAGGGATGTATCTTGATGAGATCTATGCCTTATAGAAAAAAATGGATGTACATTTTCGCTTTTTGAAGTACACATAACAATCGGATGCAAATCCGATGTTTCCGCATTTATTTTCGATAAGCGATCGGATAAAAATAATATCATATTAAACCCTATAAAATAGCTACTTATGTGAGGACATATTTGTATGACAACTTGTGTAAGCTTTTTGTTTTACTAAACATAGCTGTATTAACATATATCAATGTGTCTTCCCATAACCTTGTTAACTCTTGAAGCGGATTGTAGGTTAGTAAAGATAATAATGTTACAATTTTAATCAAACAATCTTCGTTAGGAATTTTCAATTCATATACAAAAATCTTTCTCCTTAAACTTACCATTGAGAATTCTTTTCAAATTGTCAAATGGTTTCTTCTAAAGAACCTGTTACAGATTCATTCTCATGATTTCTCTACTCGTTTCTAGAACGACGACTATTAGGAAGAATATTTCTCTAATTTGCGACTTGATAATTCTCTTTAAATTTACATGAATTCCTAAAAAAAGATCTATTGAAGGAATATTTCCCTACACATTCGAAATTACAGGACTGAAATTTCTATTACTAATTTAGATATTACCCATCGAATTAGCTAGTGGTACTCGCGAGAGTAATTCTATTCTTTTCTAAAACTATTTGTTAGTATAAAAATAAATCCCACAACATAATTATCCATTTAGATTAAAACGAAAACAAACATGTTCCATGATCTCTAGATTATCTCTAGATTATCTATAAATAATTTATCTTTCTATTCAATGAGGTGAGGATGAGAAAAACACACAGAGAGACAAAGTGTGACTGAGGGTAGATGTGAGAGTCTTTCCATTTTCTCTCCAATCTCTTTTTCAGTGTAAGAAGAGATAAGATATATCCATGCAGATAGAGGTAGACCACGATACTTCTATAGCGATATAAGTGTTTTGAATTAGCCACAAATTCAAATTCCCCATCATATCTTTCAACATGGTAAATCTGATCCGTTTCATGGAGAGTCCAGATTTTATAAGAAAACAGAGAAAATAACTAACTGAATCTCATCATCATGTGTCATCAGAATTTCAATTCGCCCAACAAAATCCGACTAATCGATAATGGCTAGGATATTTACCCATCGAATTAGATAGAAGTACTCGCATGAGAGTAGCTCTTCTTTTCTAACACTAGGGGTTTCTCTCTTCTAGTTAATATTCCTGTTAATGCCACAGAATAATTTATATAGAGTTTAAGAAAAGATATTCTAGAACATAGAAGTAAGAAATATGCGATTTTCTAAATAGGAAATGTTCTAATTACTTATATTTAAGAGAACCAAAAAACAATTCTAATAAAATAATTTAACGATTGAAAAATATTTTCTTCATAGGAAAAGAAGCAAAATCTGATACTCAAGTTTAAAGATAAAAATACTACTCGATAATATATCTGAGCCAAGAAGTACGTCACTGATGAAGGTATTTGACAACGCATAGTCGCGTACTGAACAGTAGGTAATCTTCTCTCTCACTCTCTCTCTCTAGTATATAAGCTCACGATATATTGGGAAAATAGGGCAGTACTATAAGTCAGAGAGTAGTTAAAATTTGAGTTGTTCGAAGAAATAGTTTATTAGAATGTAAATAGTTAGACTTGACTTTTATTGAGAAACATGCGCACATATTATTATCAGCGCAATATTGCTATCTTGTTTTATTGTATACTCATTATTGAATAAAGTATTACAAGTTGGTATTGTCCAAACATTCTTGCTTGTTTATAAATAATAATAAAAAGATTTATTTTACATTTCGATGAATTCGGCAAATTATTTACGCCAATAAAATTATTAGAAAATCGATTCAATTTTCATTAGTATTCTTGGTTGTACTACTTACAAGAGTTTCGATTAATTATCTCCCGATACACCCCACTCACACCCTCAAGATATGCTCTTTGCGTGCCATTTTTTTTTGATCGTTTAATATGTTCTACTTTCACAAAGGAAAAAATAAATAGAGGTTATCAATTGAAACTCCGATTGAATGACTTTTTAATGTCTGCTTGGGTTAACTAGATTTAATTATTTAAGTTTGATTTTCTACAAAAATATAGAATTTAAATACGCTTGAGAGAGAGAGAGAGAATGATATGCTATATGTGTGATTCCTTCTATAGAATAATCTTCCAGTATAGAAAAAACTTATTCTGAGGAATTTCTAGAAAAAAGAATGATCTATTCAAAGAACTTTGCTCGATACTTTCGAATTTATTTCATATACTAGCTATACTTGAGAAAGAGAAAGAGGGAGATCTCCTTTTATTCTTACTCTTTCTCTTCTAGTTAATATTCCTGCTAATGCTAAATGGGCACAGAGCGGAGCGACTATTGCTGGAGGTCACAGGCAAGGAGATGCCACTAATCAACTCAACGAGCCTTGTGGTCTATTCGTTGATGATGATCAAACAGTGGTTATTGCTGACTATGAGAATCATCGTATCATGCAATGGAAGAACGGTGATACAACGAATGGACAAATTGTTGCTGGTGATGAAGGCGCAGGAAATGGATTACATCAATTGCAATATCCAACTGATCTATTAATTGACAAAGAGACGGATAGTCTCATTATTTGCGATCCAGGGAATCGACGAGTCGTACGATGGTCTCGTCGTAGTGGTACAACACAAGGTGAAATACTCATCGACAACATCGCTTGCTATGGATTAGCAGTGGATGAACAGAGATATCTCATACGTCTCTGACTATGGAAAAGATGAAGTAAGGCGATATCAATTGGGTGAGAATAATTACACTCTCGTAGCTGGTGGTAATGGACAAGGTGATGGACTCAATCAACTCAATCGACCGACTTATCTCTTTGTCGATCGACAACAGAATGTCTACGTGCCAGACTGCTACAATAATCGTGTAATGAAATGGACTAAAGGTGCAAAAGAAGGTATTGTGGTCGCTGGAGGTCAAGGCAAAGGAGGTGCTATGACACAATTGTCTTATCCTAATGGAATCTTTGTTGATACGTTGAGTACACTCTATGTAGCAGACACTAGGAATCATCGTGTGATGCGTTGGACTCAAGAAGACAAGAAACAAGGCGGTGTAATTGTGGGTGGAAATCGCCAAGGAGCAGGAGCAAATCAGTTCCAGTACCCCTTTGGTTTGTCTTTCGATCGACATGGTAATCTCTATGTCACCGATATAAATAATAATCGTGTTCAAAGATTTTCTGTCGAATAAGACTTGTGAATTGTTTTGTTCTTTGTTCGTTTCTTTTTCTATACTTTGAAATAAATGAACAAAAAAATAGAAGTTTTCTTTTACTCTTTCGCTTCAAAGAAAAGAAAAAAACTAAAATATAAGATTATATCATGTTTCTTTTCTTCTTCTTTTATTTATTAAATGAAAAGAAATGAATTAAATAAAAGAATTTGTTATTTTTTCGCAAAATATTTATTACTGAAGTGAAAATTAATTTGTTACTTTGAAAATATTTTATTCCTGAAATGAAAAGAAAAAGATTTGTACTATTTTCACAAAATATTTATTATTGAAATGAAAAGAAGATTTGTGTTATTTTAAAAATATTTATTTCAAAAATAAAAAGTAAAAAGTTACAAATAGTAAAAAGCCACATGAAAAAATTACATGCTTACATTGTTTTTGATTTTCATTTAATTGTTTGTTGAATGAAACAAAAACATAAAAATAACGATTAATTTTATTGTTTAGAAAAAGATAATGAAGAAGAAAATATAATTACTTCAATTTTGTGTTGTTTCGTTTGAAGTTGAACTAGAACAATAGAAAAGAATGATGATTAGAATACAAATAATATGAATGAAAGTAATTATACTTACTTTGCTGTTGACGAAATCGAGATGAACTAAAACGAAATAACAAAACATGAATTGATTGGAATGAAAATCTTTTTTTTTACTTACCAGTTAATAGTTGCTCGCGCGATCAAGAACTACCTTGGTGGTGCCGTAGAGAGGCGAAGTTCTTCACGTACAGACATAGAACTAACGTGTATAGAACAATACAGCAGATAGAACTATATAGCGATCTGTACGTGCCACGGGCACCAAGATAGCGTTGGCCAGTTTCACGCCGATGTATGGAAGGCCTTCCCAGATCATTCTTGATCAATCGGATCTTGTCGGACGGGTTATAATTCCGATGTCACATGATGACCGAATTCAGTCGGTTCATTTCTGGTGAATTCCGGTTACTTTCTTTGTTTTCTCATGAAATCTGCATACCGGATTCTCCGAGAACCTGGCAGATTTACATTGCCGGAAAATATCAGCCCAGATGATACGATTGGGCCGTATACGACGTGATCCGACAATATCCGGTAACAAAACTTTACCGGAATCCGCCGTGCCGCATGACACTCGATTTCATGGTAGATCCGGCTTAATATGTATCGCCGAAACCAATCGGCTCATATCAGAACGGAACCGTCACACTCGCCGGATTAAGCCACTTCCTACAACACAGATCCGACCAAAAACATCTGCAACTAATTATCAGATACTAAAGGAATATCTTGTGATCCATTCAGACTGTTAGTTAACACTCGAAGCAAGCGATGAAAGTCATGAATTAAAAATTATGGTTCATCAAACAGGTTTTTTATGAAAAGCCAATCCACATTAGCAACATGATTATGTATTTATTGATGCTGAGCGGAGTTATCGACTTGGATGAATCTCATTCAAGGCGTTTATCATAGCTCCTACTAATATAACCTGATCCCACAATCATCTCACGGTCTAACGCGAAATCCAAAGCCACTTATGATTACCAACGGCAAGATAAACTTGCTATATATGCATACTATGTTGTTCGTCCATGTAACTCGACATCATTTAAAACGACGGCCACACGTGTTTTCTCGGCCTTGTAAGACCCAAAGCATCACTCCAAATCACCAAAAAACGTCCTTGGGGGCGCTAGGATGTTGCTTTCACAAATCATAAATTAATTCATATACCACTATATCGGTTTTTAAAGTCGCTCAGAATCATATTGCCTGTGGGTGTGAGCATAAACAATGGAGATTTACAGGAAAAAAGCTGTAACTTAAAAAATTGCGCTCGGGGAAATCCTCTACTCCTCCCTGCTCATCTTCAACTATACATTCATCTTAATTTTCCTTTATAATGACTAATTTTAGATCCTCGAAACTTTTGTTTCTATGCGACTTACATTACTTGGCTATCAATAATTGCTAAATGGTCCTTCGCACCGATTCTCAAAGGAAAAAAACTTGGATTTAGCCATAAATCTGTTAAGCGATCATGATCTCCAAAGTACACTTACAATAAGTGTTTTAATTGGTGATGAAATGTGAATTTTTGCGTTTGCTCATAATTAAAATATACACATGGCTGGGCATAAAATAATTCCTATGAAATGCAATTCAAAATTACTTTGCAACTGTAACAATATTCAATATTTTAAGTGTAACGTTAATCATGAAGTCACATGAATGATAGACTCTCTTGTAGTGAAGTAGTCTTAGCTTCTTCTTTCGCTCATGCTGATATTTTCAATTGTGACTAATCACGATGAAGCAGGACTTAAAATAAATGAACGAGAAACGCACAGGATTTTTATAATCCATTAGTGCGATTGATTGTTATCTAAGCTAGCTTTCACTGTGAAAGATTGAACATTAATGTTAAATGAATATACAAAATTATTGACAGATATTCTATTGAGAATATTTTCATATTTATTTCTAATATATTAGTAAAGATAAACTTTCTAGAATTTACAAGTATCTGGAGGCATAAACATGGTTTTTTGTTGTTCTTTACGCTTTTCGTTTAAATTTTCAAAAAATTTTGCCACATCTTCAGCAGTTAATAGACCATCACTATTAGCTTTTTCACGAAGAAAATCTCCAAGTGACTTTTTAAATTCATGTATACCACTTAAAACTTCAAGTTTTCGTACATAACCAAGATTTTCTAATGAATCAGCAATGATTTTATCAGCATCAAGATTTTCACTTTTAGCTAGGGCTTGTTTTTGATATTCTTCTATAGCATCTTCATCGTCAAATATGGGTGTTAAATTGAATTCATCATATAATTTCTAATAATAATTAGAAGAAAAGAGACGAATTTTTTTTTCCAATAAAATATTCGGACTTACACAACATTGAGCACATCGACATAATCGTTTTCTCCAACCATCACGTAAAAATATGGTATGAACTTCGCTATTGTTATCAGTATTATTGGAAAGAAGACACGGTTGGTTATTACTAGCAACTAATCATATCACAAAATTAAGTATTAAAATATTCAATCAAACCCTCTCACCTGCTACACTATTGTCTATTAATGCTGTTTGAATTGCACTATGAGAATCTAAAGTAAGATAACATTTAAAAAAAAAACGTTTCGATTCTTGTTTTTCCTAACCATCATAATTGGCTAAGAAAGAATATTTAGATACACAGGCTTGACATATAATATCCATTTGATTATCTTCCATAGGTAATGGAACACCTAAATGCTAATAGAAGAAAGCCAATAAAGTTTAAATAAAACCAAAAAAGAATTTTACTTGGCCATGGAACCAATCTTCACAAATGATACATTGTCTCATTTCATCGTCATTTGTCTAATATAACGAAACAAGATTCTAGCTCACGAGAAAAAAAACAAATATTACTCACCGCAGCTTCTTTATCTGGATATGGACGTTTACACGAACAATAAAGTCCACGAAAATTATCATTATATTTATTTAAACTATTTTCTGGATCTTTATTCTAGAAAAAAATGATTAAATAAAGCATAAATAAAAAATATACAATAAAATCGTTCTTACTGGATATAATTTACACGGTTGATGAATTAATTTAGAATTTCCACAATCGCATCGAAAACATCTTTAGAGAAAAAAAACTTTTTTTTAATTTTCATTTCGAAAAACTTCAATATCGCTACCGTTTCGTATACAATTCATTCACTTCATGATTCGCATGACAGTGATATGCACATGCTGCACAAATACCAGTCACTTGTCCATTACTATTACATGTCATGCAAGCAAACAAAGCCTGTCGTCGAACATATCCCTTAAATAAATAGATCAATTAGTTTTCATGAGTAAAAATAAGTCTCTCTTTTTAATCTACTTGTGAATATGTACATGTATCAACATCACAATTCCCATAGAGTGCTCGTTCGCGATCTAGTTCTTCTTCTTCATCTTGAATTTGTTCTAGTAATTCACTACATGTTACTGTAGGTTCTTGTTCATCAGTTGTAGTTCGAATAGAAGACATTGATAATTTAAAATTTGATTCTGTTGATCTATGAAAACTTCTTTCTAGAAAAAGAGAAATAATGACAAACATGAATTTATGATTACAAAAAAAGTTCTATATGTTTTCGGATTGCTAGAAGTTTTCTTATGAGATCAATTGTTTTCTAAACATTTTGTTCTATCCCATGACATAGGCGAGCATAAGCCAAAAGTTTTTAATACTAATTTAATATCTTCGTATTAAATGTTGATATTTTTTAAAAGTATTTATTTGAACAGTTCATCGTCGTAATTCGTAAAGTTCGATTAATATAAATATACATAAATATCTTTAACAAGTTAGTTAACGAAATGCTTATTTACATTCAAGTATTTTGAGAAGTCAAAGAAACACAAGCATATACGATAATACATATCGCCATGTGCGACATTTTATCCAAGAATGAAAAATAACAAACAATGAAAGTATGATCTGATACGCCATTGCGTGTTTGTCTTCTTTATGTCAGTCAATGGATTAGTTCATTGTTCGACCGACTTTCAAGATAAATAAATGATTTCATTTAGTACCTAGTGTTTATAGGAATCGACATTAGTAGAAGAATCACTATTACGAAAATTGCTCTCTAAAAATCTGTCATACAAAAATAAACTCTACGTCTTGTAGAATTGTAAAGAGTGGAAAAAATAAGATAAACATGATGTGCCAATATTTTCATTCTGTAATTTTTTTACCAGTTGGGAACAAAAAAAAGAAGAAACTATTCTATTTTCTTTTGATAATTACTTCAAAAGCAGAAATAGAAACTAATTCTTGTTGTTAATTATCATCCTTCAATTATTGTTAAGACGATATGATTACATAATCACACGACTGTTTGATTGTTAACAACTCCTCTTCAAATATCTAATCATCCGATGTTTTATGAAAGAAGAAAGATCGAATAACCTTTTTTAACATTTGACAAAGGTCACTTGGTCACTCATATCTTCGCTTTCTTATGAAAGAAGAATTATTGAACATTTATTTATCATAATCACGTCTTGCGACATTCGATCTACTTATTATAAAAAGTAAAAGAAGTAATTTGAGATTAGAGAATAATCCAGAAAAAAATGAACCTCGAGAAAAATCATTCATTTCGATCAAATTCATTTTACTCGATAACAGATATGAATAATCATCGTCTCTTATTTAGTTTGATTCTTATTCTAACCATTTTATATCTTACATCATCATCTCATTGTGGTCCGCATTCACACCAAGATGATATGCCATTCGATGATAAAGTTCAACAATCACCTTTAGTTCTTATTGGTACTTCATTGAATAAAAATTTTGATCCAAATATTGCAAATTTATTTAATGTTACATATCTTGTGCGGTGTATTCTAAAAGGTTCACCAACAAAACGTATTATACGAATTGTTCAAGCAGGTTTGTAAGACGAAGAAGAACTACTATTGTTTTCGTTTTTTCATTAATATAAAATTATTCTCAGGTTCACTGCTTGGCCGTCGTTCTTGTCAAAGATTCGATGTCAATCGAGAATATATTGCTTTTCTTGAACCATTTTTTGATGAAACTTACCGACCTGTTGATTTAGAAGAAATTCAATATAGTTTTCAAATAAATGATTTACTTGAAAAAACATGTGGACTTTCGCGAACATATCCATTTACCGAAACCAATGATACTGAAGCAAGCTCAACTAGTAAATGTCCATCAGCTGTTTCGACATCGTGTGCCAAAGGTTTGTTGATCAAATTGATATCTGAAAACAACTGATTTTCATATTTATAGAAACAACAAAAGCTACGGTTCCAACATCAACAAAAAGTGCAGTTGTACCAACAACAAAATCAATGAATCCATTAATGTTCGGGCAAGGTACCATGGATTATGCAATACTATCACTTCTACTAGCTGACTATCAACGTCAAAATTTGAGTCTAGCCTTTTTACAAGGTGATAATCCTAAATTACTTTTTTCTGACGATGAAGCACGAAAAAATCAAGCAAATCAATATTCATTCATGATTATTATTACTTTACTTCAATTTATTTCGTGTAGTATTATTCGACTTTTCTTATAGCATGACACTGTGTAATTGATTCTTTGTTTTGGAGATAATAAACTTCTTTTCGTGTTTTTACTTTAATAACAAAAAAAAAACAGAAATCAACGATAATATCATTGTATAATGTTTTGAACGACTGATGATTTTGGTCAAATATGCCTACGGTACGAACCTTTATTCACGACAGCTCTTTTGCCTAAGAATATGCACATATTGTTAATTGTCTACTAATATTCCAATGATAGAACAAAACACGAGTTAGTATAACTATAAAAAAAAAGTTATAACTTTCGAACATTTCCTGAGGTTACTCATCAAGTCATTTTTTAATTCACGACTTGTATTGCGTAGGTTTTCTTGTAATGCTACTCAGCTTCACTGATAATTATTGAAATCTCAAAAATAGAAATCACAATACCAATCGGATGTTTTATACAGAACGAAAGAAAAAAAATTGTTTGAATATAATAATAAGATACATTAGATAGATTTTAACAATTCGTGTCTGGTCGACGATTTCCTTGTTTTTAGATGTTAACTTGAAATTTCAAAGAAAAAGAGGACAGGTGTGAAATTAAGGATGATTAATAGAAAACGATCGTTCTGATTCATCGCTTTTTCGCGTTTTCATCAAATGTCGTGAACTTGAAAATTCATCTGTTCGCTCAGACGAATGCTTCTCTGTCACTATCGTCCATGTTGTACACGAAAGAGAAATGCATATCGGACGTGCATTCTTTCGTGTTTCACTCTCAATATATATACATACATAGAAAGTTCATCGCGGTTATTTCATTCCCATCGTTTCTCTTGATAATACAATGAACGCCATTAGTACGATATTTCTTCTTATCGTAGCATCGATTTGTCATGGAAAACCAATTTCAAAACGTCAATGTGTGAAAGATACAATTGATTTTGCAACTAAAGTAGAAAACTCATCCGTTGTCGTTTATGGAAAAGCAAACGGAATAAAATTAGAAAAAAATAATCGACTAATATTTAATGTTACATTTGAAGTTGATTGTATTTTGAAAGGCTCACGTGTACCAAGGTATATTACTATTACACAAGCTGGTAAGATTAAAAAACTGAAATATTTCTTTGAAAAAACAAAGAAAACGTTATATTTGTTGTAGGTATTATCGAAAATAAAACAAGTTGTCAAGTGTTTCCTCTTGATTGGGGTAACATAATTGCTTTTCTTGAACAAGATTCGTTAAATGATTCCACTGTATTCACTCCAACCGATTTTACTGAGGTACTTTTCGACGATGATTCAACACGTGATGCATTAGCTAATACATGTAATCTCAAACAATTGGTGCCAGTTGAAGAATCATCAAATAGTGATGCATGTCCTGCTGTTTCGACTAATCCTATATGTGCTCCAACTACAAACAAAAATTACATTGATCTAAATGGTGGTTCAGGTTTATCACCCACCGTTATTCCAGGTGGATCACAGCTTAGCATTGATAATATTCGAAGTAAATCTTTATCAACTCAAATCGATGTTGATACAAAAACAAATGGAGCTAATTTGATAAATATTAGTATTCTTCTTCTCTTTTTGTCGATCTCTTTTGTTCGATCGAATTAAAATAACAAAAACATTTTTTGAATTGTTAGAAAAAGAAATAAAAAAAATCATTTCTTGTTTTGTTTAAAATATTTGTTACATTTGTGTTGAAATTTCTCAAAAATATATTCATAAATGAATAATTGAATTAGGAGGAGAATTAAAATTGATCTAAAAAAGCTAGTCGTTTCTAAGATAAGCAAGATGTATCATCTTAATTTTTTTGCTACAATAGGATTACTAATGATTGAACAGAGACGAAGTGAGATATCATCATATGACAATAATCTCTTATCATGTGATGAAAAAGAAATATTTTCATGACACTTTACTTCTAATCCATCGTACATTGTCAAAAACAACTAAACCCTAATAATATATGTTATTAAGAAGCAAAAAAATATTATATGGTGATAACTTCAGTCAATAGAAGAGTGAATACTCCTTTTTTTCTGAGAAATATGTTTTCAGCTTTGATAAATTACGACCTCTGTTATGTATAGGATAACTTAGGAAGAGATAATTCGATAAGGATTTCTACATATATTATTTACAGCAGAATGGATATTTATTTAAAACATTATTGCAATAGACATGCGTGCTTTTGTTTGGCGAATGTGACCCTCAAGCATATCGTCAGGATTGTAGAATATTTAGAAATAAAACTTTCATCAAGAGCTATTCTGATTAAATTCTGGTTTTTCATTGCAAATTTTCAAGTCGAAATATATTGAAAATGCATGTGCTATTATTCCGGAGAATACGACAGCATTGCAATTTTTAGGAATATCTTACAAATATCTGATAATATATATATGGACCCACATCCAAATTCTCTACCTTAATGTAGCATACATCCCCATGTCAACCCGTGCGTTTTGGTGCGCGTAGAAACGTCACGTACGTACGCGCATGGTGGCGCACGTATCGGTGCCCATACCCGTACGCGCACAACGTTACGTGCGCGCACCAAAACGCACGGAGTGACATGGGTCTTTTCTGAATTCTCTCAATTGGTAGAGTATTCGCTCCAATCGATAGATCTACGTAAAACAGCTGATTCAATGATTGTCGTTGATAGACGTAGTTGACAGAGGAAAAGAAAAGGGCAAAATACTTTTTATGTGGATACATTCATAAATATTTCTTTCAACAGTAAAAAATCGTGTCTATCTGCACAGCTTCATTTGTACTTTTTTGAAATTTCTATTATATATCTATTGCTTATTGATATAGGACCCTACAAAGATTAAATCAGTTTTTATTTAGATACGATTTAAAATGCGTATTGACGAAAACAAACCAAAAGAAGAAACGCATATGGATACTCGAGATCTTACATGTCCAATTTGCATGTGTAAGACATTGAATTATTGCTATATTATTATTATATGAATATAATAACAGGTATCGCTGAAGATCCACAAATATCATCATGTTGTAATAGAATATTTTGTTCGAAAGATGCTGATCTAAATCAATATACTAATGGTTGTCCATTATGTCGTAAAAAACATTTTTCATTCAAATCATCTCCGACACATAAAGAAATGCTTGACCAATTAACTATCAAATGTGTTTGCTCAGAACATATAGCACCTGATGAATATGAAACTCATTTAGAACGATGTACACAGACATCATTTATTTGTCCACATAAAACTTGTCGAGAAAAAGTATGTAACGATTTCGTTTTTTCATTAATAAAACAAACAATCAATTTTCTCAAATAGAACGATTTAAAACAATACAATTCTCAAGAACTTATCAATCATCTTGCCCGATATCATTGTAATGAAGTTTCTCTAAATGGTTCAACATTCATAAATAAAAAATCTATTGAATCATATAAAAATGCATCGATTAAATATAGTAGTCTAGTTTCAACACTTCACTCTGTACTTTATCCCAAAATGATTGATACCCAATTAAAACATCTTTCGTCGAATGAACGAAATTCATCAATATTTAAATGCCCTCAAGGACATAAACTAATTGAAGCTGATCATACGAAACGGAAACGTAAAAATGGTTCGGCTTATTCATCACCTAGTTATAACTGCGATCTATGTCATCATTCATTTCCAAATGGTCAATCGTGGCATTGTTCATGTACGGATTCTGGTTTTGATAAATGTGTTGCTTGCCTTGCTTTTCAATTATATAATATTGATAATAAAATATTGAAATTAGCCAGTCAAGACAGAGAAAAACAAGAAGAACATTATGGAGGAGATGCTATTCGTAATATCGTACATTTACCACGTGGTTTATTTCGTTTATTAACTGGAAATATGGATGATGAAGAAGAGGATGAAGATCCTGACATTATAGCATTAAGACGTCGATCTTCACTTTATAGTGGACCAAATACATTTCAAGGAACGGATAATAATGAAAATGAAGTTAACCATCCGGAAGATTAAAATATTAATTTAAAGAAAGAAGGTTTTTGACTTTATATTGTCGCCTCGATAGTAAAATAAATACTATGAACTTTTATTTCGACACATTTATTTTTTTTATACAACGGTGTGCAGATTTTTACCTTGCTGTACGTTTGAATAGATAGATGCACAAGGATAAATTCTTTGAATTTATCTTTCCAATTTGTAAATATGTATCAATTGATTTTTTAAAAATATTTAACACAATAATCAAGCTAAAAAAATAAAAATAATATTTTGAACTTCAAACGAATTAAAAAACACAAGATCCTTTGTTCCGTTTAATTTAATTTATGCAAGAACTAATTGAGTATTTAATGAATATTTCGACATTTAATGTTTTAAAATGAATCACGATCAAATGAATGACTATTACAAATAAATTTTCAATTACTCTTTTATTCTGTTTTCAATAGTTTTCATATTCTATCTCGCTGAAACTTCCGTTTCTTCAATTGAAGCTAGAAAAATGATTGAATTCTTACTAATTATGAGAGAAAAAAATGCTGTTAGTGTAATCCTTGTGAGATCACAAGGTCAAACACAACGAAACTTATGTGCCTAATGATAGAACGACTTTCTTTATCCTACACATTTTAGGACACATTCTTTTGCATCATTCATTTACATAATCCACATGAAATGCAACAAGCAACGAAATCATGCTTTTTTTTCTCTATGACGAAGCATGATTGAAGTGCGATCTTCAATCGTATATCCACAGCCGCCAATGCTGTCTATGATGATCACCGACTAGGCTTAGTCAAGGTTAGCATGCGTGTGTATGGGAGAGGGAATGTGAGATCCCCCTGTACTTCAACACATCTTTACGATTGCAGTTCGAAAGAACATCAATCTAACACGTATAGAATCGTGTTTTCAACCAAAATTTAATCGATAATGTTATCGAAAAACAAACGAGATGGGACTTAGTAGATTTTCAATATGCTGAACAAAACAGACCAATAAAATGCATACACTTCTACATATGAACTTGCGTTTTAATAGAGCATCTATTACGATCCCAGTATCAGACTGTTTTTATAGGTAAAAAACGCAGCAAGTGATTTGATGACAAAGTTGCTACCTTTTATTACACATACGAATTGTAATTTACAATCAACATTCTGAAACTGAAAATGAATATTAGACTAAAACCAAAGTAAAATTCATCATTCATTTGGGCGCTACTACACAGATTCTGAATATGAATGATTCTATCAAGTACTCGATTCAATCATCTAATTTATTTAGTATTGAATTCATTAAAAATTAACATGTAATACAATTTAACTATTATTTTAAAAGCACATCATGCTCTTGTTTACAAGCTGATAATGTATATTAATAAAAAAAGATACTATGAATAGAATCTGTCGCACATGTTTTTAATTGTCCTAATAGAATATAATTGAATACAAATAAAATAACACGTTTTTAATAGTCTCACCGTGGGAACTAACTAAAATTGACTGCCGGTATATGCACGACCTTTTACAGTTGTACTGCTTGAACCAGTAGAGATTTTAGTCAAAACAGATTCACACATGTTTCGGATTTTTCCTAATTTATCCTCTTCTCTTTGAACAGTCTAAAAAATGGAATAAATTCATACAACAAACACACTGGAATGCCAGAAATTCTTCTGTAAAATTAATGATTTTTTGAATATTTTCTTTGATAATTTTTCTTTCGTATACATTGATTTCATCGGGTAATTTTTGCCATTCATTGTTGCATCAGTCGGCTGCCAATGATTTGATTTGGATAATTGTTTTTGTGTCTTCAGATAAATTATTTTTGTCATCTTTTATGATTATTTGTTTTCTTTTTTTACTAATTGTATCTACAACTGAAACACGCAGTTCACCTTTACCTGTATTATCAATACTAAATTCGATTTTACCTTCTCTTTCATCACGTGATACTCATAAAATATCTGATAATTCCTATTCTTCTATTAGATAATCATTACTGGCTGTTTCATGGTCACCCTCATAAATTTTAATGCGCGCATTTGTTTGATTGTTGAAACATATTCTTAACATACGAGTTTGTGTTGCTGGAATTGCCTTATTTCGTTTAATTGTTGGTATCATAGTACCACTGGGTGCTTCAATGTCCTTCAGAACAAAATAAAACAGAATCTCAAGTGCAGCAGTAAGCTTTCTTTAATTTTTTCCTACGAATGAAAAAGGCGTCACATCAGCTAAAAGAACTTTTTTAATATTTTTTGAAGCTTCAATAGCTGCACCATTAACAACGGCTTGATTTGGGTTTATTGATTTATTAAGTTTTTTGCCATCAAATAAATCTTCTAATTCTTTTTGTATACGTGGAATATGTGTTGAACCACCGACGAGAACGATTTCATGAATTTGTGATTTATGCATATTAATATTATGTAATGCATTCAGAATAGGCTTTAGGGTGTCACAGAATAGACCCTCACAAAGTTCTTCAAAACGAGCGCGAGTTATCTCCGATATCAATCGAACTTTTCAAATATGTTGATAAAGTAAACTAGACCAAAGTTTTGTTTTTATAATAATTAGCTAAAAACTTGGAAAATGACTACTTTATCTTAGTAGATTCACAAGCTGTGCGTAATCTTCGAAGAGCACATTTATCAACAGATAAGTTTTTATTATATTTTGTTTGAAATTCTTCAATAAAATATTTAATCATTCGGCTATCAAAGTCGTCACCACCCAACTCGGTGTTACCTAATATATACACAATAGCATTTTAGAAGTGGATGCTAATCGAGTTTTACACAAGCATCAATCTTGTGGCAACCTTTCTTTATTGTTCCTTGTGATAATCTCATCACAGACTAACAACTATAATTGATATTATCTCGATAAAAACATGCAAACTATCTCATCCGAATAGTCATTTTTGTTGAATCTGCGTCACATCAAAGAAAAGTTTCAAAGAAGATTCAAAAGTTTTTTCCGTTAATCTCGATATACCGATCTTTCAGATTGAGTTCGCATGAATCCTTAGTGTACGAACATAGATTACAAATTATACATTCAAACGTTTGTTAAAATCTTCCTACCAGCAGTTGACTTTGTTTTGCAGTGTCCATTATTTTCTATTGTCAAAATAGACACATTACAAGTACCACCACCCATATAAAAAACTAACACATTTCGCTCTTTCGAGAAAGTATTCTGGAAGCCAAAAGCCGCACCGGCAAGAGTCGATCCAATAATAAGGCGCTGAACGCTAAGACCAGCCATAACGGCAGCATCGCTGATCGGTCGTCGCTGTGAATAATTAAAACAAGCTAATACGCCTATGACAACTTGAGAAACTTTCCTTCCAATATAGACTTGAGCTATTTCTTTCATCTTTACTAAAATCTTTGATAGAATTTCCTCTGGTGTTATCACTTTTGTTTCCTTTTTATATTCAACTTGAATTATAGGTCTTCCATTACAATTTTCTATTCTAAATGGATAATAGTCTATGTTAGGATTGGATTTCAAATCTTCAAATTTACGTCCACCGAGACGTAGAACACTAAAACCTGTATTACATATATTAGAATTGCCTTCTTCATTGACGACTATTCTAACTTTTCCATCGTGGAAAACACCGACACGCTATTAGCCAAAATGAGATCAAGATAGTCTTTGGTTATTGTTTTTATACTTTCTTTTTTTCCACTTACTCTGAATAGGTTGTACCAAAATCAATACCGATTCCTGTACATTGAATTGACATTTGTCTTGAATATTTACTTTAGAAAAATCTAAGCTATTCTAGTTAGAAACCGGATGAAATGAAATCTCAAACTTGTTACTCAAAATATGTGTAACAATTCTATGTAGTCTACGAAAGAAAGAATAGAAAAGTCCGAAACAACATAAAATATTATATGTGATAAAAAAAAATGTATGATAAAAATAGACGAATAAATATGAAGGGCACTATAATATCTATATTCAAAGATTTCGTGATAGTAGCAAATTTATTTATTTATCCACAACGAATTTTCTAGAGATTCTACACACAACAGTTAGCTCGAATAAATCAATAAATCAATTTGCTTGCTAAGCAGCAAATTCATGATCAAATCAACGAAATAGTTTTGTTAGATCTTGACTCGCTTCTTTCATAGTCGGATATTTAAACGTATAACCAGTTTCTAATGTAGCACGCGGAATAACTTTTTGGCCTTGTGTTGCTACAATTGCTCGTTCTGAACCAAGAAGAGTATTCATAACAAATTCAGGCATTGGGAAAATAGCTAAACGCGATGGTTTGAATGCACGAGCAAATGCTTGAGAAAATTCTCGATTCGTCGTTAATTCAGGTGCACATGCATTTAAAATTCCCTTCACGTGATTATTTTGTATGGCATATATTATCAATAAACAGACATCGTCAAGATGAATCCATGGAAATGGTTGCTGGCCATTACCAATAGAGCCTAAATCGAATTTTGAAAAAACAAGACTGAACAAAGACTTTTCGTATTACCTCCTACACCGAAAAAAAATGGCCAATACATCGATCTAATCATGCCTCCGCTTGAACCAAGTACTGCTCCTACATTCGACAAATTTCAAAATAAAAATTTTATTACGACAAATTGAATTAATCTACCGGCACGAAGAATAACTCTTCTAGTGTTTAAATCAGTTTCAATCGGTTCTGATGCTTTCTCCCAATCTCTTGCTAATCTTGATAGAAAATCATAATCACCACCTTGAGATGTTTCAGTATATTCTTTAACTGGATCTGGTTTATAATAACCTTCAAAAATATTCATTAAAATAACATGTTTATTGCTGTAATAAAACTTACTTACGCCAGACATTGATACAAATAATTCTGGTTTCTCGTTTTTTAAAGATCTAACGAAGTCTACACATGCTTTTGTTGTATCTATACGACTTTGAATAACTTCATTTTTATATGCATCAGTCCAACGCTGAAAACTAAGTAGCGGTGCACCAGCTAAATTTACAATTGCTTTTATTGGTTTTGCTGATGACTGTATACTTCCACTACGAATATCATCCTATTGATGAATTGAAAGAAAAATATAAACTTTTGAGCAATTCATATTAACCAAAGTTAGAGTCGAAAATTGATAAAGAATATTCATCTTATATTAATATAAACAGTTGCGTCAAAATTAATCTAAACATGTCTGAACTAGAAATACTAACCTTTAAAAGTAAAAATAGAAAAAACTCACAGGTAATAAACGTCACGTTACGTTTTTTTTTCTAACATAATATTTTTCAGAAGTTTAAAAAACAAGTTTAATAGTCTAATCTAAACCATACGACATGATTGAAACATTTCGTGACGTTTCTAGTTCAACTTAAATGTATGAAACTACGAAATAAAACTCTCGATCTTATAGTCGAATGAATTATTTAGTTATAGTAAATTCCTATATAATCTATGTACCCATGTTAAAGTATTTCCTTTTCCATCAGATTTTCGTGATACAATCCAAACGTTTTGAAAACCTTTTTCTCGTAATAATTGTACAAAACGTTGTCCAATAAAACCTTTTCCACCTCCTAAATAAAAGCATGAAGTATCCACGACATAGATCTTTGAAATATATTCATTATTTTTCTAACCAATAATAATACTCATCTAAAATGATAGTTAACTTAATTGTTATTTTCCATATCAACACAATTTTATTTTATTTAATAATATTCACCCTTTTTTTCGTCTTTAAAGATGTACGAAAAACACGAAAAATTCTCTTTCTTCTTTTTAAATCCTCATATAAACGGAATGAATGTTTGATGTAAATTTAAACATTTGTTTAAAAAAAATGAATCCTACAAAGAAAAAAATTGAATGCTAAGAATCAATGACAAGAAAACATGCACAATCAAGAATATAATAAATATATGTAGATATAGAAATAAACAACAATGAAAAATTAATTATAACACTGTTCAGGAAACGCATTCAACTCAGCTTCATCACTCATCGATGAATTATTAACCAAATAGTTAAGCTTAATTCTCATACGAAGTTTTTCCTGATGTGGATTTGAGATTTTTATTATTTGATATATATCTCCAGAATTATGTGCCGGCACTGTTGTACTATTCGGTGGATGTAATTCTATGACAAATGTCTAAAAGGCATATAGATTTTATTCTATCAATAGTTTTCAAAAAAAAACAGCACAAGAATATTTTACTTTTGGAACAGCTGCTTTAAAAATAAAATTTGTTATTGGATATTGTGTAGAATTAGTTGTTTTAGAATGAATTGTTAATATTGTACCATCTCGTTCAAATGTAAATAAAATACGTAAGCCATTTCTATCTAATGCTATCATTGGTGGAATAACTAATTTAAGAAGCAAAACTTATTGTCAAGAAAAACAAAAACAAAAATGTACAATTACTTGAGGAATGAGTATTCGACAAATCATTACCGAAAATAAAATCATTCAATGGATCCAATGTCGATGATAAAGTTGTTTGCTGTTCGTGAGGATATAGAGATCCGTTCGTTTGAATAGGTTCATCAAGAAGTTCTAATAAGTTGATCTGAAAATAACATCAATAATACTAATTTAATCGAAGAGAAAAATAACTATCTAGTTACCACAGGTTCGTTCTGTGGAACATGATTTGTTTGAGCATTATCGGATACATTTTCTTCTTGATTATCTATTTGTTCTTGTTGTTCGGGATTGTTTGCACTTGCAGTTATATTACTGATGAGAACTGGCATACGTTCCACAATACTTGATCTTAAAATGAACAAAACGAAAATAAAATTTTTCATGTTCACAATATTTAGTTCAACGATTTCACACAGGATTTTCGAGTTTTCCTATCCCGGATTTTATATCTAGTAACGCTAAAAATTGATCTAACAGTTATGCTGAGTTTTAGTTTGCTATTTTTAACGTTGTAAGTGGATTAGAAATTAATATACTATAACCATTGATTGTCTTTGAAAGTCAATATCTTCATACGAGTATGCGTCTCAAGCAGCACTAAAATTTGTTACATCATTCTAGTAAAAATGTTTAAAAAAGCTTTCCATAACAATGCCTTTAATCGTACATTTCATGTACAAGGTTCATATGGAGAAAGCTTATTTCAAGGATGATACCATGGTAATGTCTTTGTTGAAAGACTCTACAATTTGTTTGTATCCTTTTCTCAATATACAATCCATTGCACGATAACTTAGTGACTTCTTCCTTATATAAGATCAATACTAATCGATATGATCTATTTTTTAAATACCTGATTGGATTATGTTTAGTAAAAAGTGATGTATATTCAACTGCACGTGTTTGTAATTCTAGGTTCATGTTACATGCATAATATGTCATTATAGATTGTATTCGACTATAAAAATAAAACAATACTCTATTTAATGATTAAAAAAATATAAAGAACGTTACTCTGAACAACTCGGAAAACGAGTACTTAATTTCATTAATGCATTGATTGCATATTCGCGTGTAATCAATGTGCTTATTGTCCAATTTAATATACGCTCTAATATATCAACTATTTCATTTTCTGTCACCTTTTTTCACAAAATATAAATATATTCAAAAACTAGATCGAAAGAAATTAATTCAAATTTACTTGGACATGTTCTACATCATTGGATTTTTCGTATTGTCCACTAACAAAAATATCACCAAATTCACCTAGAAATAAATATAGATTCATAGATGAAAAATTAATCTCTTGGATTTTCCTTCTCAAATTACCTAATGTCCACGATGCTACTTGAATAAGTGGCTGTTGAGTAATATCATTTCGGATTAATTTATATAATTGATATGCTGTATAACCATGAAGATCGGGCGATGATGATATAATACCAATTAAACTTGATACAATATCATCACGTACACTATTTCCAGCCTTTAAAACGAGAAAAATTCGTTCGATTACATTTAAAAACAATTTAATGATTTACAGTAGTAAGAACTTTAATCATTTGATCAACATGCCATCGTTTTGATGGTGAAAAACTAAAATAGAAAAATTTAATTAATAGTAACTAATGATTTTCTTTTGAAACCCAACGATTGATTTTCGCTTCAAGATAAACTTACTATTCTTCTACTATTACATGTAGTGTACGATAAAATTTAATTAATCAAATTATTGTAAAAAAAACTATTGAAACGAGATATATTTAGGCATGAACGAAATCCAAAACAACTTAATTTTTTGTTTTTATTAATCTATCTCGATATCAATTTCCTAAAAAGTACTGCACTCATCAAATGAAAGTAATCATATATGAAATATGAAATTTTCTTAAGAAGATTTATTTCAAGATCAAACCGACTCACATCATTTCATTACATGTCTACTTATATTTCTTCGTTAATCACGTGAAAATCTACTCAGTAAATCTTTCATTTATCGTTACCGTTCCATAGCTAAAAACATATTTGATGTACAATCTGCTTTGAATTCTATTTCACATGTGCCCAGAAATTCTAACATTTCATTTGTCATTGTTCTTATATTATTTGAATTTATTAATGCAAAACATAATTCCATAGCACGCCTAAAATACAACATGTTAAATTGTCTATTTTTAATCATATTTTTCTTTTCTTACCGCTTAATTGATACATCGGCATCTTTAAGACATTCAACAACTGTTGCTCGATGCCTTTGTACAGCATTATGATCAGCATGTACAACGCGTAACAATGTATTCAATGCAACATAACGAATGTTTTTATCGTTATTCAATAGAAAACGACCCAAAATATTCACTGCTAAAACCTGAATTAAACATGAGAAAACAAGAAATAAATTTCAATTGAAGAAAAAAATAAATAAAAGCTTTTACTCTTAATCCTGATTCTGATTTAATATTCATTATCGTTAAAACAGTTTCATATAAAATAGCATTTCCCACATTTTTGCTATTCTCGGTGTTTGTTGACACTTGAGCAAGAATATCATTCATTGCTTCACTTGCTTCATTATCATTTCGACCCAATACACGCAATAAACGTAAAATATATACCTTAAATCAATATTAGAAATAATGATTTTCAAATAAAAGAAATAGTTTACTTGTAAAAATGGATCACTAATGCCTGCTACATCATGTTCTGGACTATAGCCAGACATAATCAAAGTTTTAAGAATACGAACAAGATTTGGTACTAACTAATAAATGGAAAACAAAATAGAATCTTATGCAAAAGAAGATTCAAACTTTTCTAAAACTATGTAATGCTTGAGCATTTTGTTGACACATTTCATTAACGAGAGTCATTGCCGTAAGAAGAACACCTATATTATTCATTTATAGTATTTCGATATGAAGAGAATATTTATTTAGTTTTTTGAACAAACCATGATTCTTTTCAGTAAGTAAACTTCGAACTGAATTGTGAAAAACATCATATTGTTCAGGAACTTTTCGTATGATACGAACAGCACATAACACAGCCTAAAAGTAGCATCTAATCAATATTAAGAAATAATATAAATACGCGTTTACTTTTTTCTTTAAATATGGATTTGTTGATTTCATTAATCGTTCAACTTCACCACCTAAATCACGACTCATTTCAGGTGAACAAATCGTACCTAATGCGCATAAGGCTAAACCGGAAATATATTGATTTGAATGATTCAAATCGCTAAAAAAAAAGACAGATCAGGTTATACATGAATAAAGAAATTGTAAAATGAGTAAATAGGTCTGGTGAAATGCTTCATTGCTCAATATTGATGAGGGGTGTCCAAGGACTGAGGATTAGGAATTCCTCATCAGTTACTCTACAGTTCCGTGCATACTAAAGGTAAAAATATGGAATATTTACGATAATTTCTCGACACATTAGGAATTCCTATTTCTCAGTCCTTGGGCACTGCTGATCCAGAAAAATTGATTTCATTCGCGATATGCCGCTAGACGTGTCCCGAAGCAAGGTCACCCCAATAGGTGTATGACAAAGGAGAGAACCGGTTTGATGCTTTCTGTTTTTTTTTATAGACTGTATGGAAAGGAAAATTTTAATATCTAGAACAGTTCGATAGATTTTCAACAGATTGAATTCTTCATATTTTATTCTTCGCAACAAAAAAGAAGTCATTACTTTTTCAATGAATTTGTAATGAGTACATGGATATCTTGTCGTTCATCAAGTAATAGCATCGCTCCTAGATAACCAATACGTTTGTCTGTAAACCGTGTTGATGCAATTAATCTCAAACATTCAAGCTAAAAATGAGGGGACAGCAGATTGTTTAACAATTTTCTACAAAACAAACAATTATATACTTGTCCAAAATGTGCCGGATATCCAAGTAATGAAACGTAAAGTAATTTTGCTACATTTCGACATCTCCATGTATTATCTTCGTCACGAAACGAATCTCTTATATAAGCACATTCTTTTTGTACAACTGCACGTTCTTCAGCAGCTGTTTTAGCTGAACGAATTTGTCTTATTAATTCACGAAGTCGAACTGGATTCGACTAGAATTTCGAGAGAAAATAAATTTATTTTAAAATAAATTTTAACTTAACACTTTACCATTGATAGATCGGGAAACTTCATATTTAGCATTTATTGATTTGAAATTAAAATAATATAGGAACACAAAAAAAAATAACTATATTTTACTCGTTTTTCTTTTCTATGACTCATCCATTACGTTGATAGTTGTGCTGCCATTTTGTTTATTGACTGATCAAACAACTCAACCTCATGTAGAAAAAGAGGGCGCTTTGCTTTTTATTAAGAAAAAGCTCTTCTGAAATAGACAATTTGAATAATTTTATTTTATCATTTCATTTAAATTCAATATTATACTCGAATAAATTAATAGTAGTTTTAATTGGTTAATGACAAAATATTTTATTTATAACCATAACTATCTATCGAATCGAACTGCCTGTCTATCAATAGATAAAAAAAAATAGAATAATTTATAATCATCATAATCACAAAAATCAAGATGGATGAAGAACAAGCAACGACTGATTCAACTACTAATAAACCAATATCTGAGTCAGATTTACGTACAAGAAAAGCTTATTTATTTAAAACAAGTGTGCTTGAACGTTTACGTGAACAACGAAATTCAAGAGAATTTTGTGATCTCGTTCTATGTGCTGAAAATGAAACATTCAATGTGCATAAGTAAGATCCGTTCATATGTAATTGAATGACTTATGCTTCTATAATCCTATATTTTAGATGTGTGCTGGTTGCTAGTTCGGATTATTTCGAAGCCATGATAAGTCGAAGTGGAATGCAAGAAGCAACAGCAGGTTAAAAGAGATGAAAATAGTATTTATTTTAATAAAAATCATTTTCTTTTGAATAGATACTATTGAATTGAAAGATATTACAGCAAATGGATTACGTGCTGTATTGGATTTTATTTATACCGGTGAATTATCATTAAGCATTGAAAACATCGGTAAGTTTATTTCAATTTAGATAAAATAAATTTCGAAATGGAAATATTTCAAGGGAACGAATTATTTAGGTTTGAGGAGAGCTATGATCCTTAACGTGTAGATAATAGAAAATAAAATGCAGTTTGAATCTATTCAAGTCAAGATTAATATATATATAGATAGATAGATAGAAAATATGATTAGTCAGAATTAGAAAAATCTTTCAAAGTGAACGTTTGTTTTTAAAGTAATTAGTTTCAGATTAATGTTCTCAGATTATAAAGTCATTAAAATGAAAACATTTATAGGAAAGTAAATATTATAAACCGGACTTCAAGTATTTGTGTTTCATCAATTTTTGAATTCATTTTCAAAGAATAAATAGCGATAGCTTCAAGGAGTATACTCTTTCTCATTTTTATATTCAGATGCTTATAAGTCTTCAAGCAAAACAAATTTCATATTGTATAGTTGTTGACATTTGAGAGACTTCTCTAAGATAAACATGTAATAATTCTCTGACAGTATGAAAAGAAAGGTCATTCAACCAGCAGGTGATGGTTTATAATTAGAAATTTTGAATTTTTGTCACTCAAAAGACATGCAAGCATTTGATTATTTAGATAGTAGTACTCGAACTTTCTCTAGACAGATTGTATGAGAGAAAAATTCTTCGAAGTTCATCACTGGAAGTAGCTCAAAGTTCAAAAGTCCGCCGTTCCACCCTTACAGGACTGATTCATTATCATTTTTTTTAGGTACTCGAAGATCCTTTGCTATTCTCATAAACATATTGATAATGAAGTAGAGTACAATGTATGCACGTATTTACTTTTCGATTAATTATGTGTAACCTGACAATTATCAGTGAAATCCAAACTATCTAAGTTCTAAGTTTTCGGTGTACACAAAAGGATTGAATGGAATAACCTATAAAATCACATTCTCTTATGAAACTCGTCTGATAAAATATACCCACAGAATACATTAAGATTGTGGGTCGCATCTATTTATAAAAGAAATGATTATTTCTGTTTTTATATATTTAGCGGAAGTACTTCGTGCAGTAACGCATTTACAAGTGAATCATGCCATAAAACTTTGTGAAGATTTTCTTATTGAAGAAACAACCGTTGATAATTGTATTGATGTTCTTAGTCTTGCTGATTTATTTTCTATTCCTGTATTAGAAAAGGTCTGTTGGATTATTCGTATAATGGCTTGTTTAAAAATAAAACACGTTTATTTTCATTAATAGATAAATAAATTTGTTTTACGTAATTTTCCTAAAGTTGCACTAAACGAAGGTTTTAAACGGTTAACATACGAACAAATTCTTTATTTAATACGTTCAAATGAATTCCGCCTTTATCCAGAAATCAAAGTTTTTGATTTGTGTGTTGAATGGTTAAAATCAGATGAAAAAAATCGTATGGTTCATGCAAATGCATTAATGGAGCATGTTCGTTTTCAAACAATGAAACCTGAGGAATTCAATGATTTAGTTATGTCACATGAATTCATGAAAACAGATCCCGACTGTATACGTTTTGCATTTGAAGCATTTTCTTATTTCTCATTACCCAATCGTCAATATTGCTCAACATCACCAAGAAGTAAGATACGCAATGAAGCAAGTCTGGTTTGTGTTAACGAATCAATGTACATATTAAATAAGCATGATGATGTTTGGGAATATATGTGTAATTCATTAGCAACATGGAGAACGTTATCACAAAAATTTGTCGTTGTTAATAATTTTCTGTATGCATGTGGTGGTTATTCAGAAAACAATCGAGAAACGACAAATGCATGTTATCGATTCGATCCACGAACTGGTTTATGGTCTGAAATTGCGAGACTTTGTGAGAAAAGACAATTTTTTTCATTGGCTGGGTAAGTTGCATTTTAAAGTTTCTTATTCTTTTAATAATTTAGAGCAGCAACAAAGTTTTTATTTTCTCCAATTATCCAAATTTACTTATCTTAAAATAATAACAAACTTTGTTTTTAGTCATTAAAATAAATGTTTGTTAAATACGTTTCTAACTAAATCGAGAGTAGTTATCTACAGAGTTCGTTTACACTTTCAATTCATACGAAAATAATTATTAAGATGTGCCTGTGAGTGTTTAAGCTCGTCATTGATACTAACAGAATCAAAGAAATAGTTAGTAGTGTCTCGTTCAATGTTTGTCGGAAATGACACAATCATTGCTCAGTCATATTTACATCCAAGGACAGCTCCAATCCCGCTTTTCAATGCTGAAAGTAAGGAACTTTCCTGTACCAACTATACTTGTGAATGCTCTTCTATCTATATTTAATATGTTTTAAAATCGAAAAAATTATCACAAAGTACAGATGAGAAAAGCGCAATTAACTTTTCGTCCCCAAGCTTCATACAATTCAATTATATGTTTTCATCTGAAAACTAGATGCAAATCGAGCATTGTTTTTGTGTTAATGCTTTGATGAATTTTGACGGATCTTATCGATTTGTCCCCTAGACTAAAAGTAGAATTTTTTGATACTTCTTTCGATATTTGAAGGTCTTCTAAGCGAAAGGCGCAGTATTTTTTCACAAAAAGAAAAATAATGTATTCTAAATTCAAATCTGGCGTTTCATGTATCTCATAGCAGAAAACATTCAGGAATTCTAAACTTATTAATCGAGATTGAAATATTCCAAGAGCTTTAGAATCTCTCCGCTAAGCTTTTATTGAGAAACTAGAAAAAAGTAACGCGCCAGGCGTCCTAAACAAAATATTCTAGACGAGACGAAAAAATGACCCAGTCTAGTCATGATGATAGACGTCTATGTTGCGATCACATTTAGGAGCCTGTGTCATGTGAAATGTAAATTGTATTTCACACATGACAAGCTCTTTTATGTTGATATACAAGTTCAATTGAGTAGAAAATCAATTTTATGAGGATGAATTAACATGAACGTTTTACTTTTGTGTTTAATCAAGTAACTCACTTTATATTACATTCGAAATGTTGTGTAATTATTGTGTGCTTATTTAGTTCAAACGAATGTTTGGTTGCTGTTGGTGGGTATGTATCGAATCATTTTCGTTTCTCTTTTTCTTTTTATCATTAAACAAACATCTTCTAGAGTCTATGGCGACAAAGGAAATTTTTATGCTACACATCCTTGTTCAACAGCAATAGAAGTATATAATATTGAAAAAGATCAATGGCGAACGTTAGAATGTACAGATTTACCAATATTGAAATGGCCAGGAGCATGTGTTGCTGAAAATGTTGCTTTTGTTATTGGTGGAAAACATACTGATGGTAAGAAAATATTTTCTTTTTTTCTCATTTTGTTTCAATAAATATTTCTAGGACTTAATCATCGTTTATCAGAAAATTCTTATATGGTTGATCTAGAAACTGGTCATGTAGCAATATGTGCAGCACCATTAACTGTTCGATTTAATCCAACTGTATTTTATCAAAATCAACGTTTAATTTTATTTGGTGGAGAAGATGATAAATATCGTTTAGCACCTTGTATTGAAATCTATGACACGTTAACAAATCAATGGACAGAAATTGCAACTATACCAGTATCACATTCATATCAATGTATATCAAGTTCATCAATTATGGGAGATAAAATACATTATTTACTCGAAGAACATGATGGTAAGATTCGACTAAGTTGAACTATGTTCATTAGGTTTTTTCTTCTTCTATTGTCATAGGTCCATCAAGTGAATCCTATATTCTTAAATCATCTTATTTTGATATTGAAAAACGTACATTTGAGCGTTGTGTTCAATTACCTCATCCATCAACGTTAGCTAGTAAATGGTGTTCACTTGTTTTTCCACAACAATTTCTTGATGGTTGCCAAACATTTGATAGCCATGAATCTCATCATCATCATCACAATCATCATCATCATCCGCATCCACATTATAATCATTATCCATCAGATAATATTCCTCGACTCAGTATAGGCGACATATCAAGTGGTGGTGATATGTCATCAAGTGGTACAAATAGCGCTAGTAATAGTCCTATGATATATCAACGTCATAGATATTATCCTGAACATCATCATCGTACTTGTTCAAATTAAATTCATACTATTTGTGTTTCTCTTTTACTGTATATATATATATATTCTTGTTTTTAGTCTGATTGCTTTGTGTATGTATGTATGTATATATTTATAAAAACAGAATGTAAATGTTTGTCACAATTTTAATGAGAGAAAGCGAAGAAAATAAATGATTATCTTATATTATTTCAGATAAGACAAAACTATTAGAAAATGTCACGACAGGTATTTTTCTATAGTTATTAATTTTCTGTGTGTTTTTTCGATTGTCAGGTTTTTTTCTAGTCAACAGCCGATGAACAAGAAGGGATAACATTGGAAGAAAATTCTTCACTCGTATCAACTAATGATGATTTGAAGGAATTATGTATGTTGCTTGACGAAGAAAGGTATAAAATGCATCAGTTAGCTGAACAATGGAAACACTTTGGTACAAGTACAATAAACAAACTTGCATCTCAAATAGTTGACTACGAAGAAAAATTACATGATCTCGAAGAAAGACAAATATCACTATTGAAAGAAAATGAATCTCTTAAATCTCTCATTGATCAATCCATGTTAACAACAATAAACAACACTAGTACTCAATTAGTAGATGTACTTAATTGAATATAAAAACTTGACTTATTTTTAATATTCTTCGTAATATTTAGAAACAATCCGAAAAAAATGTTTCAACACAAACACCTATTGATAGACAAGAATCATCACCTGATATGTCTATGGATGATTCGCTTCAACGCCAAATTTCACTTCAAAATATGTTTGATGCTATTAAAGTAAAAGACACCAATTTCATTAAGTATGATAATTATTTTTCTATGTTTAAAGACTGCTGAAATTTATGAATCTATCGGAAATGTAACTGGAAATGATGACTCGGGCAAAACTATTCTAAAAGAATTTTGTAATGTAAGTCACATTGCAATGAATCCGTTCGAAAGCAAAAGAAAATTAATTTTAATTTTTTAGCTTATTTGGAAATATCTCGAAGAGCGTTCAAAACCAAAGAGTAGTTGTTTATTATAATTGATAAATGTAAATGTAAAATTTTGATTTGTAGTCAGATAGCACATGATTTTTTTTGTCATATATTTCTTTGAGTTAATAATAATAATAATAATAATAATAATAATAATAAATTCATAGGATTTAATGTAAAACAAGATGACGAAGACTTAAAAATATTATGTTTCATTTCTAATGTTGTTAATTCGACAGATGTTGTTGATTTCATAGTTGTTGTAATTTTTTCGTCAATATCAATGTCATCTTCTTCAAGATAATCGTCATCATCGTCGCCATCAAAATCATTTGTTTCAATTGTTTTTCTCAGAGTATTTTTCAAATCATACATTGCTTGTTCTGTTAACGGTAAATCTGGATAAGGGCGAAGAATAATGGTTGGAATCAATTTATTTAACGTAGAATTTATTTCACATTGAATCAATCTAAACGTAGAATCCATCAGTTGAAAAATGATGAAAAAAAAAAGTTATTACTTTACGAAAAACACGAGCTTCCATATGTAAATGATTGGAACAAATTTCATTGTTATCCGTTTGATAATATTTCATTATTGAACACGATAAAAGTCATTGCCAATGCAAACAGCAAGAGAGAATATGTGTTTTATTATTAAAAAAAACATGTATGAGTAGCTATTGAATGGAAAAGAGATTCTTGAATCAAATAAGCGGAGTACGACATACTCCGATAGTTCAATTAGAAAGAACGACAAGACATTTTTTTTCTATTTTCTTCGCGTGCTAACGTCTTTTTTCTTCTCTTCTTTTCTGTTTCAAGTTATTCGATGATTTCCGCATAGCGAGACGAGCTGGTATCGGTAGAATTTCACGTATTGTTTTCTCTCTTTGTATTATACTTTGAAGTAGTATCTTTTTCTTCCGTTCAAATTCCATTCTCACCTAGTCAACTGCCATGTTAGTTTATTGCAAAGTACATTTTCTTAAAAAAAATTATACTTTCATTTTCCGTTGTTGCCAAAGGACATTACAGAAGAAAGAACTAATGAAGTAATTAACAAATTGTTGTATGGTAGTAAATGAAGACTTTTTGTTGTTTGTTAATCAAGAAATCATTGACTAGAATTGTAGCAGAACGTGGGAGTAAGATGCTTAGTATCGCTGAGAATTTATTTATAAGAATCTTAGACGGAAAAGAAAAAAAAAATGAGAAATAGAATTGAAGATTAATCGTCGCAAACAATTCCGAACTGAAGATATTTCTGATGGAGAGTATTTCGGCAATCATGACGGAGGGAAAGGGGGAGAGGCAAGAAGAGCATGATCATAAAATGTGCGGCAAAACTCATACGTAGTATCAACTCATTTTTAAGCCTTCTCTGCAAATAGCAATTAAAAAAGAATGTTTTCTATGAGAAACGATTGCTTTCGTGCCTAGCATTCTCCAAAATCGTCCACTAGTCTTATGTACTGAAGCATAGAAAGAATATAACGAAGAATAATCAGATTTATTTGATAGGGTTGTTCTGTCTTCATCATTTTGATAATGGTGTCGGAAGCTCAAGTTGAAAGATAATATCGTAGTTATAAAAATGATTCTCTCTGAATATGTTGGTCTTTTTTTTCTTACATGAAAGACAGCAGCCAATAGCCTTTGTTTTCATCCTTCGCATCTACTACATGAAACTCGGGTTGACTGCAACGATACAAAAATGTTAGCAATCAATCTTCAAAATCATGTTTTCGTTGGAATGAGAAAGATCAGTATAAATTCAGTTTTCTGAATTGTTCGATCTATTTATTTTGCTTTTAATCGATCAGTAGATTTACAACGTTTTATTATCTGAAGACCGTATTCAGCGCTCGGAGCCGCCGAGCTGAGTCGTTTAAATAACCATATTTTTTCATCACCATCATCATCCACACTATCCTTTCAATGCAGCCTTTTTAAATTTTGCATGCTTATATTTGACAGGCTGCATTTAAAGGTGGGCGCCGCATGGCTGATCCGTCATCATCTCTGATGTTTTTGAAAATATTCAATACTAGATCAACTTGCTACTTTTGGTCGACATTTTATAATTTTCAATTGATAGCAATAAAAATAAAATCTATCTCTGAAGCTGAAATACTATGATTAATAGGCTCAATCAAAGAACGATTCAGTTTTATCTATTTGAGTGAAATGTTTTTCGCAATGAAAAAGAATACGGCATGTGTGTGAAATGCTGGCCTACCTTTGTAACGGGCGGACCATAAAGAATTACACTACTTTGTTTTCGCTATAACTCAGTCAGTTTTGATGCTATTGGCCAAAACATTTTTCAAAAAGATTCGCCATTCAATTCTCTACAAAACCATATGTAAATGATTTTTGTAAACTACCAAACGGCTTAGTTCTAAAACGAAGAGAACAGGTTTCGAAAATGTTCAACTTTCAAGCTCAAAATGCATTAATATTTGGAGTACGTTTCGACAATTTATACGCAGGCTTAAATTGCGGGAGAAACATTTTCTAGCATTTTCAAATACGCTTTTCCCAATATCCTTGAAAAGCTTTTCTTTCAAAGTGACCTTCACGTATTAAGTCGATATTTTCCGACATTTCGTCCGAAACATCTCAATTGGGGTTTTCACGAAAAACAATCGCAAACGAAACTTTGAATGACTCGAACGAGTGTGCAGAGATTTAGTCTAGTATGTTGAAGTTTAAAGAAAAACAAAATCGTCAAAAAAAGAACGTTTTCTTACTAAATTGCATGCGTTTTGGTGCAACCAGCAAAACATGAAATGAAAGTTGAGTTTTTCCAAAAATGTGAAAGAAGTTTTCTTGAATTTTTTACAGTTTTTTAATCAAGAAAATTTTCAAAGACATGAATCTTGTCTAGAATTTAATCTTCTTTAAGATGGTCGTCTTAGTTCCTTCGTAGCTCTTTCATAGAAAGCAAATTTGAGAAAAAACGGTTTTTGAGCTAGAAAGTTGAATATTTTCGAAACCTGTTCTCTTCGTTTTAGAACTTAGCCGTTTGGTAGTTTACAAAAATCATTTACATATGGTTTTGTAGAGAATTGAATGGCGAATCTTTTTGAAAAATGTTCTGGCCAATAGCATCAAAACTGACTGAGTTATAGCGAAAACAAAGTAGTGTAATTCTTTATGGCCCACCCGTTAGTTATCATTTTTTAAGCGTAGAATGTTGAGTTTCACAAAGAAGACACCGGAAAGACATAATTCACAACCACCGCAATTGAAATCGATCAGTCGCTAAATAATCTGACTTAAGGTTCACTAAAATGAGATTTTTCTTCTTTTATACGGGTGGCATCAGTTTTTTGTCAGTTCGAACCCACCTATTATTTTCTATCGTTTTCATTTTAAAATATAACGAAACCAAGAAAATTTTAAGAAACACCATATAAAACATTCAGCCACCGTCGCCACTGATCGACTCATTGGGTTACATCTCTAGTTGCATTCCGGTGCACATACGCATATAGTGTTAAAAAAACGAAATACGAGCTGTAACATGTTGAACACAATGATAAATTCATATGATTTTAGCTGGAAAATCTAATTTTGAAAAATTTTGCTGGGAACTTGGGCATACCCGATGAGAAAATGAATGATTATTTTTTTCAAGTGGTTGATATGAATTGTACCGAGGAAAGGTTCAGTATGACTCGTTTTGTTTCATAGAGAGAACAATATGCTAACTATGACACAATAAAAATACTGCAAACAAATCGAACCAAGTTCATTTAACAAAAAATCTTTCGGCATTTCAATCTTGCAGAACATATTTTGATAAGTTCATGTTTTATAAATGATTATATGCGTATTATTAGTCTTGTCTCGCTATCTTGTTGGATAAATACTGATGAAACGGCATGGTATGCATATTTGTTCGGTGTCGAACAGAAAGAAAATCAAATGACCCATCTATTTATCTATCTATTGATAAATGGAAACGAAAGAACATAACGTTATAGTTCGCCAATAACGTTTTTGTTATTTTCTTAATATTACAAATAATTTAAATCGACGGATGTCTCCACGAGTTTATTCATTTTTATTATTTGTATGTTCTTGCTTTTCTTTTAGAGATTTTAAATATAATTTAGAAAATATTATTAAATAAAACATGTTCAGTTCCTTTTACTATTATCATTAAACTCATCCGTTCATATGCTTACTATGCAAAAAGAAATGAACCCTAATCCATTCTCCCCAAACGACTCACCAGGGAGTCCCCACAAAATAACGAAATCCTAGGGATTCACGACAGGGTGCCCCCGGGGATGAATCAATTTTCATTGTTTTTAGAAGAAAAAAATTAATATTAATCGGATCTTTTTATAATACGATTATAACAGATTTTGCTCATATTTATTGATAAATTAATATTATCAATGGATAAATATTCACTTATGCAATTAATTTAGTATTAAGTCTCTTTATTCTCAATGGGTGTGGGTGCATGGATATCTGTCAGTCTTTTCTTCACCAACACCAACGCACATAGAGGCGTAGATATATATAGCCAAAGTCGTGCGATAGGTTCCATCGGGCCTGGCTGTCAGAATGATTCTTCTGGGTTATTACCAGTGAGCTATCATACAAATGTGATACAGATCTACTTAAAAAAAAACGGTAATCGTGTAATTACTAAGTAGATCACGCCAAAAGCTTAATAATAAGGTACACAAAAATACATCAATAACATGTCATCTATTGAGACGATTCGTTCGCAAAAGGGTCAAGTGAAAAGTAGATTATATTCATCAAAGGTACTTTTCTTTTCTACTTTCAATACACCATGTCAGAATGAAAAGCCTGCCCAGAAGAATGGTGTCGATAATGGGATCCTATCGTATTCGTGTCGGAATCTTATCGGGGTCTGGGTGTGGAACCTACAATCGAAACCTTAGCGTTGGAATCCGATAGGTTCCAGTGTCGGAATTTCACGGAATCCAACATAAGCATTCGACCCAAGTGTTCCGTTAGTACCATATGCTTATTCATTGGTGACTAAGAAAATGTTTTTTTTCCCGTCGGATCCGTTAGTAGGTTCGTGACCAGGAATCTGATCGGATTTTGTCGGCTTGTCCGATTCATTCACCTGGTGGTAGTAAATCACTATTTTCTATTTTAGTTTCTAAGTGATTGAAAAAAAGCAATGCCTATAATTTGTTGCTTGTTCGTCCGGCAGAGTAAATAGGTGTGGGTGTGGGTGTGGGTATTCATGGCCTCTTCTTCCACAACCACACCCACACCCACACGCTGGTGCGTCATTCAGAATTTGAAAATGCGATCTTCATGTTGTGTAACTTGTATCTCTATGTTTATACATCTACTCGTAGTAAACACGCCACTACAACAGTTCACAATCAATATCAATTAGGAACAATTGAAGATCAATCACTCAATTGTAAAGATTGATTTCAAACATGAAAATTCTGATAAAATCTATACAAGCGGTGGAATAAAACCATTGACGCATAGGAATCAATAAGCAGTTCGATAGTCTTATTCTAAAGCTTACGATTCCAAAAATTACCCAGATCATCACCAGGAAATCTGGATCTGAGTACGGTTGCGGTTATCAAAGTTGAGTAAACAAAATACCTCCACATTTGAAATAGCGTCATCTGTACTCTGTACATGAAACTAATATGGGCTTTATCAGGACTGTCCCGAGTCAACCAACATTGAGAAAGGGGTGTACCATTTCTTTGCAAACAGAACACAAGAAAAATTTTGGATTTTGCTTGGAAAAGCGAAAATTTTTCTTGTGTTCACTGACGCACATAATCAGTTTCATTTGCATAACCGTGCTCTAACAGCATTAGATGTTAGGATATTGTCGAATCACTAAACTGAAACTACAAAGTTCAAACTCGATTATGATGTAAGCGATAACAGTCATTTTCGCTTAAATTGATACTCACAACCAAACGACAAATTCTACCCCATGTTGCGAATATCGGATCATTTTTTTGCGGTAAACCGCGGTATTTATTCTTCCTGCGATAACTTACAATGATATGGGAGTCGGTAACCGGACCGGTAAAACCGGTGGTCTTTTTAGCATGTTTATCACATGTAGAAGTAATAAAAAGGAGGCTTAAAATAACTTCATTGATGATTTGGAACACTATTTTTGTCAAAGATTATGGACGAAACCGGTTAACGACTATTTTTAGCGGTAACCGGATCGGTAAAACCGCTGATTTTCATCTGGCTTTATGACATGGAATATATTTGTCATTAATTGAATCTTTTTAATGAGAAGATACAACAATTATATCAACATATATTCATTCATACAAATAATTATTTCTTGTATTTTATTGTCTATTCTTTCACCTTTATTCTGGATAACAACAAAAACAAAAAATTAATTTAACTTCATGAAACGTACACACAACAACTGTTTTTCTATTTAATCAATAAATTTTCAAAATTATAACCATTGCTGTATATATTTTAGAAAATAAATACAACTAACAGCTTATCCATTAAGTGACTCTTTATCTGATACACCATAGATTTCTGCACCCGATGAAATATTTGAGTTGCCTGGAGTATTTCCATATGCATCGGTATCATCATAGCTAGGTACTAGTGGTTCACGGTCTTCACCTCTACATTGACGATATATATGTAACCATACGCCATTATAAATACCCATTCCTATTCAAATCAATATTTATTCTAAGAAAATAATTCCTACTAAAATTAAAAACTTACCAGCAACCAACAGAAGAAAGCCTACAATTTGTAATGCATAAAATTTTTGCCAACTTAGTGATAATGATACAGCCCATATAATTAATGTTCGACCGCTATCGAGTACCATACGAGTTGTTGATGACAATTCTTTTGTTACAGATATACCAGCAAAGTTAAAAAATGCTATCGAAAGAATATTGCCTAAAATCGACAAAAATCAATGTCAAATCAAATGAAAGAAAAAAAATATTTTCTTGCCGACTGTTGCAATTATAATCTTATGATTATCTGCCATTTGACAAAAAGCTGACGGTATATCTTCAAGACGATGATGAGGCCCAGTATGTGATCTGTTCCAATGAATAAAATTAAACTAATTGGAAACGACACAGATGAATTTAGATAATAATTTTCAAAGTTTTTTACCGGAATAAGGAGAAAACCCAGTGTACAAAAGCCAAATATTCCTTCCCAACCAACTGCTTGCAATGGTGGAATATTATATTTCCCAATAAAACGTTCTTCATATACGACCTAAAAGTATTAGCGTAGCATTCATTTGGTTTTCTAGTTTGTTCTCATATACTTGTAAACTTGTGAATATCATTGCAAGAAGTATAAGAAAAATACCGGCAATCTTTTCTCCATTTGAATGATTACCTTCTGGTACTTTAGAAAACAAAAGATCGGAAAGACCAACAACAACAAGACCCATGACAACAGTAGCAATACCAAGCCAGTGAATACGAGTTAATCGTTTTTTAAGAAATACAATACTAAAACGTCAAAGTACACAATTCTAACCATGTTATTATTTTATATGTATTTCTACCTGAATAAAGCAGTAAAAACCATCACTGAACCTCTTAGCATTTGAAATGAACTAGCGGTTGTAAAGTTCAATGCAAAATAAGATAAACAAGTTGAACACATATCAAGTATAGACGCAGCCCAAAATATTAACGGATTGAATACTTGTTCACCGTGAAGTAAATGAATATCTTTATCGATGTGTATGGGCCAACATTTAACAACTGCAGCTGATGAGTCGCCTTTATATGTCATTTGATTAATACGATATCGAGCTGTTGAATACCATATAAATTTGAATACTAATAAACATAAAAATTCACCCACAAACATGCCAATAGCCTAAAAATGAAACCGATCATTTTAAAATGACGTTTCGAAAACAAACACGATTTACTTGAAGAAATGGATGCTCAAATCCTTCTGCTGGGCCTGTTCGATTACAGTAACGTGCGTTTTGTCTAATAACATAGATAGTATGAAAATTGAAATCAAATCAATCAAAAAAATACCTATCAGCCCATTTTGTTGATAAAGTATTTATAGTGCCAGTTACTAACATAAGACCAGCAAGAAATAGCTGGTACGTTGTAAAAGCCATGGAAATCTCAAAATATACTAAAAAGGTAAAGTTTCTATTTCATCAATGACAATAAATGTTTGAATTTAACTTAGAATAAATAATATTTTTCTCTGATATCTTTTATCTTAGCCTCACCATTCTCATTTGTTAACTTCACTTTTTTTTCGAAACAAGAAGATAACAGCAGTAAATATGTCTTTGGACTTTTGTGATTATTTTTTTATGCAATATCACATGTTACCAAAGCACATCCTTACAAAAAAAAAGAAGAATAAATAACGGAAACATAAAAATGCAGTATCTCACAATTGATTTGTGGTAACATTTAAACAATAAAGAGCATTTCTAGATCATGAGTAAACGTATAAAAATATATTAGAATAAAAACTTACCCTTTTCATTAATTCACTAACAACGTGATCGCTAATGAAAATAAACATGATAAGACACAGAATAATCGAAAAATTAACATTGATGTAGCAGATGTTTGAAAATAACTGATTCATTTCTCATGTTATGTTACGTTTATTTTATTCTTGAAGACACTTGCTCTGGTTTGAGTAAGCATCAAAGTTTAATTTAAATTTAAAATGATGTTCTAACAAAAAAAGAAACTTTTATATTCAGTCGTTCTATTTATTTATATGTATCTATTCATTTTCAATTTCTTAACCATCACAATTTTTTAAAACGAAAAATCTAAATGTGATGAATTAATGAACTAAATTCATTAGTAAGTATTCATGAATTGATAGAGTCATTCTTCTTTGTGTACTCAAAAAGTGAGTACACTCTAGAATCGGTTAGTGTGTCCGGCCGGCCGTAGGCACGATAACTTGCGAAAGGAGAGTCAGACCGTGATGAAATTTTCCACACAGTTCAATCTCATGAATATCTCGGTCGAGTTCGAAAATGAGAAGAATCCCTCAAGAAATGGTTGAGTTATCGAAAAAATTGTCATTTTTGACCAGGCGATCCCTGAGGAGGAGTACAGGGAATTTTTTTCAAAAAATAAATCTTTCTCAGAATTATTCACAACATATATAATTCGACTCAGTTTTTAACGCTGATTCCGAACTTGATATTAGTTTTGAGCTAAACCGTAGCTTTCTGATGAAACATCGCCTGAAAAACGTCTCAAAATGCACAAAAACTGCATCCAGAAATCAAATTGCCTAATTTCTCATGATAATTTTGGTGTTCAGACATTCTAGAATGACTCATACATCCCATGCACTTTTTGCAGTACGCATAACTTTTGGATGAAATCCGAAGTTTCCACATTTATTTATTTTTTATAGAAATTTCAATCAAGTTTTTATAATAAAACGAGAAATATTTCGTTAAACTGTTGGAATAACAGTAGAACTATAAAACATCAAAGTAGATCTTAACGACGTTCTATTCATTTTCTGTCAAAATAGATTTTGCTAAAATTAACAAAGGTTTTGTTTTTGTCCTGATTGACACAGATCCTGCACTCTAACAGCATCAAACATTTGATCGGTGCATAGTACATTTATAAATTTTTCTCTAAATTGCTGTTTTTGTTGCAACTAGTGACTTAGATGGACTAATATGCCAAGCTTGAAAAGAAGATAGTTCTTTTCTTGTACTAGAATTAGATCATCAGAGTATTGAAAAAATAATACTGTATAAGAAACTATTTATTTACTCATGATCTACATCACTAAAATTGTTGAATATCAATATTTATCATGTTAAATTTTGAAAAATATCTCGTTCTTTTCGAAAAAATACAATATTTACTGAAACACACTACGTATAAATTATTATCATAGATTACAAGACATATGTTTTCTTAATGATTAAAAGTTCCAAAATAAGAAGGTTCATTTAGATTGAATAAATTTTATTTGTTCATTGATATTACTAATTCGAGGTTTTGATAATTTTTCGAGAGCTTCTTTATGTTTTTCTTGTTTACTAAGGATTTCGATTTCTGGAAAATATTCATTAACAGTTTCTAAAATTCTTTTATTTCGGTTTTTCAGATCTTTTTCTTGTTTTTCTTGACGCGCTTTCAGTAATCGATCACGTACTCGTTGTTGATTAATTACAGTACTTAAATTTCTAGAAAACAAGAGCAATTAGGTAAGGTTATTCTAAAATTTAAAGCACTCAATAACAAAAAAAATCTTCTTACTTAAATGTAAAAGGTTGAACTAGTCGATCGGTAAGATATTGCTGAAACTTTTCTATTGTATCATTTTGACCTTCGGCTTCAAGTTTCTGCTATTTGAAATTGAAAAATAGAAAGCCAAAATTATTCTAAAGAAATTTCTTACTGAATTATTCTCAGCAGTCGTTGGTTTTCGTTCTTCAAGTGTCTTGTTAGAATTCAATATTCGAAAATAATCTAATGTACGCCAATGTCTTTCATCAATATGTTCAATAATCTTACGCATTGAATCTACTTTTGTCGCTGAAAATCATAAAAATAAACACAAAATAAGATCCAATTGAATCGTCGATGAAGAACATGATAGAAAGTAAGAATACAAAAACAATGTAACTTATGAGCTTGTTTATAATTCTTTGTTTAGCTGTTCGAAGCAACTCTAAACCAGATAGATTTTAAGTGCATGCACCATATCATATGGTCATAAGTAGATGAAAGGAATTCACAATGTTGATTGATCTAGATTTTGTTTCTAATTGTATTATTGGTTTTAATATAGTTATGATTCTTTTATAGAGATAACAATATATTTCAAATGTCTCTTGAGGACTGAAACACAGTCGTTTAAAATCATCTAATTTTTTTTGTCTGCTCTATAGGCTATTTTTAGTGGAGAGAAACTAGAACAGTTCCTTGCTCATAGCTTGATTATACCTTTTTGTCGACCGATCATGTCATGCGCAGGCACTTCATAATCATATTTTACAATAAAATGTCTTCGATCAGCAATTATTTTTGTCAGATGAATCGTTTCAGAAAATACATTAATACCATAGAAACACATACATAATTAATTAAAATAAAAATCAATTAAATTATTTATCCTACTGAAATATCAAGTATTGTAAGAGCACTTTTCTTATGATTCAAAGCTTGAACAACACGATGCACACCATGAGTAGTCAATGGATTAAATGATAACTAGAACAGTGAAGAATAAAAATATTGAAATTTTTCTTTTTTTAAATCAAAAGTTTCATTAAACATTTATTCTTTGAAGTGTTGAATTCTTTTCTAAACCTTCACTAATCAATTTTGCACTTGTCCAATTGATATTGCAATTACTTATATTTAAATGTAGTAAAATTTGATTAACAATTAACACTCGACGAAGCGCAACACTTCCATCGTAACCAAGATTACTCCATGATATATCAAAACTTGTTAGAGTTCTATTCGTCTTGAAGAATGAAAGTTAACTTTTATTGACAAATAAAAATTGAAATAATTACTTCAAATCCTCGCAATAAAGCAATTGTAGCATAACTTCGAATAAAATTCCAACTTATATTTAAATCTTTTAAACTCGTATTATCTGCTAAAATAAACAACAATGCCCATTATCTCAAGGGCAATGGCACTTGTTTCGCATATTTACTTAGCGCATTGCCAATAAATATGCATGCCATTTCTTCAAATTCATTTCCATTTAAATTAATATCCATTAATCTTTTATGGCGACATATTTCGCCAATGGGTCGACCATATGAATCTCGAATACCACAATTAGACAAAGATAAGTAAATTAATAATGGTAAATGATTAATTGTATCAGCTAATATTTCAAAACTTTGCTTATTGATTTTATTCCATGACAAATCCTATAGAGTGGAGGGGGAAAAAGAGAATCATATTGATTGCAATTTTGTTTTCTGTCAATTTACCAACAGATTCAAATGAACACATTTTGGTAATCCTTGACAAAGCATATCAATTGACCGTGATGTTAGACCAACAGAACTTAATGTCAAGCCTTCAAGATTTGCTTCAATAGCAGTTGAAAATGCACGGATATCGTTAAAACTCAGTGATCGATTAACAACAGCTATATTCTCGTAGGCAAGAAGACTACATAATTGCCCATCCATTGTTGAATCAAGCATATGACAACTCTTTTCGTACATACGCCTTCTTCCTGCTGAAAAATTGACTATTAGTTTATGCGAAGGTTTAAGCATAGTTACCATGATTATATGAACTTTTGCAGCGTATAGGAACGAGAATATCATCATGCGCTTGAATTTCTGCCGAGGATTGAAATGGTACACTTATTTGGCCAAATGTTTGATTCAAACGATTACTTCGATGTGCTATTAGTTTTGCGTCAAATGATAAACGTGGAAGGATACAATCACGCGTTTGATCTTTAGAATAATTATAAATTCAATTGGCTGAAAAAAGAAAATAATTGTATATCGATACCTGTTTCATCATCATCATCATCTAAATCAGTATCAAAACTTATTTCATCGTATGTTTCCATTTATTTCAATAGTTAGTATGAAAACGCTGCAAGCGGACAGTCAAGATAATTATAGGAGTTCTTTTTTTTTATCTCATCAAATATTTAATATAAATGAAATGTTATTGACAACCGAAAAGATTTCAATTAAATAAAAAGAAAAAAAAGCTACTTTTCTCTTTTCCGATAAGGTCGACACGACGAATGGAGAAAAGTATATCAACAACTCTTTTTTTTTTAAGTTTACTATATATTTTCTTGTTTTTCATTCAAAAAGAACGTACAAACAAAAAAGACAAGCATCAATTTTAGTGTATATATATATAGTTCGTTTAATCTTGCATGTCTTCTGGAATTTCATGAGGATTAAGAATACCTAAAATTAGAAAAAAACAAAATACAATAAAAATATGATTTTTATTCTTGAAATTTTTCCATACCGGGAACACTCATTTGTACTTTACGTTTTTCTTCAGCTGCACGTTTTAATGTTTGTTCACGGTCTTCTAAATACAAATCAGCCGTATCGTTGCCTGTAGCTTCTCGTATTTGAACAAGAAAATCACGTAAATGCTCTTTAAACCCAGCTATATCTTGATCCAACGTAACAAAGCCTTCAATGATAACTTTTATTTGATTATCTTGTAAATGTGGAAAAGCTGTTTTTAGTAAATTAGCCATAAACTGTTGAACGTAAAGTAAATTTTGTGATGGATCTTGAACTTCAGATGCCAATGGGACTTTGATAAGACCTTGTTCAACAATTACAAATAGATTAGCTAAAATTTGTGAATGAGCCGTTAAACCTAAAAGAATATATAATATGATTATTTGTTTATACAAATGTAGATTTTTCTCTAGCTAAACGAACTAAATTAAAAGACTAATAGTCGTTTACTAGACGATGTGGATATGAGGGAATGAACCGCACACCCACATCCTCAAGATAGAGACTCTTCATTGTCATTTAATTGTCCCTTCAAAACATATGAAAATTGTTCATGTTCTCATAATATAAGTATTCAAAATTAAAACTATAATTATATGCATTTTATTAACTCGTGATACATCTGTGACTTTTTCTTTCATAGAAGACTGATATGTTGTGTTGATGGAAGGAAAAACAAATTTCTTAACAATAATTTGTTTCCATCAAAATAGTTCGTTCAGTTTATCTATACGAACCAGATGTATGTGAACATTCGGCAACAACAGCAAAAATATGTTGCATGGTTTCAAGATAATAAATTTGATAAAATGTTTGCGCTGCTTGTGGATCACATGTTTGAAATTTTCTTAGCATTATTTGTAAAATTTCTAAGCCCAATTCTGATATGGTACGCATCGTATGTTTTAATGCCCACATAATAGAATCATAAACAAGTTTAAACTGTGTGGCATTCAAGGCCAATAATGCTAAAACAATTGTAAACAAAGAGAAAACTTTTTAGAACTAAAAATTAATCTATTTCCTTACATACCTGGAAAGC